CCCCCCCTGTAAGAGGCGCTAATCAGGTACATAGGCGCTGTAGCACATGTACGGGCTTTGACAGTTCCCGAAGCCTCGATGCAACGGTTCATTGTCAGTGGAGGTTCTTATTGCGGGAATGACATTTGCACAGTGAGTTCGACCATTAATTCTGAACTACAACACTGGCAAGTAAATTGTGTTGAAAGAAATGCTCGATGCACAAAACACATTGCACCTGCCAGGGATGCCGCTCGTTTTTGGCGCCTTGATCCACTGTTTACTCCCAATGTATGTACGCCTTACTGATGCTCATGTAGGTCCTGCACAAGCTCTATCCGTCTGCAACGATGATGCCCCCTAATGATCCCGCTGTACACAAACTCATGCTACTGTCCGGCTGCCATATTGACGGGACCAAAGCCAAACTAGTGCTGGGGATCGAATACACTGCATTCGACAAATGTTTTGGCGACATGGCCATCGCGTTGGAGTCGCGGTATGGGATGTGACCATCTGTCTTGTTAGGAGCTCAAATTTGGCGTGGCTGCTGTGGGAGCTGATAGAAATTGCATGTACAGAGTAGACTTATTACAGAGCCAGAGAATGCATCCATCCCCTTTCGCCGGTACTTCAACACGGCCAGTGGTGCACGACGTCATTGGCGACTCCTATGACCGGTAGATGCATACATACGTTTCATAACTCTCCATTGCATTAATTCAGAACAGGTACAAGTGCACAATCAATGCTGTTCAAAATATGTCAAGAAGTGCCACACATCCTTTATATAGACTACAAGTCTCCCTTTTACAAAGTCATTTTCTGCTGGCCCTTGACCATTATTGCTGCGCCACCGCTTCACCCGATACATCACTAGTGTCGGCCGCACATAGCGTATACGCCGCATCGTGAACAAGCCGACGAAGCAGCTTGGTGCTGATATGAATCGATGTCTGTGACGTCTGCAGTGCCAACGCCAATGACCAGACGTTATCAACTGGGTTTATTAATGTTGTCGGCCGTCCTCGCGGCGTTGATGGAGGTAGCAGAGGTTTTCTCGCATCGCTTGAGATGGAGACCTCGCGAGCCATCACCTCATTGGAAGGCGACAGAACATTGTAATGGCCTTCGAGCGTCGTGATTGGTATTGACGAGTCGACGTTGGAAAAGCCAAGTTGTATCACTATTACAGAGTCAATGCTTGCCATTCGTGGGGATTGTAAGCTCGATGCACGCACTTTTATCATTCGTGTCACAAGTTGACCCGGTCGTGATTGTATTGACTTCCTCATTCATGTTTATTTCCTGAGCATGAAGCTGTTCTGCCGATTCAGAGTTTTCGATATGTGTACTGGTCTGATCCCAGGATGCTGTGTCGAATAGTGGTGCTTCACCCATGCCATTCTTGGTGATGGCGGCCTCAATGTCGACAAGCCATCTGTTGAGCAGCTGATCGCCTGTTGGGCTCTCAGCAGCTTGTGTTGATTCACAAACAGGATACCCAATTTGCCAGTCCCTGGGACTCTCTAGATCATTCGGCATCGGGGGGTCGACTGGCGGAGCAGTGGTGGTGCTCGTCATCGATGATGTCTCCTGTACAGTGGTGGTGGTGGATACCTTGGGAATAGGACTGCACCTTTGATCCGGATTACTTGATGTTCCAACATCGAGTGTGCGGGGGGAAGCATTGTTTCCTGTTAATATTAGCAGTGTTACTGTCTTGTCGCTCAATCACTTCTCACGTTTGGCAGGCGGCTGGCCATGATATTTGCGACAGCGGTTTCGACAGGCGACAGGACTTCTTCCAGTCAATGATTCTGCAATAATGGACCATTTCGACCCGTGAGTTTCGTATAGCTGGAGGAGCAGGGCATCCTCGAGTGGGGACCATGGCTCCTTGGATGCCAAATCAGGAGATAAGACATCACCCCAGCGTTTGGCCACCTGATACTCTTGACGGCCCGGAAGACGTTGAGCTATGAAACATAACCATTGTTAGTCATGGATTTCAGGGGACGATGAGAAAAACAAGTAAAGGGGCCGCACAAATTGATTTCCATTTAGGTCCAAGTTCTGCATAGAGTCGGCGTAGCGCGTCGTCCTCTTCTTGCGACCATTTGCCTTTCTTTACTGCTGGATCAAGTGAGTTGAACCAGCGTTTGCTGCAGTCCTGGCGGGCTGTTAGACGACTTTTACTCGATAACAACTGGGCGAAAGAGAAAGGAGAGCCAAACTTTGCGAGTTCTGCCGCTGCCTACAGCAGCAGCGATCCGAGGCCAATTCGAACGATGCCCTCTACTGGTGCCATAGTGAGCGACGGCAGCAATCAGCGCTTCATCTTCCTCCCTGGACCATATACGTCTGGTCGTGGGTAGGGTTGGATTGTGGGGCGGTAGTGATGAGGTGGAGCTCCGAGTCTCTGGAGAAGATACCATAATCGTGATCCGGATGGTGAGAGAGGCTGTGGGCGAGCGCAGAACAAGTCGTGATGAAAATATTATCAAACACAAAGAGACTAGGTACCATGCATGGTTTGCATTTCGCTCTCGGACTGAGGGATGCGCCACTCCCAGGCTGTCTGTCGGTCGGGTTGTGTGAACCGCGCGCTTCCGGCCAAGACTGATAAGTAAAGTCGTGATTACAAGGACCAGGGGCACAACGGGGCAGTGAATATGCCTATTTTCCTCTGCGAAGCGCTGTTTCTTTACCCCGCAACTTTGATAAGTATAGGTATAAATTGACGCGGTCCTCAAAATTGTAGGCTCTTCGGCCAAGAAGTGGAGACAGATAAGAGCTGCTCCATGCTGACGGTACTGGAATTAGCGGAGACCTGATTGTGCCTAGTACCTGCTTTACACTCCACTATATCCATTCCTTTTGTCTAGAAACGCCAAGACAAATTCCTCATGTTATAAAAGTCACAACATGCTCGTATTCCCAAACGCTGTGATGTGATGCCCTGTCTGCCTCTAGTGCAACTCTCATACTGTTCTCTGTTAGTCACAGTCCCTTTCAGGCCGGTGATTATACACAAATAAGATATACTAGTTGCAGACATGTTGGCTCCAACTTCAAACCGAGATATGGATGGTGAAATTGCTGCCAAAGACAAGCCACTTGACAAGGCTGGCGACGATTCCTCAATCAGAATCGTTACCGAAAATAACAAAAATCCTTCGGGCGCTGAGGATACCGAGGCTAATGAGGTGTTCAAACTCAATGGCCAGGTAAATTATCGTACCATGGGATGGATCAAGGTAAGACACCAATTGGATGTAAATAGCAAACTCGTGCTGATATCCTCTTATCAGGCCTCTATCATGTTTTGCAAGTTCCGTACGTCTTGCCTGACCTCTTTTGAGGGTAACTCACTAAGACGTGACAGAGATCGCTGCCGGTATTCTTAGTATTCCTGGCAGTTTCCATGACCTCGGTGCTATCCCAGCCAGCATCCTTGTCTTTGTATGGGGCGGACTGTCTCTGTATGGCGCCTTGCTCATGGGTCAATTCCGTCTCAATCATGCCAGCATTCACTCGGTTGGCGACGCCGGTACTCTGATTGGGGGCAAAATTCTCGGCGAAGTCGTGGCTTGGATGTACTTCTTTTCATGGGTGTAAGTCTGACAGTCAATTTCTGTTTGGAAGCAGCCCAAGTCTTGGTGTTAATGTCACATAGTCTCCCTGCTGGTGTGACAATGCTCAGCGTCTCGATTGCGTTCAATACTCTGTCTGATCATGCCCTGTGTACCATGACTTTCACGGCCATCGCTGCCGTCCTATGCACCATTCCGGCACTCATGCCCAAGTTTGGACAGATTGGCGTCTTGACCTGGGTTGGATTTGTTACCTTGTACATATCCATTTTGATTGTTGTGTTAGTATCTCCCATCCGCACTAATCGTATCTCTAAACCAATGTTTGTTAACCCTCCATAGCATTGCGGTATCTCTCCAGGATCGCCCGGCTGCTGCGCCTACCACTGGCACATACGACCTTGAATTCTACTTGGTAAACAAGCCAACTTTCAGCGTGGGGCTCGCCGCCTCCAACTTAATCCTGACTTCTTACGGTGGTACTACTGCATAGTGCGTAATTCTACTTCTACAACATTAAATTTAATCCTTCTTCACGTCTGTCCGACTTGAAGAGGCTTTGCGACATACTTTTCTTTTCTTCAGTGGAACTGACACGCAACAGCATTCCTGCCTCGTCGGAAATGAGAGACCCTAAGAGATACTTTAACCGCGCCGTTTACATAGCTCTCACCATCACTACTCTCTCCTATTTTATCCTCCCTCTGATCGTTTACAAGTACTGTGAGTGATCTGACGGAGCCTCCATGTCATTTTGATACAAATGAGACTCAGACTTAACAACTCTAGGTGGTCAATACGTTGCTTCTCCCGCTCTAGCATCCGCAGGCCCGCTCATCAAGAAGATTGCGTATGGTATCGCTCTCCCAGGCCTCGCCATCACTTGCACGTTGTGTATGTACTTGTATCTATAGCCCCAAAAATCGATATTGCTGACCAGCAGTCCTTCACACTTGTGGCAAGTTCATCATGGTCAAGCTTCTTCGCGGTACTCGTCACCTACAGGAAAAGACGTGGCAGCACCGATTGACCTGGTTGTACGTGTTTCCACATCCATGCAAAGGAGCACAGAACGTGTTTCTCAGTATCGTTGCTAAATTGACCTTCATTTGCCCTTTCTTTAGGTGCTCCGTGGTATCGATTACAATCGTTGCGTTTGTCCTCGCTACAGGTGTTCCATTCTACAGCGAGCTACTCAGTGTTCTGGTTCTATTCACTACTCCCAACACAATCTCGCTCCCCATGTTGATGTGTAAGTGCCTCACAGTTTACAGACAAGGGCTTGGAGACAATTAGCGACGACACAAGGATTGGATCACTAACATATTTGATTCTAGGGTTCTATGATAATAAACATTTCAAGCGGAAGACAACGTGGTACGCCAGTGTAATTCATGGCATCTTTCTCGTTGCTGGTCTATTCTTTGGCATTGCAGGTTGCATAGTATCCTGTCTAAACATCAATGATCTGTACAAGGAGGGAAAAGCCGGCGCTGCCTTCTCTTGTGCCGACAATGCCGTTTGAGAAAAGAAGAAGAGGAGAGAAGCAGTGCCCCTTTGCTCCCTACCGCATGCGTCACCATACATTCTGCAAGAATCCATGCGCACTATCATTACAGAAGACGCAAGTGGAGAAGGACGAGAATTCAATAGCAATGATACAAGAACTGTATGTACCTAGCCGCCAACAAATATACTGTATACTTGTTTCGTCACCTCATAGCTCTTGCCCACTGCCACTTTTGAGTCATCCTGCGTGAACGGCCTTGGTGCAGTGCAGCTGGTCCATGTAATAAGTCTAGCTCGTAAGACAACATCGTTTAAACCAAATGAATACGTGTGTTTAGGTGGATATACTCGGATACCTGCCGAGTCGCGCCCCGAAACTTGAGGAGACGAAGGTGACGATATCGACTTGTCAAATTCTGAACTATACCTACTTTGTATTGTAATGTAATTGATAGGCCCAATCTTTCGGGGTTTACTAGCAAACCCCCACATTTGATAACCCTGCAGCCCTGATACGACAAGAGAGACTGTGCTGGGGAATATGCGATTCGGCGGGGTCGCCGTCGTTAACACGGTCCTTTCTCCAGTTTTTATTTTCTTTCTCTATTTGGAAGTATTCTTCGCTGTGTAGTTCTATCCTGGCCTGGTATTTCTAATAATACCGATGTAAACCATGAGACCATGTATCCTTTTAGTTTTACTCCCGGTCGGGGACCCTGTCGCTTGTAGACCGTCCACAAATATATTGAAACAGAGAAGTCGCATTGTTTTGTCGACGTCTACTTGGCAATTCATCCATCCTCATTGTATTATCCGGTTTTTGGTCTGATTTGATCCTACTGATACACTCTTACTCAACATGACGCCTCGACCCCACCCATTGGATGATGTCTCGGTTGACGAGGTCAATACGGCATGTTCCATCTTGAAGCACAATCGTCCCGATTCGCGTCTATGGTTCAAGGCGTGCACTCTTCACGAACCTGTAAGTGGTCATCATTATTCCCACTCTACGCCTTTTGGTAACTTGGTTGCCTGTCACCAATAATAGACCCCTGAATCTTGAGATGATGGTCACTAATTCCCCTGCAGAGTAAAGCCGACCTGGCACTGTACCTTGCAGCCGAGAGACGGGGAGAGACGCCGTCGTAAATCATAGCTCGTCAAATTTATGCCATGTTCTTCGTGCTCAACACGCGCACCTTGATGGAGGTGGTTATTGATATGGACACCGGCAAGGAGATCTCGGTAGAGGAGGTCAAGGACCACCATGCGCCGCTTGACCGAACAGAGATGTCCGAGGTCAAGGAGAACATTGCCAGAGATCCCATATTCCTTGAGGCGATCAAGGAGCTCGCCGTGCCGAAAGAGCTTATTGTGCTTAACCCGTGGCCTTTTGGCTCCGAGGACAAGAACCCTGCATCGCGGAAAGTTTTCTGTCTCACTTATCATCGCAATCCCGCAACCAATGATCCCGAATCCAATTACTTTGCCTACCCCTTACCGCTCGCCTTCTACTATGACATCTGCGAGAAAAAGATCACACATACCCATTGGTGCTACACCGGTTCTGAAGAGGATGGTATGAAGAGTAGAACTGGCCCGCTGGTATGCTTGATGTATTCCAAGATATCAAGCTTCCGCTGACATGGCGCGTAGGTCTATCCCACAAAAGAGTACCTTCCAGCAGAAATTCTGCCATCACTGCGCGAGGATGGCGAGAGGACGGACCTCAAGCCCTTGATTGTTTCCCAGCCAGAAGGTGTCAGCTTTACTGTCAATGGTCGTTTGATCGAATGGCAAAAATGGCGTTTCCGTGTAGGCTTCAAGTGAGTTTTTCCGGCGGCCACTAAACGAGTGCCTTTGTTGATTTGTATACCTAGTTATCGCGAAGGGCCAGTCCTGCATGATGTTACGTATGATGGTCGACCTCTTTTCTACCGAATTTCGCTGAGTGAAATGCACGTGCCATATGCCGACCCCCGACCGCCAGCACATCTCAAACAAGTCTTTGACTTTGGAGACATCGGACTGGGACGAAGCGCCAACTCGCTCAAGAATGGATGTGACTGTCTTGGCACCATGAAGGTATGTTGGTTTGGAGGAGGCAATTTGACACAGCACGCCTAGCTGACCGGGAACAGTACTTCTCCACTGTCGAGGTCGACCCTACAGGTTTCGCCAAGAAGATCTCAAGCGTGATTTGCTGTCACGAGCAGGACAATGGTATCTTGTGGAAGCACACGGGTGCGACCGGCGTCGCCACGGTGACTCGCCAACGCCTGCTCGTCCTCCAGACCATCATCACTGTCGGCAACTACGACTACGTGTTTGCCTGGCAGTTTGACCAGGCTGGTGCCATCAACCTCGAAGCCCGAGCCACAGGAATCCTGTCCACTGCTGCCATTGACATGGGCAAAAAGTCACCTTGGGGCACGGTTGTAGCCCCGGGTGTACTGGCCCCTTCTCACCAACACTTTATCAACGTGCGAATTGGTAAGCTATTCCTCGTCAGACCAGGTCTCCCGAACATGTACACTGATCCGAGAACCAAAAAGACCCCATGATTGATGGCCATGAAAATTCGATCGTTCAAGAAGATGTCTATGGACTTCCCATCTCGGAGCTCAATCCTCATGGCAATGCCTTTCATGTAAAGCAGACTCCAATCACCACGGCCGGTTTCGCCAACGCATCACCATCCACCAACCGCTCGTTCAAGATTGTAAGTTTTTGATTGCAGCTCCATCAACCCCCTCCCAGCCATCCCTGGCCGACCCCACTCTCTACTATGATCTAGCATTGGCTCATTCACTTCGTAGTACAACCCAAACAAGATCAACCCCATCACCATGACACCAGTCTCGTACAAGCTGGTACCGCACCCCAGCCAGCTGCGACTCGCGGATCCCGATGCGCACATGACGGGCCGTGCCCCCTTTACCCAACATCACATTTGGGTCTCGAGCTACCGGGATCGCGAGCTGTACTGTGCCGGCAAGTTCACCAACCAGTCCAATGGAAATGCCGGAGGGGTAGAAGCCTTTGTGGCGCGCAAGGACAATGTCGTCAATACCGATGTTGTACTCTGGCACACTTTTGCTCTCACTCATGTGCCTCGCATCGAAGACTTTCCTGTCATGCCTGTCGAAACGCACATGATCAGTCTCAAGCCGTGTAAGTGGAAGGAGAAAGTCTTTGCCCCCCCCCCCCCCCTTCTCCACTTGATTTTGTGTATCCTGTAGAGAATATTCGTCTAATGTCGCAGACAACTTTTTTACGCAAAATCCCGCATTGGATGTGCCTTTGTCCACCCAAGCCTTCAACAAGAGTCAGTATGTCGATGTGGAGGAAGACGATGGCTGCTGCGCAGGTAACGGTGCTTTATAACTTTTCAACTTTTATTCCAAATTTATAGACTTTATTCAATCTTGAGACTAGACGATTGAGGTGTACCTTGTTCATTTGATTCAGAAGGCAGTAGGGTATGCAGAAATGCCCATACCGGAATGCAACGTGGCCGTTTCCCGTACCCGATCCGATCTACCTTTCGGTAATGGCTTTCAAGAGACAGGTACTGTTAGGGAGTTGAAACTATTTGGGAAGAAACTGTGATGTGGAGCAATTTCACTCTCGTGGTTCACGGGCGGTACACCATTATGGGTTTTGCAAATGTCATGGCATGGTAAAAGCAGCATTTGGTCCGACACCAAACATGTTCGAATTCTGAAATTCAAGCTGTGAAAATTAAATGATGTTTTATAGTCCAATCAGGCATTCATCCTCATTTTACGAAATCACTATTTACAGTCCAAAGCCTTGACCCATACACCCTGAACTCAAGCGGCGCACACTTCACTTGAGATGGATGGAGGCAAGAGATCGATCCGGTAGAGAGCACCTCCAACAACAGCGCCGTCATCTGCAATAGAACCCGAGCACACGACGTAGAGAGTATCATTGGCCTGAATCCCGCGACCAAAGGCCACGGAGGCTGGCGTATTGAACTGCTCGGTTTCATCAATGTAGAAGATGGTCTGGGTCAGGTCCGGCTGCACGAGCGACAGGGCGTTGGGGTGGATGCACACATAGGCGTTGCCCGCGTCATCGACCGCCAGGTCGTCATAATTGGTGGTGCCGTTTTGCTGAATCTGGCCGAGGAGCTCGAGACCGCCCCAGGACCACTCGTCTCGGTTGAGGCGGTACCGGCCAAAGATGGCCGAGGAGGAATCCGTGACGTAGAGGTGTTGGCCGTGGTAGCGCACGCCATTGAGGGCCAGCTTGTTGTCATTGTAGTAGGGCTGAGAGCCCAGCAGTGGCGAGTCAATAGTGATGCTAATCTCGGCAGTGGCCATGTCGATGCGGAAGATGGTGCCGTTGATTTGATCGGCGGTAAAGATGACCCCGGAGCCCGGGACGGTGGTGAGACCATTGAGAAGCCCGGCCTGGGGGAGATCGATAAACTTTTGCGCGACGGGCATATCCGACGTGGTGAAATTGAGCGTCCAGATGCTATATGTTCCCTCGGCAGGGCCGACGGTGGTCAGATTCGAGCTGTTGAGGGTGCCAACATTGACGGCAAAGACGTCGGGGTACACTTCGGTGATTCCGAGGGCCGAGTACCCCGAGGGCCAGGTGTCAATCGTCTTTGGCACAATGTCCGTCTCGGATGGATCAAAAATGAAGATGGCGTCCATGTTGGCACAGGTGACAATCAATTGTCCGTTGGACCGGACAGCAATATTCTCAAGCTCGGTCTCGGTAGCATTTGAAAACCGGTAAAGCTCAGTGACATTCTTGGGGGACGTGGCTGGGGTGGCAACCGCAAGGGAGGCGAGCAAAAGGCTTGCGAGGGCAGTGAGACTGTGCATTTTTGCGATTGATCTGCCGGCAGCATAAATGACAAGAGTTATACTTTACCAGGTAGTTGACCAACGGTATGGGTCGATAAGATACATACGGGCTCTTTCTATCTTCCACTCAATGTTCACTTTATATTTGAATCTTAATATGAGTTTGCGAATAGCTGCGCATCCACAACGCTCATTGTATCCTGTTCAATGGACCGTGTAACTGCTTGACGGCCGAAGGAATTGAAAGGTAGAGATATGCATCTGGGAAATTATACGGCCCTATCTCTACGAATGCGATCTGCAAGGATATTGCTCTTGTCAATCGAACCGGAAGTGACCTGGCTTGGAGACAGTGGGTCAGCTCTTTTCCCAAGAACTTCTGACGTCAAACAGAGTGAGGACCGCGTCCAACGAGGAAATGACACGGTCCGATTCAATTCATCCAGAATAGCAGTAAAAAGTATGAAAGGAATCTACGTTCAGAACTCGAAAAGGTCTAAAAAGGGTCCACTCTCCATTAGATGATATATACGGGAAGTCTACTGCCCATCAATTCACTCTTCCCTTTGGGTTGTCTGTCATTCTTGTGAAAGTCATGTAGTGCCAACCAACACAAACTCCGAAAAACCAAGGTGCACCACATCTCAGTGTCAACAACGACAGAGTGCTCACTCGCGTCGCCATTTCCACGAATCTTGCGTAGCACATGGCTAAAGTACAAGCGTATAAGCTCCTTCTCTTTATCCCCCGGCTGTGCCGAGTTCAACTTGGTAAAGGCGTCGATAACGTCCTTGTCCTCGTGATTGGCCTTGTCTTCATCTTTGCCGTACTTTGGGTTCAAGCATAGTAGGATGATTTGTATGTGTTTAGATAGAATCCGTCTGGCATTTGGCTGCTTCTCCTCGAGATACTCATCACATGTCTCCAGGGCGCTGTGAAGGGATTGCAAGTACTCGGCATTGACCACTTTTTGCTGGCGATCTGCTTGACCAAGTTTCTCCAAGATTGTTTTGACATTTTCCACTTGTGTCCGGAGCCTAGCGAGGCTGGGGTTGAACTGTTTCAGTGACGGATTTGTGTGAATCTCTGCACTGAAAGCTTTCAGAGCTTCGGACATGTTGAAATATCGCACATCCCACTGATAGAATGTTGGGTTTGGCACAGTGCGAAAGAAGCTGTCTTTGACGTGGAGAATCTTGCCCAACATCCCCAAGACCTCAAAAGCAACTGGAAACTCATTAGCTATCTTGTTCTGACTGTATCAAATGAGTAACTTACGAGGGTAAAGATGTCGCTGATTAGTATCGTTCTTCCGAATGAGCTCCGAGACTTCGGTACTACAGCCGAATGATATAAGTGTTTCTGCCAGTTCATTGGCGCTGCCCATTTGCAGGTACTTCAAGTCTTTGAACTCGTCGGCAGATAATGCTGTCAGTCGACTCTCGTCGACGCTGTTCTCTTTGTGATAGATGGTGGGAACAAGCCCAAAGGCCAAATCCTTGACCTGATGAACAGGAATGGTGCGGTTGCCCTCAAACTTGCTGGCGCCCCGAACCTGGAACGTAAAGACTGTCCCTAGCTCGGAGACGCTGGTAGACTTGAGGACAAAGCCATTGCCTTCTGCGAGAAAGTTTTCCTTGGCTCGGTCAAACTCTTTCCAATGCAAACCCAGCATGGCAGCCATTTCCATAATGTGACAGATTGTAGTTGTCGCGTAGGGCTTGGTAATGCTCGAGGGCATATTATCCCAGCTTCTAGTCTTTCGTTGAATAGCCACAGCCAGCGAACGTGTGTGAAATGGAGGTGGCTGAGGACATTCGGGCGTGTTTTTGGCAGGCTGCTCAGTTTCCCATTTTCGACTTTCGTGTTCCATCTTGTCCAGTGCTGACAGCAGTGTTATCCATGTAGCTTGTTCGTTGTTGACCGTGTGGACACCCTTTTGGGGTTGCGACTCTACAGGGATAAGCTGAACTCTCTCCCCTTGTCTAGTAAGGCTAACATCATCTTTCTTGGGAACCTTTTTGACATCTTTCTGTTCGGGGTCTTTCTCAGCTTGGCTTTGGGTGTCTCTGTCATCTCCAATAAACAGTGAAGTCTGGTTCGGCATGGGAAAGTTTTCATTTGCAACAGAGCAAACAATAAAGACTGGTGTATCGTACTTGACCCCAAAGCGAAATTCGGCCTTGTGGAAAACGCGGCGCTTGAACGCAACCCATCCTGGCATGACTGCTGCGTTGATCCTAGAGTATCCTTTTGCAGAGCCCAGGTACGAATGAAAGAGCTGCAGAGTGCTCCATAGCAAGGCTGTGGATGACACAACCAAGGCGATCACTGAAGTGACAATAGTGGCGATTTGGCCTCCCTCTAGAGCCATGGTGATTGCTGTGTCTCAATGATGAAGTTGAAATTTCTGTTGCCAAACCAAGAATAATGATGAAAGATGCGACAAAGATATTTCAAGACAAAGAATTGTTCAAGTGATATATGCCATGTTATCAATCATTTTCTTCCAAGGTGCTCGACCGCCGAAAATGCGCCCGGCAAATGCAGCCGTCGCTGAGCTGAGACGTTTTTACGTATCCTGGTATCTGCGACCCAATCAATACGTGCAATGATGCAGCTCATGCAGGAAAAAGCAACGATCCTCGTCGTCTGGTCACAGATATCACCGCAGCCTGATTTGCAAATGGATCCATTGAGGGCTAATTTTTGTGGTATCACTTTTCAAAAGTAATCAGATCTCATTAGTTTAAACAGGACATACGCACTGCATGCATTGCCAGAAAGATAGTTGTCAAGCGTTGGCTTGGTAGATGAATATACCATATACGGGAAGCGGTTCGTGCTAGAGATCAGATAAGGGCCGGGGGAAAAAAGTGTACGCTGTAAGGCTCCCAGCCACGCAGCTCAATCAGGCAGGGATCTCTGTACTTTGGTGCACCACCCTGCATGCTACATGTGAGTATCTATGCAAGGATCTCAAAGGCGCTCTGTCATTATGAGCACATGCAAGGCATAGTAATATGAGGCGAGAGCCTTGCGGACAGGAATTCAGGGAAGCAGTCAGAGTTGCACGATATGTGGGTATTTCATTGCTTATGACCTGTTAAGTGGTGAGATAAATGTGTCACACAAATAAATGTCTTGGTGCTTAAGAAGGGACATTTGTTACGTGGCGGACGCCTTGGAACCAGCCGCCTTTTCCGGCTGTTGACAAGTGCTGAACTACCTTGTAACGTCCCACATTAACAAACACTATGGTGATTATAGTTGCTAATGGCCTCGGCAATTATTGGAACACTAGGCTAGTGCGGTTCATATATTGACTATAGGCTCCGAATCACTTTTATTAAAGTATCTCGGAGCAATTTATACATCTGTGCTACCGATTTTCATATTAGAGCATGTAACGAATATAATGCCTGGAGGGTCTTGCGCGACTGCGATGATGCCGTGCGTGGACAGCACAATACAATACTCCCCTATAGGCCTCGGGATGTGAACGTCGGCGCATCTACCGATGAGCACTGTTTCCCGGTGGATCATCTAGTCTTGCAGAAAGATCATGGGTTTTTTTTTGGAGTGTAGCAACGGACTTTATAAGAATTGTCATATGTCACGCAACAATTTGGATGATGTCGCCGGATTGGCTTTAGCCGTGTGCCTAATCTGAATTGACTTTACAACATCCCCGCCCGCCAAGCCAAGTTTCCCCCATGAACTATTTGGGTATATGACAGCAATGAGGACAAGGGCAGGACGATCAATCTCATTCATGATAGCTTTTTACAATCTAAATTCGCAAAGAATTTTGGTTATGGCATTCCAAGTTTTAAACCTGTCTTGCTGCTTATAATGGGGATCAAACTCAAACTCCTTTTCACTTGTCTTTGGCTAGGGCTTGCTACAAGCCAGGAATACTCACCAACGCCAACAATCTGTACCATTGAGGCTAATCCATCGTATACCAAGGCGACAAAGCTTCCCGACCCTTTTCTTCTCTCGAATGGAAGTCGGCTCACAACCAAGGAACAATGGGCATGCAAAAGATCAGAGATAAGGGAACAACTTCAAAAGTACGAGCTGGGTGTTAAGCCTTCCAAGCCTACAGTCTCAGCAACGTTTTCCAGCAGCAAAATCACAATCACCTCTTCGCAAGGCGACAAATCAGCAGTATTTACTGTGGCCGTCAAGGTACCAAGCGGAACGGGTCCATTCCCTGCTCTCATTGCCTATGAAGGGGCGTCGATCCCAGTTCCATCCGGAGTGGCTGTCTTGACCTTTCCCAACCACGATGTTGCTGCCGATGACCCTCGTGGCAAGGGTAAATTTTATGATCTCTATGGCACCAGTCACCCGGTTGGGGCGCTCATGGCCTGGGCATGGGGAGTAAGCCGCTTGATTGATGCCTTGGAGCAGCTAGGATCTGCTGCAATGCGTATCGACACCAGTCGACTGGCAGTAACAGGGTGCTCACGAAATGGCAAAGGCGCGCTGATTGCCGCTGCCTTTGATGATCGCATCGCACTGGCAATTCCTCAGGAGGGCGGGTCCGGAGGGCCGGGATGCTGGCGTATTGTCGCAGACATTAAGAAGAATGGTACCAAGACGGAAGACGCAACGCAAATCATTCAGGGCGACTCGTGGTTTGCTACTGCGTTTTCTCAATATGCTCCAGATACTTCCCAATTACCTTACGATCACCACATGTTGATGGCCCTAGTAGCGCCTCGAGGGCTTTTGGTTATAGAGAACTCTGGAATCGACTATTTGGGCCCAGCCAGCACGTATGGGTGCTCTGTAGCAGCGCGCATGGTCTATGATTCGCTTGGGGTTGCGAACAACATGGGAATCTCGCAAGCATCACATGGGTCTAGCCATTGTTCAATGCCGGCATCACAAAACCCAGAAGTCGCCGCATTCTTCAACAAGTTCCTTCTCGGGGTCGAAAGCGATACGAATGTGGTAAAGACTGACGGCAAATTCACCTGGTGGGCCCCCAAGTGGATTGCTTGGTCATTGAATGAATTAATATAGTTGGTACATTGAAATAAAACCCGTATCATTATTAATTTAATCCAACGGCAAGAGCGTGGGAATATTGCTTGTAATTTGACATGAACGATGGAGGTCAGGATATATTCGGACGTTAAGCCAGCATAATAAATGGTTTTCGGTAAGTTCTAAGCACTGGAATAATACCTTTTCATCCTTGTTACTTTTATGCCCCGGAAAGTGGCAGCGCGGAAGGGACGATGTCTAAATGGACTCTGAAAGACTGTACTCTTCTACTGGTTCTGTTAATTGGTAATGATGCTTAGGAACATGCCCCAAAATTTTCTTGGTATGCCACCGTACAACTCGTTCAATTTTAATAACGCCGGTGACGCGGTGTATATGTTCAAGGTGTCGCTAAACGCCGTGGCGACCGGAGCCCATGTCGCTGCCAGGGTGGCTATTATGTAAGCTTTAGGAGGATAAGGGCTCCCAATACATCGACGGGGCCCCGTTGATTTAATATCGACGGACCCGTCGATATTATGTAAACGTTATTTTACAGCGCTTTATAGCGTTCTGCCCCTTTTTATAGCGCTTTACAGCGTTTTATATAGCAGCGATAGGAATTTATGCCTTTATTATAAGCTTTGGCGTTTCCTTTTTAATAGCTATAAATAATGGCCACAAATAATGGCCATAGATAATAGCCATAAATAATAGCCATAAATAATAGTTACAAAATGGTTATAACGCGAAAAGGAAAAGAATCGCAATACGCAAATTGTTATAACAGATATTATATAGCACCGTCCCAACGATTGCGAGTATGCTTTTTGGCCATTATCGTATAATAGGACACAGAACGCTGTAAAGCGCTGTAGAGCGCTATAGAGCGCTGTAGAATAACGTTTACATAATATCGACGGGTCCGTTGATTTATTGGGAGCCGAGGATAAGCGGACTTTTTCGCCTATATTTGGGGTAGACTTACGCCCCTTGGCCGGAAGCGTAATCGAATTTATTGTGTGATATAAACTGCATTGAAATAGGTATTTAAGCACTGCGACTCTGCATGGTACAATCTTATTTCTATTCGACTATTTCTTGTCACCGATATATTCCAACTTATACATCCAACTCACTTGAAGACAGTGGGTCACGGTTTGGGATGAATGACACCGACTCCGCTGTTGTACCTAAGACACGTCACCGTGAATGGGGGCCCCTAGGTTATTTCCTTATTGATATCCTTAACACGAATACCCGCTTATATCAGCCACTTGTGGCGTAAATATCATGATTTTAATGCCATCGGTGTTGGTAGTTCCATGCAGTAGACTGAACACCCCGCATGCTCCATCTTTATACCCTTCTTGACTCTATCCGTCACATCACAATGAATCAGGACTCACGCCTACACAGTCGACGACTCCACTACGACCGCCCCTTCCAAAGATATGAACGTGACGGCCCGCTTCAATGGGAATGGTTCAGATCCAGATTGCGAGATGCACCTATCAAAGTGCCGCAGCTGGACCCCATTCCTCGGGGATTTCGGCTCATCGACGTAGAGGAAAAGAAGGTTGTTCGAGCCTCTGGGTTAGGGCCAATCGAGTATGCGTGTTTGAGCTACGTCTGGGGGAACAACGAGGAATTCCAGTCTACGAAGGACACCATCGGCTCCTTTGGGGAGATCAACAGCCTCGGTCGCGACAGTGTCCCGGCAACAATCAAAGATGCCATCACTATCTGCAACAACCATCTCGGTATCCGATACCTCTGGGTTGACAGGCTCTGTATTGTGCAGGACGATGTTGGACCAGATGGCGAAAAGCAGGAACAAATTGAAGCTATGGGCCGCATCTACAATCATGCTGCCGTCACTCTCGTAGCAGCGGAGGGTGACGCATCTGCCGGGTTTCCTGGTGTTACCCGACCATTCGTGCCAAGTCGGAGACACCGATCTTGGAATATCATCCGGCCTTCGAGATGGGCACAGCGCGGATGGACATACCAAGAAGCTATGCTCTCTCGTCGCATGTTTATATTTGCGACGGAAGGCATCTACTTTGAACGAGAACAGTTAGGGCCCTTACAGCCGTTTACCGCATGGCGTCCTCGTGATGATTACCAGCCGCTTTATCACTATAAGACCCGCTATTCAAGCATTGTCAAGGCATATACGAAGCGAACACTGGGAAATGAGGCCGACATCATAAATGCGTTCCATGGTATTTGTTGCCACATGTTTGACAAACATCATCGCTTTGGAATACCTACGAATGGATTCCATGACGCATTGCTTTGGTTCCCGTCAACGGAAGGCAGCGCAAGAGAACGAAGGCCTCCCCAAGGCTGCAACGTCTTCCCAAGCTGGTCCTGGTCTTCCGTTCGAGGGGCGGTCACGGTTCATGATGAGCAAACGCCTCTTTATCACGTCGCAGCATGGGCCTTTGCTGACAAGATCGATGCCGCTGGGAACATCTCGATGACATTCGCAAAACCTCGACACTTTTTGTCCGTTGCAAAGAAAATGCTATCCCAAAGTTCATTCATCAAGTATACAATGAAACTGGCGGCTCTGGCGTCTAGATATGGCTGCACGCCTGCAACACCGATGGGGGTCGACGATCCTCATCTGAATAACGAGGACCAGTTCGTTGAAATGTGGCCATCTAGCACAGATCTTTGGCGAGCAAGCCATGGAGTTGATCAAAATGAACGACCCGCATTGGCCGAACAGATTCCACCGGAGAAGAAACAGCTTGCTGCTGCATCCGGTGGGCATTTGTTGGGTTTCTCGCAGACCCTGCGTTTAAGCATCGCGCCCACAAGTGGGGGTCTGGATGGGGGACCATCACACTGCGCTGTGTACATTGACAACAAGCTTGTCGGGGTCCTCTCATTTGATGACAAGACATACCTGGCAAAATTGCGGGAACGGAGCGACAAAATCCAATGCATTGCCCTGTCGACCATGGATAATACTTGGTTGGGTGTAAAAGGGCAACATTGGCACACATTTGGCCAGGGGATCATCGAGGCATTGGACAAGGCAGCCAAGGCAATAGGCCGTTACCGGTATGTCTTCATGTGTTTCATGGCAATTGAGTCACACAATAAAGGGCTTTCACGCCGAGTCGGTATTGGGTTTATCCCTTTGGACGACTGGGTTCAATTGAAACCAACCAAAACATTTTTCGTACTCGCATAGCGCTACATTGAATTCAATAAACATGGTCTGAATAATTTACCAAAAAGTTGTTAATATTCTCGGGGTTGGGGCGTTGAGGTAATTAGACTCGTTCAACTTCGATAATGCCACCAATGGTGTGTGGCTTGTGCCATACCTTGGTGACCTTTAATCCCTCGACGTCGCCGATGAGCGTTTGCCATTCCTGTTCAGTCCTTTCAGCAGACGAAAAGCTCATCATCATTGTGATGTCTGCCATGGTGGTCTGCACAGAGGGCTCCCGGGCGCTGACGATATCCTCGTGAATCAACATCTTGGAGTAACCTGGTTCCATCGCTTCGGCAGTCATCCTCAGGATCTCGGTCGCCTTGTCGTTTGGCCAGTCGTGGAGGATCCGGTGAAGGTAGTATGCTCGAGCGCCTTTGATAGGCTGCGGTGTAAAGAAGTCGTATGGGTGTATGGAGATTGTAGGGTCGACTGTCAAGCCATCTAGCACCTTTGGTAGGTCTTGGAGTGCAAGACTACCTATTGGGATGTTGGGATGTCTCTGGTGGAACTTTTCAAGGTCATGGCCTTTGCTGCCGCCGACATCCACGACGAGCGGACGGTCGGGATCTGCGCCCTTGATAATGTTGTCGGTGTCGTACACTTCAGTCCACTGTGAAATGTTGCCTCGCCCATGATAATCCATAGCGTTTGCAAAATCCAGGCTTCGTTGCGGAGAAGATGCTATAAACTCAAAATAATTGGAGCCTTTGCCATGCACGCGTTGGAAATTACTATCTCGCAAGTCGGTGGGGTTCTTGAATCCGGTTTCTGCCAAGAACAAAGGCATTGATACCGCTAGTGGAAGTTGCACTTCGTGATAGAATGACCCATATATCGATGCAAGCGCGAGGTCCTTTCCTAGACTCAATGCGTAAGGTGTGGAGGCATATGTATTCTCCTCTACCTCAATGATGAAATGCTGCGCGGCAACGTGCCTCAAGAGACGACCTATCAATGATTAGTACCTTTATAGTATCTGAGCTTATTCGTTATTTATAGATAAAGATTACCCAGGAGAACAGCATCAGCGCCAGTTAGCTTGGCAAACTCGTTCGTCGTTAGTGGCTTGCTGCCGTGCGCCGCCCACTTTGTGAACAGGCCGACATCTATCAAGGTTCTGACGGCAGCGACGGTAGTCATTTCAATCCAGCCGTGGGCGCATGCAATATCCCACGGCGTTTGGATTCTCCGTAGTGCGGCAAGAAGGGCGTTGGCAAGTTGAAGACGCTCCGGTTCAGACTTGAACGAATCGGCACCAATGCTTTCAAGCCGCGAGATAGCCTCGTCAGTAGACATCATATTGGCGAACGATGAACCAGAGTTACAGGATTCAGGTTATTGAGCAAACTCGGATATTGCAGTAGTGTATTTGCGATGCAATTCAAAAAAAAAAAAGAAGCGGGCGATCAAGTGTGCTTGATAATGCCGACCCGGAGCGGTACATATCAAGGAACCGGGAGCCAGGAGGCTGAAGGAAAGAGGTCCGAGATTCACCTATTCCATGGGCCCAATGCAAAATGTAGGATGACGTATACATGATCCCGCTTCTCCATTCCAGTGGTACAACCAAGAAATATTGAGGTGCACAGCATCCCCGCCTCACTGGTTGTGCAACCGTGAAAATGCGACCCATTCGGCTACAACGTAAGGCTTGTACAAGCACTGCAAGTATGTCGCACGGACATAATCTGCAGTCTCTACCCTACGCCCATCACTTGATCAGGTATTCAGCCTTGTTCCTCCACTTGCAGGGCGGCGGCTCTTTTGGGCCTATTATACCGTGCATGCCTTGACTAAGCGCCTACCCGGAACCAAGAAATCTTCTGCGACTCGAACTTTTCTATATGATACAGGCAAGTTACCGTATCCAGGACAGTCACCTTCTAGAAACTTTTGGTTATTTCGACTGTTCTGGATTTTGGCACCTACTGCGTTGTAGCCGATTTATGATTGCCAACATCTCTACCTGTCGGTGGCTCCTCGCCGTGATTGATTTGAGCTTGACTCGAAGCGGTGCTGCCATGAGACCATATGTACCTATGTTTGTCCAATCTTTAAGACTTGACCCTGTTACTGGTCCTACAATGGTCGGATATCGTAGAGGTTAAGTGATTCGGGGAGCTGGAACAAAGGATAACATACTCTAATGCCTAGATATGCAAGTCAGCATCGCGGCGTGTTCAATCGCAGACTACAAAAAGTGGCACGGTAACTTCTGTGGTATCGGATTAGATCAGGGAACCACCCGAGTCAGTTCATCCAGGGGGGCGCCGTATCAAGTTAGGAGGGACCTTTCGGCCTGCCGCTAGCATACATGGATGCACTGCATTAGTGCACTTCGTACAATGGATTTTTACTGTGTTCAGACCCCCACATGACCTGTACATGCGCTGAAGCACCATGTTGCGACTTTCTGCGGCACCGAGTTGTGAGCCTATTGTATGTATTCAAGTAGGTACATGGTCTTTATCCTGTTGCTGACGGATTCGCACTTTTTCAAGAACAACGGCAGAGGGGGCTTTGATGCTTCCTTAGAGTGTCCTACAACAAGAGCCCTTATTAGTGTCGGCTCTTGATGAACCTGTACGATATGCTTGGTTGATTAAATACAGGCGACCAGGTACAACGTGCCTATATATAGAAAATACATAAGCCTGACATGGTGCCGATTACCTACCATGTCAGATTCGTACTCAAATCCACCAATTGCCCAAAAGAGCCTCCTACAGACTGCTCATCAACGACAACCATCATCAACCAAAGGGCGCTGTAATGTTCAAGGTAGACACAATCACGGGACCCGCCGTAATAGCGGTACGAGCCTTGTTCGCCAGCACTTTCATCACTTGCAGCATACGGATCTTTGGTTATCCAGCCATGTTGCACCCCTGTCAAAATACATACCGCTTGCTACTACTACTGACGAGCATGGTATTTTCCTGCTACACTCGTACCTAGAACGTGGTAAGCTGCATGGAAATTCATTGACAGTGGCTTTGGAGAATCGATATGAGGCTTACTCCATGACGATTTGCGCACGCGATTGGCAGTACAAGTTCTCAGCACGGGGATGGGCGACGCCTAACCCGAGACAAGGCGGAAAGGTCTGTACGACCTGGGGGCCAAAAAAGGGACCTAGATGAAGAGAATTTCAATGGAGGAATGGAAGGAAGACAGAAGAAAAAAAGAGTGAGCAAGGGTGGGTTGCGCTGACCTTGGCGACTTTTTAGATGCAGGTCAGACGTAGGTCCTCGACCGGCACGGCCGCATAGATCCATGTCAACGATCCTTCCCCACCAAGAATCTCTCCACGATCCAACATTTGTCGCAACAAGTCATCTTCAACACTTTTTGGTCTGATATCATGGCTTCCAACAGTCATCAGACAGCTGGCAACGATGTTGGAAATCATACCTCTGTCCACACGCCGAGTGGGAGACTTGAAACGACATGTTGCGATCCTTTGCAAAATGCCACGTCCGATGGAGGGAATGAAGGAGGCATATTTCCTGGAAATCATCATCACGATGCCATAAAAGCAGATCCATCCCTTCCGGCACATCCGCACATCCAATCTGACTTTAAGTTTCCACATCACCAAAACAGTTCACATCAAGCTAATCAACCTCGCCAAATTCCCGTTCGCGTGGAGGGAGGAGATGTTTCCAAGAAAGGATTCCAGATTCATCGGGAAGAGATTAGATCCCTATATTTGGACCAGAACCTCACCCTGCACGAGGTTATGGAACATATGAGACGCAAGGGTTTCCGAGCTACGTAGGGAAACCTCTTGCCGGGGATTTGACCTGACATGTTGACCTTTGGTAGGCTGAGAATGTACAAGAAGCAGCTCAAGACTTGGAACTACCACAAAAACGTCCGCAGACAAGATATTGACGCCATGATACATGCCCAAAACTGTCGCGAAGGGGCGGTCGGAAAGGGGACAACTTTCTACGTCAGTGGAAAAGAGGTAAGCCGCAGATATAACCACATGTCAGTTCCTAGACCTAACTTGATGGATTACTAGTTTAATCTCAACAGACGACTAGGAAGCAGCCAAGTGCCGGTCACTGGGCTCGCTACGATCGGCTCTGGCGATGTTCACGGCATGCTCCCAGCCTGGATCACTTTTCGCACACCGTCCCCAGAACCCTACCCACCCCGTTTACCTGACGACCTAAAGTTGAAAGAGATTGTACTTCATTGGTTCGATGAGCCAGAAGGTAAAACAATCGTGTCGTTGAACTACCCAATCATCCGAACCTATCACCAGGGGCTTCGATACTTTTCAGATCAGGAATGGGAAAAGGGTGGCTTCTGGCTTCGGCTGGCATTCCAAAGTCTCCCAGAACTGATTTCTGCCCCATCCCCAATAATTATTTTTAAGCTGGCGTGCTTGAGCGTGTCCTACCCAGACCCTGGTGTTTATATTCACTTTTGGAAGTTTGTTGCTTCATACATGACAATCGCACTACCCGAGGAACACTACCTGCGGCGCCTTTCAGCTGCAGCGATGCAATGTCTTGACAGCATGGATGTCGCAAACCACATACAATTACTGTCCGACACAATGTCGACTGTCCTCAGCGACAATCCTCAGCTCATATTTCCAGCTTCCCTGGAGCATGCGTGGAATGCCCCTTACCCAGGGTGCCCAGGTAAGGTGATAATCCGATGTCCTGAAAAGTGCAGCTTGGAGGCACTTGTTCAGGCCAGCATTAGAGACTCGGCGTCTTTACTAGGTATTATCAGACACCGCATTTCGATTTTGGAGGGATGGGGTAGGAGTGGGGGCTGGTACTCCGATGTTATTTACCGGGCTGCGCTCGCATTACTACGGCTCATGGAGAACATGGATTACACGAGCGGGTTGTTACGGAGAAGCCAGCATTGCTTGATCATTGTTGCTTTACACCACAAGGCTCGGTTCGACGCCAATCCAAGCACAAACAATCCACGGATGCGACTAGCCATCTCGTTTCTCGAACGTGCTATCCTTCTCGAGCCTGAATATGATAATGGCAGCTTTGATCTCCAAGATCAAATACAACTCCTAAAGGCATGGTATCAAGCGATCGACGATTCTGGAGGTGTTCAAAGGTGTAGGGACATGCAGGAGCGCTACGAAAAGAAGTTATTGGAACAAATGGCAGAGGGGAGAACGTCTTTGTAAGATCAAAAGGCAACCCAGGTGTGCCTACTAGAAGGGCATAATGCCCGAGAAAGACGCCGATGCTCGTTCGGACTTCTCCCTGGAGTTTTGACGGAGGATGAGTTGTTGCCGGCGCGCTATAATTTGTCTCCTTCAATATACACCGTTATGCTCCAGATGGAGATTTTATCAGACAGTCTGAAAGAAATTGATCGAGTACAATGGCCATTGCCTTTGATTGGGATGGCTGTTGGACTAGTTGCCATGTTTAAAACACCAGAAACTTTTTCGGCATTCTTTTCCTCGGACACGCTCATCGCCAAGCTGTCGTTTGCTTGGTCGCGGCAATTTGAGCAATCGGGTCAGGACGATCGGCACGCTAAAGCCCCTGAGGGACGCGACAATAGCTTCGGCGATGCGGGAGCATACTCGGACTTAGCAGGGATATGTTCCAGATCGCGACCGTGTTTCCTTGGTTTCCCCAGCTTTTAAAATTACAGTGCCGATACAAGCTTATATCCAACGGCGATACTAAAAGCACCGGCTCATGACATAATCTCCAAAAACACCGCGCGTTGCCTGTGCAAGTCGGATCAACTCCACGCTTCACATGGCGGCGCGATCGGGATGCCCTGGTTATGATGGAGATCAATCGACAAGGATGAGCATTCGGATTCTACTATAAAGATCCAATCGACTGCGCTGGCCACTGTATTCCTCCACCTGCAGCTTGTCCTAGTCGTCAGCGCACATTGAGCAGCTTTCATCATGTCGCCCAGCTGGATTCTTGCCACCGCGGCTCTGCCGGCCATTGTTCGTGCCGCCACTTTGGATTCCATTTGCAATGTCGACTATGCCGTCGCTTCGCTTCCCGAGGATGACTTTTACCCTGGCATCACCATTGACAAGGCATCAGTCAGCACTGCGGCAACCACTGGCTACACGGCTGAGAGCGAGTGGTTTCCCACGACGACTATCGATTACTGCAACGTCACCTTTGCCTACAGCCACGATGACATTCCAGGGGATGTGGTTCACGTGAGTTACTGGCTTCCTGCGCCAGACAACTTCAAGAACCGTTACATCTCGACCGGCGGCGGCGGTTTAGCCATCAACTCGGGAACTTCATACATCCCCTCTGGTGTCATTGTTGGTGGCGTCTCCGGCATAACCGACGGCGGCTTTGGCTCCTTCAATACTCAATATGACGCCGCATTCTTCCTTGCCAATGGCTCGGTCAATTGGGAAGCGGTTGACATGTTTGGTTTCAAGGCCCATCACGAGCTCGCGACTCTCGGCAAGGAGTTTACCAAGAATCTATTCAACGTCACCTCTTGCACCAAGCTCTTCTCCTACTGGCAAGGCTGCTCCGAAGGCGGCCGCGAGGGATGGAGCCAGGCTCAACGCTACCCCGAGCAGTTTGACGGCTATGCCATTGGCGCCCCGGCTTTCCGCTACGGCGAGCAGCAGGTCAACCACTTGACCAGCAACGTCATTGAACAGACCATGGACTACTACCCGCCCACCTGTGAGCTCGACAAGATCACCAACCTGACTATTGCCTTTTGCGACCCTCTCGACGGGCTGACCGATGGCGTCGTTTCTCGATCCGATCTGTGCAAGCTCGCTTTCAACGTCAGCAGCACGATTGGCGAGTCCTATAGCTGCGAGGCATCTGCCGGAACCCCATACTCGGCTGCCACTCCTGCTCAATCCGGAGTCGTCACTGCCGAGGGCGCTGCTGTTGCCCAGGCAATTCTGGATGGTCTCTACGACTCGGATGGCAACTTTGTGTACTTTAGCTACCAGCCTGGTTCCACCTTTACTGATGCTGCCACTGCGTACAACGAGACTACCGACTCCTGGGGTCTTTCCATTAGCGGTCTCGGCGGTGAGTGGGTTGCAAGATTCCTCGAGTTTGAGAACACCACCACGCTTGACTCGCTCGATGGCTTCTCTTATGATACCCTCCGAGACTTGATGATTCAGGGTACCGAGCTTTACAACACGTCTCAGCAGACCACGTACCCCAACTTGACGAGCCTGAACACTGCCGGAGTCAAGATTCTGCACATTCACGGAGAGCAAGACTTTTCCATTCCCACCGCCTCGTCGGTGCGCTACTATGACTCTGTCCGCGAGTACATTTACCCGCAGCTCGGCTACAACGAAAGTGTCGAGGCCCTCGACAACTTTTACCGCCTCTTCCTCGTCCCTGGCGGATCCCACTGCACATCCTTTTCGTACGAAGCCAACGGCGGATGGCCTCAGACAACGCTGCAGACCGTCATCAACTGGGTGGAGAATGGCACGGCTCCGGGGACCTTGGACAATGCTGGCGGGACTATTGATAGTATTTGCAAGTGGCCACTCCGACCTCTGTGGGATGCTGATGGAACCATGACTTGCGTCTACGATCAAGCGTCCTTGGATACCTGGACCTATGATATCGACGCGTTTCCCTTTTATCTCTACTAGACTACTTGTAGATTAGTCTTGCCCTGAATGAATGTCTCGTTAATAGACTTGGCTGATTTGTATATCAATTCTTCACGTGACATGATTGAATTACCTTCATCATTCGTGTTTACATGTGGCGCTCATCTATTTGTTCTATAGTTACTACGGTCTTTTCAGTCTTGCGTGTACAAGTCCAGCGCGGTGCTTTATTCAGGGAACCCCACCCACTAGAGTACGTCGTCATGAGTCGCCTAAAACCGAACCCTCGGCGTTATACTGTGGATCCAACGCCCCCCAGTCTCCAAGACACGGACGATTTGCATGAGCGGCGGCATCGGCATTTTTTGACTGCTTTGCGTACCTGCTTTGTACGTGCCGCGAAGCGGTCGTAATATACGTAATGTTTGATGATATAGTATTTCAACGACTAATTGTGAATTTCGTGACGCGTCCTCATCTCGCCCGAAGAGTTGTCCGGACTCCGATCAACTTTTAGCATGGGTCTTCACCATTACGCCTTGTGGTTTATATAGTCCCTGTAGCTATTATAGCCACTGACCCGTTCAATTCTTGGCAGCAGTACCATTCCCGAAACTTGTGATTCAACCTCGAATACATATTTCGAATAATCAAGAATGCGTTCCAGATCCATCATTGCGGGAGTTTCTACCGCCGCCAATCTTGCTGTCGCGGCACAAAGTACTGTGCGGAACCTATACCAAGGCAACGGCAGCACAACATGGCTAGAGAACTTGAGGTTGAGGTCGAATGGCAATGTCCTGACGACCGTCATTGGCCCTCCCGCGAATCTGCTCTCCTTTGATCCCATCCAGGAGGACCCGGAACCTGTTCTGCTCGCCACGTTTCCCTCCATCCTTGGCCTGAGTGGCATCACCGAGGTCAGCCACGACGTCTTTTACATTACGGGCGCAAACACCACTGGCGAAAACATTAGTGACCCTCCAAAGAACGCGACCAAGGTTTGGAAGGTTGATTTTAACAATGTCAATGGCTCTATCCCGACCATTGAGCTCATTGCTGAGCCCGTCCTTCCCCTCGTGACCGACTTTAACGGTTTGACTACTTTCAACGAGTCCATCATCTTGGCCTCGGCCACCTTTGAGGATACCGTCGTTGCCATGGATATCAACACTGGCGACTACTGGACGGCGTTTGCGGATGCCCAAATGTCGAGCATCAACGGCATCAAGGTCGGACAAGACGGCTACCTCTACTGGACCGCATCCAGCGGCCTGGTGCGCGCACCATTGTACGACAATCTCACTCTCGGAACTTCTGAAGCACTCTACTCTGGCTCCTACGACGATTTCGCTGTTTCCTACGATGGATTCGCATTGGCGCAGAATGGCACCAGGTATGCCTATGTGTCTTCAAACACTGATGCGATTCAGCAGCTCGTCTTTGACGACCAGACGGGCAATGTGAGCTCGGCGTCGTATGTCGCAGAGACCACGAATACCACAACCTGGGGCAAGGCCACTGGTTGCGATTTCGGTCGCACTGCTTGGCAAAAGAACAAGGTCTATTGTGTCACGGGCGGTAGCTTGACCACGGGGTCAACTTTGGGCGGTCAACTTTTTGAGATTACTCTATACTAGGAATCACCCGAGTGTGTCATTGTATGTTGATTAGATTGACAGTAGCAATTATTTCGTAGAGCAGATAGTTATTAGACATGAATGAGTTGACAATACACTACCAAACCTATACAAAGGTGTACTCGGTCCACATTTCGTAGGCCGTTGTTTTGAGCCTCACCATGACTGCTACACCTAGACTGAATCCATCAGCTCTCCCCTGAAACTTGGCTTTATAGTTTAGTCATCCAAGCGAGTGGTGTCCCTTTTCAGTAAGGCAATGCCTGGCCTAACATGGGCCGGCATGACTGGCGCTAGCACTCACCAAGCCAACCTCTCCGCATGAACATGGCGGCCGCCCTGCTTTTCCCTCGGAATTCCGAGAACCATGTCCGAGAATTTGATTTTTGCCTGTGCAACGCAGGGACACGCAAGCTGCGTTCTTTTCATGTTGCAATATACGACATTACGATCTGCGAATGAAAGGGACTCAGAGTCCCCAGAAATTCCCTTCACCTGCCTAATACACACCGGTCTTTCGTGGACCACTCCGGTTTCCCAGCTTTCTCCACCGTTTCAATTGCCTCCCTTTCTACTTTTTCCATTCTTATATTAACGAGAAAACCACGGCATCCAACGACATTCGTTTGCGAAAGCGAAAGCGAGGTGATCAAGAATGTGATTCAATGCACAGTTCCAAGTCTTACGTATACCACCGAGGTGAAAATTTCTTAAGTACTTAGATATTCCAAGCTAAAATACAACTTGCCATGTTCCACTTTCCAAGGCCGACAATGGCGTTTTTGCTCAATCTCATCTAGTCTCGCCTCAATCATAATCATCTCTGAGACGGTGAAGGAGTGTGACAATGAAGCTAGTTGCCCAGACTCTCGTGATCGCGGCAGTCGCATCAGCGGCCGAGAACCCCATCGTGGCCCTCCACAACGGCCCGGTCCGGGGCACGACCTCGGACTATGTCGCCGGCGTCAACGTGTTCAAGGGTATCCGTTTCGCGGACCCGGCAACGGGCGAGTACCGCTGGGCGCATCCGCCGCACCCAACCTCGTGGAACGAGACGTACGATGCCTTTGAGTTTGGCAATGAGTGCGCCCAGATGGGCCGGGACGGAACTGTGACCGGCTCCGAAGATTGCCTCTTTCTCAATATCTGGACACCAGAGGATTTCACCAACACGTCAAGTTACCCCGTCTACCTCTGGAGCTACGGAGGGCGTTTCTCGGGTGGTTCGGGTTCGGACCCTGCCTATGACGGATCTGCACTCGCCGCCAAGGGCGCCGTGGTGGTAACGTACAACTACAGATTAGGCGTGCTAGGTGGTCTTGCGCATCCCGAGCTCACTGCCGAGGCTGAAGGCAACTCGACAGGAAATTGGTTCCTACAGGACCAGATTGCCTGCTTGCACTGGACAAATGAGAATATTCAGCTATTTGGAGGAAATCCAGGGCAGATTACGCTGGGAGGACAGTCTGCCGGCTCTGGCATTTCTCTCGCCATGGTCTACTCTCCTCTAGCTAGTGGCCTCTTCCAAGGCGCCATTGCCGAAAGCGGCGCCAGGGCGCCTCACGATCCTCTGACTGGATCTCTGGCTACAAGCCACCGCAACAAGACCGAGGCCGAGGCCCAAGGCGTCGCGTACCTCGAGTCGCTAAACGTGACTTCCATTGAGGAAGCCCGTCAACTTCCCCTCGAGACCCTGTTGGCCGCTAGCCCCCAGTCGGACACCATCTTTGTCGGGACCCCCTTTGAGAATAACTCGGCGTACATGGAGCCTCCAGTGTTCCGTCCCGTAATCGACGGCTTCGTGCTCGTGGACACGTACGCAGGAACGCTGGCGAGCCATTCCCAAAACGACGTGCCCATTCTCACCGGCAACAACCGCGACGAGAGCGGCGCCTCTCCCGACCCGCGCACGCTGGCCTTGAGCGATTACAATGCCAGCAACAATGCCATTTTTGCACCTATTGGTCTGTCGGACAGCTACTTCCAGCTCTTCCCGGCAGCAACGGATGCCGAAGCCGGCGCTCAGACCAACAACTTTTATCGCAATCAGAGTTTGGTCTCGGGGTGGACCTGGGCGTCGGCCTGGGCGGCGGGCGGCGGCAACAGCAGTGTTTATACCTACTTTTGGACGCACGCCCCGCCGGGACAGAGCTCGGGTGCCTTTCATGGAAGCGAGATCAACTATGCATTTGGCAACATCCCTTATGCTCCCACACTTCAAGGACAAAGCCTGAACTGGACCGCGCAAGATTATGCAATCCAGGAACAGATTTCTCAGTATTGGTACAACTTTATCGCTACTGGTAATCCCAATGGTGGAAACCTGACGGCCTGGGAGCCTAGTACCTCCGAGTCCAAGTCCACAATGGTTCTAGGAGACAGTTATGGCACTATTCCTATTGCCTCTGATGATGTCATAGAGTTTATTACGGATTTCTTTGACCAGGAGATTGCATGGTAGACTGAGGCATGTATTAGCCAAAAGCGGGATTCCCCTCTCCTGTCTGAGCAATGGAAGGGCATGGGAATAAAACGTACAGGAAGCGGCATGGTAAAAGAATTCTGCCTGGAGGCTCTGTATAAAGATCGAATCTACTACTCCCACCTGAGCCAATGTATAAAGGGGAAACTGAACACGAGATGATCGAGGAAGATTTGAAAAATGATTGAGTTGATCTCTTGTATACAAAAGAGAGGCGCTGAAAAGCGAACTATATGCCCATGCAGGTGATCTGCGGTGGGTACTGACTATGTCAATACGACAACTATCAACACTGTTGACGGTGGCCGATCTAAAATAAAAATAAGGAATCTAGCTTCTTTATCTAATGAATACAAGTGGGAGATGGATAGTTGATACAAATGAAACGCTTTCTAAAAATAACAAATGCCTGTCCAAAGTTTAAGCCAATTTCCGCGAGACGTACTTTGGCATTTTATGTAACCAAGGGAAAATACCGACAAAGGATTCCTCGGCAGACACGTAATCGAGCACCAAGGCTGTACTAGCCACCTTCCGCGTGAGGTAATTGAGCAACAGCCTCTGAACAAAGTGAAAAGGGAGAATGAATCGAGAGATGAAATAGTGAATACGGTCGGACCAGGCGTGGAAGCGTGTGATGTGGGCCGATCTACTTTCATCACCTGTGACAAAAGCGATGCGCTCAGTCTGATAATCCTTGAATATCTTGGTCAAGGCGTCCGCATCCAAGGGAGCATCTGATTGTGCCGCCTGCAAACGATTGCAGAGGACGACAATGTCCTGAACACCATTGTTGAAGCCAAGCCCGGCATTGGGGGTAAACTTGTGGCAAGCATCTCCCGCTAATACGATGCGGCCCCAGCTCCAGTGCTTCAGTACGCCCTCTTCGAGATTGGCCATGCCTGCCGTCATGCGATTCGGCAGTGCATCCTTGACCTTGAGCGTGTCGGTGATGGGATAGTCGGCAAAGGTGGCTGCAAAGTCTTCGGCCTCCTTTTCCGAGTATGAGCGTCGCTCCCGCGTCGGCTCTGGCAATTTCTCGTACAGGAAGATCCAGCTCCGGTCGTGGCCAGAGATGTACATGGTCGACTTGTCGGTATTGTGCGTGTTGAAGCCATCGCCCGGTACTGATCCATCTGGCCGCGGAAAGCTGCACCACACGCACTTGTAGGATGTGAGAAAGGGTGTCTCGGCATCCCATTCGCGGAGGGGGTCCTCTTCCAAGGCGAGCTTTCGCATGGCGCGACGGGTCCGGCTGTGCACGCCGTCGGCGCCAATGACAATGGAGCCTTCATGGACGGAACCGTCGCTGCAGTGGACCCGGACGCCGTCCGACTTGGTCTCGATATCCATCACTCTCTTGCCTGCCAACACTTTCTCTTTGGCGGTTGCCGAAAGACCATTGTAGATGGCTTCAATCAATTGACTGCGGTGAAAGGCAAATGGACCAATCCCCAAACTATGTACAGCTGGTTAGCACGCTGCATACGGGCGTAAAATTTGCGACTCGAAACTCACTTTGTCTTGACCATGTTGAATCCGTAGTGATCTTCAAAGGTATTCCCCTCCAGGTCATACCCCTTGATGTGGTGCATCTCAGCACCAATGGCCTTGAGGCTAGGCAAGAGCCCCAGCTGTTGCATGACCCTCAAGCTCGCAGGGTTGAGAACCAAACTGGCCCCCGAATCCAAAAACATGTCCTCTCTTCCTTCCAAGACGACAAAGTCGATGCCGGCGTGCGACAATGCGTGGGCTGCAGTGAGCCCCACTGGGCCGCCGCCGACTATAATGACTTTGAAATCGGTATTGGCCATGGCGGCTAAATGATTGGCTTGCTAAAGTTGGTAAGCAAAGTGCTGTGGCGTCTTTAGAGTGAGACCAAAATGCTCCCGAATAAGGATTCTTCACGATGCAACAGAACGGCACAGCGTGTTTTTGTGCCTGGAGAGGGAAGTGGTCGTTTTTTCGAACGATATCGCTATCGCCAGGGGGTTCCACTACAACTACCGGCAATTAATGTGCCATTTTCATTTCGGGATCCAGCCTTGACCCGAAACCCCGTTTCCGTACCTGTTTAGTGCTCTTAGCGCTTCGAATTAATTGCCGCGGGGTGGACGGAGCAGGCCTGGCAGGGTGGTAGCCACTGCGCTTGTATAGTAGGGTACTAGATTGAATCTTAAAAGTACTAGTATCAAGGACCCCTTTTGTTAAAACAAGAGACCCTCTGCCGACGACACAATTGATATCCTGAATTCAAAAGCTCTCGTTCCTACTTGTTATTTCAAGACCAAGACGAAATCCAAAAGACTAAATGTGCTTGAATAGATACACGGGCGGCATTTTCACAAGAACCACCTTTATCCGAGGCCCGAGGGGTTTGGTTCAGTCAGAGGTCTACGATACGACAGGGAAGGCAATATTTTGCACCGGCCCAAACCAGGTAGGCGGCTTGGCCCCCGGCATTCGATGTCTCTAGACACACTCAACCAAGAGCATCGACTTGGTAAAGGGGCTAGAAATGAGGCCTAATCTGGATAACCTTGCCATATATCTTGCAACGCGATAACCAATTCCTGGGAAATCTTGGCGCAGGAACACTCGCGATTCCCTTGGCCAGCGACGAATAGACCGGGTTTCGCTCGTCGGCATTCACGACAACGGACGACCCTGAAAGTCTAGGTGGGATTTGCCGCTCCCGGTCCGGGCCAGGGCTCCGCAATATAACCCCACTGTACGCCACGGAAACCTCGTTTCAATCGCTAAATAGAACCAAATATAACGCGTCGCATCTCTCGCGAGTGCTCAACGCCAAAACCCTCAAAAGTGGTGCTTCAAAAATCGAACGGCACAACTGTAATCATCACCACGCTGCCATGCCACTGTGGTGCACCTTACTGGCAGTGATACGGACAGCTTGGAGCCAGAGTTGCGCCGATGCCGTCGAGCTTTTTCTTGTTTGTAGGTCATGTTACTTCTGCCATGAACCTTTACTGCCAAGAGATCGTTGGTCTGCTCTGTACCATTTGCATGTGTCACTTTACAGTTTACATTTCAGGACGATGTGGCCAGGATGTCATGAACCAGTCTAGAAACGACTCAGTTACCCCCGCAGCATCTAAGGCCTATAAACGGCAAGTTCAAACAGTCTTTTAATGCGCGTAAACTGAGCGAGGCAGGACTGCAAGTTTTCACTGAGGTCTCCGCAAATCTAATCCAAGTGTTCATATGTCCCGCAATTGGTTTTGATTCGTTTGAAAAAGATCATAGCCATGGTCTGATGGTAAACTGTTCATCATCGGAATTGAATGGGTCAAGGCTTCTTGAGAAGCCGCCATATACCGGACTTGAGTAGCCACTGCCCATCAATCGGCTTTGAGAATCGGAGTATAGAGGCTTGCGCTCCGCTAGGGTTGCCCTATTGTGTGCGCTGTGCCAACGGTTCGATCTGCTTAATGGCATCTTGTGCAACATCGCAACCCTGGGCGATGGCAAGGCAAATCATCCCATCCCCAAAGCTTTGCCGTTTCTCTTGCAGTCTGCCCGATAGTCAAAGAAATGCAATGTAAAACGCGTCAGAACTTTATATGCAGGTTCCAGTAGCAACGCATTTATTTGAGAATGTATAGATTGATCTCGCAGTGTCTAAAACACATTTAGAAAAAAAATGCATAATACATGTAGCAATTCATGATAACCGTCCCTTCATATTTTCCGGACATTGATCCACCATAGTGCATCGCACAGGTTTGCATTATCATCGCCAATCCAACAGCAGCCGACAACGCATCTAATGCGAGCCGTAACAGATTTACATCTAGTGAATTCTCTTTCATACTATACAAACTTGGCTAGACGCATACATCAAACAGATCAACTATCAAATTCTCTGAAACCCTTTGAGACCATCCGCTATCTCTTTCTTCATCCAGTCGCTATAGCCTTTGAGACCTCCAAAGTAAAAGTTGGTGGTCGCCTTGCGTCCTGCTACATTGACTCCATTGATCCAACTGGGGACTTCCTTGAGAAGTGAGCCGGCCATGAGGTCTTCACAGTGCTTTACCCATGCCTTTTCGGCGTCGGGCAATGCTTCCATAATGGTGCGGCGCTGGTCAGACGAGGCACCATTTGCGGTTTTTCCGTTTGCCTCGGCAGTTGGAGAGGCAGTGTCCTTCTCGGCATGCTCGATGCAAGACATGATGAAATCGACTTCGAGCTCAATCACTGGGGGAAAGTTGGCAAACGTGCCTTGAGGACCGGCCACGATGAACATGTTGGGAAATCCAGGACACGCGATACTGCCATAGGCCGTCGGGCCGTTCTCCCAGTGTTTCTGAATCGTGTATCCATCATGTCCAACGATGCGCAAGCGCAGGTGCTGGCCTTCGACAGCGTCAAACCCAGTGGCGCATATCAGGACATCGAGCTCGTGTACCCGGTCATCAGAAGTCTTGATTCCGGTCGGAACAATTTCCGTAATGGGAGTTTCCCGCAGGTCGACAATATCGACATGGTCATGGTTAAAGATGTCATAATACCCAGCGTCGCATAGAGGCCGACGGGCGTATAATTCGTACGGCTTGAGGGCGGCGGCTTTGCGAGGGTCCGTTACAATCTCGTCAATCTTGGAACGGATGAATTTGCAGGCCTCCTCATTAGCCTCTCGATCCCACAGCAAATCCCCAAAGGCGCTCAGCAGGAAGCGGAAACCGTTACCCTGATTCCACATTTCCTGGAAGGCCTTTTGGCGTTCTTCGGGCGTGGATTCCATGGTTTTCCGGGTTGACTCGGGGACGCCAAACCCCATGGCAGAGTTCCATAGTTCGTCGTAGATCTTCTCGTAGTTGGCATTGATCGTGTCCCGATAGCCCTCTGGGACTTGCTTTTGTCCGCTGGGAACCGAGTATTGAGGATGCCTCTGGAATGACTTGAGCTCCTTGACGATTGGGGCAATCGCCGTCATGACTTGAACTCCCGTAGACCCGTTGCCAATGATGCCCACCCTTTTGCCCTCCAAATTGATGTTGGTATCCCATCGCGATGTGTGCACGAGTTCACCGGCAAATGACGAAAGTCCTGTAATTTTGGGCCAATTTGCCTTGGCCAAGATTCCCAAACAGGTGATCAAGTATCGTGCAGAAATGACTTGTCCAGTGGATAGAGTCACTTGCCACCTCTTGGCCGTGTCGTCCCAGACGGCAGCTGTCATTTCCGTGTTGAATTGCATGTATTGTCTCAATCCATGTTTGTCCGTGATGTGTTGTAGATATTTCAAGATTTCCGGTTGGTAAACATAGTGGTGCGACCAAGGATAGGTTTGGAGATCTTCCTTGTCCCATGAAAAGCGGTACAGATAGGTTTCGGTGTCGCTCATGGCTCCGGGATATCTGTTCCAGTACCAAGTGCCGCCAACATCGCCTGCGATTTCAATACACTTGACAGAGAGTCCCATGCGCGAGAGCCTGTGTGTGGCGTAGATGCCTGACATTCCAGCGCCGACTACCAGACTGTCAATGTTAATTGTCTCCATGGTTGCAATTCAACAAGTGCGAAGATGGCGAGTAAGAATAATTCAAAATCAAGTAGAGAGCTGCGGTGCTGCAGAAATTATATACCCTTTCTGAGAATCTATGTATAGGTAGCTTTATATGAGAGTAGCCAACTTCAACGGTCGATCTGCTGTCTTTAATAGAAGAATATGTCAATGTGGCGAGTATGGACCTGGCAGCTATTAGCGAGCTGCGGGGCAAGACTCTGCGTGCAGGAAATATTGGACCCCGCCCGGCATATCAGAACAGTGCAGCGTGCAGGTGATTTCTTGGCTTCTCGGCTTTGTGCAAAAAGAAGCACAATGAATAGGAATAGAGTCAGATCATTTCACCTAAAGGTGGAGATCTCCAGATATCACGCCATAGTGCCAAAGCCAGTACCGCTCTGTATGAAGAACGTCCTTGGCCTACTAGAAAAGAACGTTTTAACAAGCCTGTTCCCAAAATTGATCAGGAATCATTTACCCGTGCCTTATCAATTCCAATTTGCCATCATTGGTGCAAAGTTTCTACTGCATCAAAGCGTGGTGTATATCACACCATCAGCAGAGATGATTGGGGGTCGGCGGGTCACATTATACTGTCCTCCACCTAGAGAAGCCCAATCTGGCGTCAGCAATGTCAATCACCAGGGTTCGCACACCCACAATGCCACGTAGGGCTAGCTACATCTACCGCTGCCAAGTTTTGACAGACAACTTGAAGCGATCTGAGCTGGCAGCACCTTGACAGCAGCTTGATCAAGGCAAGCCTCGCTCCATGTTTGTGTATCACTTTCACGGCATCACCAGCTGACCAGCCTTAGGAATCAATTCAGCAAATTTACTTGATGAGTACGACTTACAACTCTAGGCAAATCAGCACTAAACATTTGTTGGATTTGTGAGCAAATAACCGTAAGCCGGATTTGATTTAATTGGATCCAAGGGTATAGTCCCATTGCTTGTTTACCGGATAATGCTAAGTCAATCATTATAATTCGCCGTCAGGCTGCTGCATTCCAAAGCGATGTATTTCGTAAAAAGTCACAGGTATTGATAAAAGTTCTGTAGTTGCATCAACATCTCCGACAATTCCAAATGCGTTCCAACGGTATTATACCGGCAACTCGGAAATTGTGTTATAGCTACCTAAATAAAGAACATTGACGCCAAATTCATTGATCTGGGCATGTGGCAAATGCTTACATGGGTCGCCTGATCCAGTTTGTCACTGTTGCAAGTGATGAGGGGATGGGAACTGTGATGCCATATCAAAATAAGGCTGCAGAATACGATAAATTTTCATAACCAATTGTTGGCATACAGCCGTGCATTGCACTTGTTGCATGTCCGTGCCACTATTCTTGACTGTAGGTCCTCCTGCATTGCATTCCAGATCCTGGTCAACTTTGAAGTTACATGCATCCCTGAATTGGAGCTCTTTGCAAGGGCGGGGCTTAATGCGCAGGTCTACGAGCAGGTTTTGAGAAGAGATCATCATCATCGAATTTGTATCGTTCTTCTTCATCCTATAGAGTATTGAGCTGTTAGTAATACTTGATATAGGAACGCGGCCTCGACTTGAACGTACCCAGTATTTGTTGAATCCAACGCCCTCACATACTTCCGAGTAGGACAAAATCATTGGAGGAGCACCGATAGTCATGCTCTGCTTGAGTGCTTCGAGAGCCTCACGGACGCTCTTCAGGTGGGCAGCTACAAGAGTCCACGGGTAGGCAACTGCGCAGAAGCCGAGCTCGGCAAGATCCTTTGCTGATAGATTCTCCGTTTGTCCGCCTTCAATGACTGCGACGATGAGTTAATATCTCCTATATCCAGCTCAAATGATGACAGTACTGACTGTTGGCAAAGACGGGCATGTCAAGCTCCTTGACACATCTGGCCATGGCAGCTCGATCCGGTAGAGCCTCAACAAAGACGGCGTCAACTCCAATGCGCTTGAATTCGAGGCCCCTCGTAATGGCTTCCTCCCAGCCAAGGATAAGAGCATCTGTGCGTGCCAGAATAAAGATATCCTGACCCTCATCTCTAGCGTCGCAGGCCGCCTGGATCCGAGCATACGCCTCACCTCTCGACACGACTGATTTTCCCTTTGTGTGTCCGCAGCCTAGACGAAGATTAGTAGTTGTGATAATCTAGTCTTAAAACCATGTGACTTGCGTTTCGGCCAGGTCTGGTCCTCGATCATGATACCGGCAGCACCAGCTTTGGCGAAGCTCTGTACTGTTCTCTTGACATTGAGCGGACTTCCGTAGCCGGTATCGCCATCGACCATGATGGGAATCGTGGTCTGCCGAGCGGCCTCTTGGATCTTGTCGCACATTTCGGCCATGGCAATATACCCGGTATCAGGCAGACCGTAGGAACTGGCCACAGCATAACCGGCCAAGAATATCGCGGGGAACCCGGCTTCCTCGACCAGCCGCGAAGTCAGACCATCGTACGTGCAGCAGTGAGCAAGAATCTTTTCTGGGCTCTTTGATGCTTCAATCATCATGGTGCGCAGACGCGAGGCTTGAATAGAGGGGGTCCTGCCACGGACATTTGACAAGGCAACGTTGACATTTTCCAGCTCTCCGGCTTTTCCGGGCTTTTGAACCTGATTCTTTCCAAAGTGAAAGGGGTAGGGAACACTATTTACGATACTCTTGGACATTGTCACTATTTGTTGGAGATGTAGCCGTCAAGGTGAGCGAAGAGAAGACGGGTGAGGGATTTGGAGCTTAATAAACATGAAGTTGAGAATTGCAATGAACACAATGCGGAGGTGGAATACCATCCTTCTTATACACCGGAGCCATTTGACCTGTCATTATCTGCGAAAAGTCAAAGTACTTGCTTTCCTAGACTGCGTTTCGGCGAAATCGGATATCACCGGATAGTACTGGTCCCTTGAGGGAGATCTGCAGTAGACTTGCCACGGGTGCTCCCGCGACGATCCGGGGCCGACTGGTTAGATCGCTAATTGGTGAATAGGTCTCACAGCGATTCGAGGAAAAGTATGATACTATTGCTTAAGGGATTGGGTATTTATGGCGACTGTCTCTGGTCGGTATCAGACACATTGAGAGCTTGTCCGAACCTTTACCAAAGATTTACGAACAAACAGTGATTCGTACCATAATAACACTGTACAAGCACCTTGATTGTGCTCGTGTTGCAATACACTCCAATGACAATAAACTTCTACACTACAATCAAAAGCCAGGAATTAGTCTCTGTGATAGATAAGACCCATTGATCATCTATTATTACAGTTTTTACATACTTATATCCGTAGAAGGGTGCCAGAGGCTTACATCCTAAAGTCTCACTATTACGTGTTCTGTTCAAAGCTAATGGAACCTTTATTTTGTAGCACAATAAGCACTTGTTGTCAACACCGTTCACACTTTTGTGTCCCATCTTACTAGCATCATGCCAACACCAAATGACGGATCATTTGCACCTCTGACGCGGATTTTGTTTCGTAGATTCGGTAATTCTACGCCTGCTCCATTTCCATCGGCGTGAATGGTACTAATTGCGTCGGCAGTCTCTCCATTTCACGTGTACAGCACGACTCGATCTCTATTCTTACCATGAGATAAGCTTCAGCTACACTCGTTGGTAAAGAATGTCCGTGCGACATCACTTTGAATTTGATTGACGCACGGCTAGGTTCAACTCTCTTCGTAGTCCTCCATATAGACGTCAAGATCGATTAATGTACATTTTACTCGCAGTTATATCGACTCGAGACGATATAATGCACCAGCTCAGTGGCCCGGTCATATAGACAGAGGATCCGTTCATAATGGACAATAGGAGACTCGCGCAAGATAATCAATTTATTCCATGCTCGAACCAAAGCGGCCTCCACACAGCAGGCCCAGCCCTATCCAATCGACACGTGAATCCCTGAATGATTTTTGATTCAGCCAAAAGAAAAATACCTACTTAAATGCAGAGACGCAGCACTTTTGGTCTTGGGGTTACACTTGAACAGGGCTTGCTCAGAGCTGTCACCCGGAGACCAACTTTTACTGCATCTACAGTCTGATCCAAGTCAGCATGGCAACGAATATCCGACCTTACAAGATTGCAGTCTCTCCAGCTGATGTGCAGAGACTCAAGTAAAAACTTTCCGATTCACGACTGCCAGATGGAGAAGAAGACGATTGGAGCCGGGGACCGCCCGTCCAAATAATTCGACGCATAGCCAGACATTGGGAGGAAAAGTTTGACTGGCCAATGTTCGAGTCCCGACTCAACGAGCTTCCCAACTACGAGGCTACGATAGTTTTGGACGGTTCCAAGCCTTTTCAAGTTCACTTTGTTCATCAGAAAAGCCCGGATGCAATATTGCCTCAGTAAATAAGTAAGGTCGTTCACCTTATCATGGAGCGCCGGTGCCGACGGCCATAGCGCACCTATATACATAGTAGTAGGCACTGTGCACGAATCAGGTGGGGCTCATTATCAGAAGTCTTCCGGGCAGCCAAATTCAAGGAGGTTACGTCAGCGTGCTTACGTAGGTCGTATCCAGCCCCAAGTGCTGGTCGGATGAAAGAAGTACCGCAGGCACACTTGTACAATTTTATTGTTGGAAATTGATCTTGGTTCTCGAAAGCTGAGCACCATATCATTATGTTGTCGAATATGCGCCGCTTGGCAGAAATGCCGATACATAAGCCGTGTTCGCTAAAGCTTCCGAACACGGCCGGCTAATATGAAATTATGTACAGTTCCGGTTGGTTCGGCAACATTTGAAAGCGACACCTTCCTAATTCTTCAAAACAGCCACATCTGCCTTTACTAGAGATGCTCAAGCTAGCTTCATAATAGATTTCCCATTTGATATTATATGATGGTTTCCCAAATTGTTGAAAGTGAGAGAGAGGTGGAAAAATTTGGCCTGGATGGCGCCCTTGTTGTATAGATGCGCCTGCAAATATGCAAATCCAAGTTCGTGTCGGCAGCTCTGGTAGAAATCAAATGAAAAATGTATTTTTGGCGCACGTCACATTCAAATGGCCGTGACACCTTCCCCTCGAGTACTCAAAAGCATTGCGGCATGAATATTTTGATTGACTGAATAATGAATTTCGATGAGACGTTGATGCGTTGCGAAAACTATAAGATGTGGAAGATGAGCTTTCCATGACTGTTCCATGTTGTCCGATCCACGCCCATATAATCGCATCTCTCACTATATTCGCCATGATGCACCTTCGAAACCTGGCTATTGCCATTGGTGCCCTAGCGACAATCGCTCATGGGGCAAAGACATTGCAGACCGTGACAGGGTGGGGTTCATTGGAGAGTTCGGCAAAAGTGACAGTCCAGCTCTACGTCCCTGACCAAGTGGCAACCAGCCCAGCTGTGGTTTTTGCGGTAAGTCGACCATCAATTTCGCCTCTCGATTTTGAACAAAATATTTGTACTAAATCCGTGTATAGCTTCATGGCTGCGGTGGTTCTGGGTCAGAATACTATCAACGAGAAGCCAATTACGGCACTTATGCAGAGGAAAAGGGATTCTTGGTCGTGTATCCGAGCAGCAAAAATGACAGTAATTGCTGGGATGTGTCGTCAACTTCATCTCTCACCCACGACGGCGGCAGCCAAAGCCAGGCTCTGGCTCAGGTCGCATCCTACCTCCAAGAACAGTACAACGCAGACCCTGACCAGATCTTTGTCACTGGCTCGTCGTCGGGCTGCATGATGACCAACGTCGTCATGGCTGTCTATCCCGACGTTTTCAAGGCAGCTTCTTGTTATTCTGGTGTCGCTGCTGGTTGTCTGGCTGGCTCTCCAGGCAATAGCCCAGCCGATTCAAATCATACTTGCCCGGATGGGGACGTTCACAAAACAGGTGCTCAGTGGGCAGAGCAGGTACGCGCCATGTATCCCGAGTACAATGGTACATATGGGCGTATGCAAACATGGCACGGCACAGCTGACAACCTCGTCTTCTATGCCAACCTCGCGGAGCAGTTGAAGGAATGGTCTGCACTATTAAATGTCTCATTTACGAAGAACGTCACAGATTACCCCACGACCGGGTATACTAGGATGGTATATGGTGACGGCACAACTCTTGTAGGCTACTCTGCTCAAGGAGTTGGTCACACGGTCCCTGTTCACCCCAAGCTGGATCTTGCATGGTTTGGTCTTAGCTAAATCAAGATGTGAAAATGTCTAATGAAGGAGGTTTTTGTCAAAGCCGAAGTACACAAAATTTGAAATGTTTTGGCATATTGTGTGCGTTGAGTGAACACAGCCACTGTACCACAAGACTAGGAGAGACATGTTCCGATGATTTGTGAATCTGACAGAAACCATGAAAAGTCGGTTTATAGGCAACTGCAAAGCCCGTAGAACCTGATAGCCAATCAAGGTAACGGTAGATCCTGATGAGGGCGATGAGGTAATTCTTTGTAAAGATGTGTGTTCTCTCAAACACTAGAAAAAGAAAATCTGGAAGCAAAGTGGTGAACTCTTGTCGTAAATAGTGGTAGAATCGCTTTTCTAGGACCCTGAATTGAGCATATTTTCCTCCAATTTTGGCTTCGAGTACCTTGATATTTGGATCACTCTATGCCTAATGCCTAGAGTAGATACCGTGGTCTGCATGCTTGGTACATTTCTCCCCGCATGCAGCTCTCCATCTATGGACCGGAATGGATCAGGCGAGGATTGTTCCATGCACTAATGCATCTGATATTAGCGACATATATTTCGATTTTGCATTGTCTAGAGTCCCGAATCTGATGATGTCGATGATGGTTGTCGGCTTTTGTTAGCATGGTATTGTGGAATATGTTTTCTTTGACGCGGTCTTAGCAACAAATGCGAATACCATTTCGATTTGATCGTAATGGGCCTACTGATAGAATGGACACTGACTAGAAAATTGCTATTGCTCAAATTGAGTCATTTTCATTCGGCTAGCAATCCCATTGATTGATCGTTTAGTTGCTACGATTATATATTCTGATATGGAGAAAACGATACGTAAACGTAGGCAATGACTTGTCATGACTCCATATGCACACCACTAGACTCCTGTGCCAACAGTCTGATACTCCTCGTTCAGAGTCTCCAAATTGTGAGACTGCATAAACGCTTTGAACGTGACTGGAGAAACTTGAGGGTATCGTGGATTGTCCAGTTCTTGCTTCAAATATGTTTGACCGTTCGTGCAGTAGTATTGATAGAACCTTTTGCCTGGAATTAGTCTCATGACGACCCCATCTATTTTGGAATTTGATTTTTGTGAGAAACTTACAATGCCATATAAGCATACACGTTGGCGGGATCCTTTCGGGCTATTGCCTGCATGGTGGTGTACAGTTCTTCGAGCGAGCCTCGATGTTCTAGCCGAGGTCGCTTGCCATACACTTGCTCAAGTTCATCTGCAATTTGATGAATAGACTTTCGGTCTCCCAAGACTATGAATACACACATTCATGTCAGAGCTAAATATCTGGTATTTTCAATCATGATTTTACTCACAATGCAGGACTCCCGTAGCTCCTGGGTCCATTGCAACGGCGGCCGTGTAATGTGCCGCCGTGTCGTAGGTTGTCGATTCCCAGACCTCATGGCCACTGCCATAGAAAGACAGCGTGCATTCCTTGGCGTCGAAAACGCCAAAGTATGAGCTCCAGAAAGTTTCCATAAAGGCGCCAATGAGAATGTGAACACCTTTGATGGTCTTCTTGGTTTCCAAGTACTCCTTGATGTGCTTACTGGGGTCCTTGGTAGGGTGCCGACCGTACTCGAGCTTGGTAAAGTCGAGGGAGTAATCACTGGCGACGTAGCGAACCACGTTCTCGACCTCGCAGGCGTCAATCAGAAGCTTTTGCCCGTCTATCATCAAATTGTCGTCGCCCATGTAACAACAGACGACAACGTCGCAACCCTGTGCGAATTGGCGCAGCTTGTCGACGTCAGTCGCCTCGCCCTCGATGATGGTTATATTGGGCCTGGTGCGCGTCTCCTCTGGCAGCTTGTTGGCGTTGCGGCAAAATCCGCGGATTTGCACCTCGGTTTCTTTGAGAAGGTGGTTCACAACCAGCCGAGCAAACTTGCCAGTGATGCCGGCGATGCCTACGGTAATGGCCATTTTGAATGGATTCAAGTTGATAATCTTGAAATTTTGTTTTGAAAAAGTATAATGATTTTGAAATTCTTTTTGAAAGATGTCTGTGAAAACGAGAAATGAGAAGTAAGTCTCAGGTATGATTGATTCTTTATATGCCTGTAGATATAGTATACATATACATGTGTATCACGACCTTTCCCTTTCTAGTTGTGACACAATTCGCGAGTAGCGAAATGCTCAAGTAAAACGTCACGATTTGTTCGCACACATCTCTGGTACCTGGATTATTCAGGTCACTGCCGGCAATTGATACAGTTCTACCCACTTTGGGTAAGGTGGATCAAAAGACTATATGGAATCACTTACTTTGGTCCCCCAGCTTTTGCGGGGCGGCTGCTAAAGCGCTATTGTAAGCTGGACTTTTCTTCAATTGCCGAAGGGCCGAGCGAATCTCGAAAAGTGCGGCTTACTAAGTATTCAAATTCGTGCCGTAGACTTTTCATGTTTTCTCATCGCCATCAACGATGATTTCTGCCTTGCTTTTGAGCAAAGAGGCATCTTCAATTCCTTCCAGATCAGGAAACATACTCACACATATGAAATGATAGAGGCAACAATGAAGAAAATCTATCACTTGCAGAGTCTTCAGTATTTTGCCATTGTGCATCAGCTGACGGGAACATAAGCATGGACCCAACGAGTCGTCGTACTTTATTACCCACACTGGCTGTCCACTGCATTCTCCTTTGCATGCGTCTGAGAAGACCAAGCACATGGTTCAGGATCGATGTTACTCGTCCTGATAGCTCTCGTGTTGAACATGTATTCTGGATAAAACCACCAGTTTTTTTTAGTTTTTTTTTTAGGAGGAGGGTTTTGATATCATTTCGTCTTCATCTACTCTCGTGTGCTAGGTGCGAAATCTTCTTCCCAGAGCTCGAACCCTTTTGCTTGCTGAAGCAATCTGAGTCGCACGTCATTCGTCTCTTGAAAAACGTATTGAACACATGTCCTTATTCTCCGCAACATGTCATGTCTTGTGTGATCTGATCTTTCACGGAATTGATGGATTTGTCATCTTGCGGTAGATAGTGGGTGATATCGAATAATCACTCGGAACATTACCAGCTATCCAATTACTGGCAGCCGGAAGCTTGCGTATTTATCACAATCATGATTCTATCAATGCATTTATCGGTAGCAGATGTGTGTGGTTTCTTGGCCATAACCAAACCAAGCTCCACACATGCTTGACCTATCTGCATTCCGAAATAGTCGAACGGACAAGGGACTAGACTCGGAGCATTTCAATACATCGCACATGATGTACGGAGACTTTCATAGTCTCAAGGATTTTGCAGAAGTATGAGGCTGACAAATTGAGAGTTATGTTGCGGAGGAATTTACTCGCCGTTTTACAATTTGTACCGCCGCACTCATCTTATAACATGTCTTGAGCTCATCTATCAATATCAATTTGACAGCCAAAATCATTCATAGTATCGTCCTATCATTCGCCTTTTCAATTTTGCGGATACAGCGCCCTGCCGAGTCCACCAGTTCAACTCTGTACACAATCAAATACGATACGACGATCATTCTAGTTGAACACCATGTCAAAACTCCTCACTCCTCTCCGACTGGGTCGCGTTACCCTCAACCATCGTGTAGCCCTTGCTCCAATGACCCGCACGCGGACAGATGATAAACAGACGCCGCTGCCCTCGGTAAAGGAATACTATGGGCAACGTGCTTCTGTTCCTGGAACACTTCTCATAACCGAGGGCACCATCATCAGCCCTGAGCATGGTGGCTATCCCAACATTCCGGGAATCTACACCGATTCACAAATCGCGGCTTGGAAAGAAGTGACCGATGCCGTGCATGATAAGGGGTCTTATATATTCTTGCAGATGGCGGCTCTCGGCCGGTCTGCGAATCCAGGCTTTTTGGCACAGCAAGGGTATCAACTAATGTCGAGCAGTGATGTCCCCATGAAGAGCCCGTTTAGCAACGAGATGCATTATCCTGTAGCCTTGACAGAGCAGGGGATCCGCGACACCATATCGGCGTTTGCAAAAGCCGCTCAAAACGCCATTGCCGCTGGGTTCGACGGTGTAGAAATCCACGGCGCGAATGGATACCTGGTGGATCAATTCATCCAAGACGTCTCCAACACGAGGGTTGATGACTGGGGCGGCAGCATTGAGAAGCGATCCAGATTTGCCCTCGAAGTAACCCGCGCCGTGGCCAAAGCCGTAGGCAGCGATCGCACCGCGATACGCCTCAGTCCATGGAGCAAATATCAGGACATGGGCATGTCTGACCCCCTACCACAATTCGCCTACCTCGCCAAAGAGCTTGGAAAGCTCGATCTAGCCTACATCCACGCTTGTGAGTCCGAGACAAGGGATGGACCCAGCGTGAGCTTCTTACTGCAGGCCTACGGCAATGCCAGTCCTGTCGTGGTAGCGGGAGGTTACAACACCCGCACGGCAAAACAGGCAGTGGATGTTGACTACAAGGACCACGATGTGGTTGTCGCATTTGGAAAGCCCTTCATCTCGAATCCAGATCTTCCACACAGAGTCGCAAATGACATTGCGTTCGAGTCTTCTGACCCTGCGACTCACTACGGCCAGACACCAGAAGGCTATATCGATTACAAGTTTAGCTCGGAATTTGTGGCAGTAAAAGGTTGAATATGATTCCCAGGGCATCTTTGGTCAAGTGGCCAATTGGATGGTCGGCATTGTCAGTTGCTATTCTAGTGGGTTCGGCGATGATACTATCTATTGTCATGTTCTCCTATTAGGAAAAGAAATACATAGGTAAAGATTCGAAATAGGACACCTATATACTCAAGTTTCAACTAAAAGAATAAGATGGAAAACGCTTATTGATATGATGTGCTTTCAGCGTTGTTGAAGGCTTCTTGCTGGCAAAGCGCATCCGGGTCACAATAGTTCCGTGACACGTCTGCATTCGTCACCGACAGAGCAGAGGCAGGGAAGGAGCTTCGATCAAGAAAAGCTGGTGAGGGAAGGCTACTGAGATGAATTAATCTAGGAGAGAAGAATAGTTAATTCCGTGATATTAGTCAAATCAAAGGTGACTAGCTGCAGTCGGGCAGTCGGGCAGTCGGGCAGTCGGGATGGATCATAAATACATCCACGTAACCTAGAACGTTTCTGGAAGTGGGACAAGACTCCATCTTGGCGCTGCGCCCAAGGACTGGGACTCCTCTGTGCTACGTAAGCCAGCGGTCAAGAGCCAATCCAGGGTAAAATAGACAAGATGTTAAGTTTTCTAGTGCATGTCCTCGTATTTAGGGAAATCTCCAATTTGATTATAACGTAGGTCAAAGATAGAGTTTTGGTCTTGAAATATCTCGGCTGCAGGAGTTTGACTGGAACACAAAAGAACATTTGGAGGGGTCGTGGGGGTCGATATGGGAATTTCAGGCGAGGCTGAATGGCAACAGAGTGCGGGGTGCTCGTATGGGCACCCGATTTCATCATTTAGTGGCTGACTCTGGCGAATAAAGTCGCTGTGCTGACCCCGAGATCCCCCTGTAAATGCAAGGCTATAGCGGGTCGTCGCAGCAAAGACCCGATCTTGGTGCATTTTAGCTTTGCGCAATTGGATGCAGTGCGACTGTGACTGTGGTGACTCAAGAGGAAGAAGGAATTACAATCAAAGCCCCTTCCCACGCGCTGACCCTTCTTTTTTCTTTCTTGTGCACTTTATGTGACACGTCTTTGCTGAAACCCTCCTCTCCCTCGGGACCTCGTGTGTTCTCGTCACTCCTTTTTCCCTTTCCCTTCTTCTTTGACTTGATGACTACTTTTCTGCGAATTGTCAAGCGCCAGTTCTCCACTCAATTCGTCGCAAGAAGAGGCTTCACCAAGCTCCCCGCCATGGATGCGATCAAGTTGCACAATTCACTCAAGCCGGGCCCGCCCGTGCCCTTCAAGCCCATCGAGGCTGGCAAGATCTCGTGGTATGCCTGCGGTCCGACCGTCTACGACCAGTCCCACCTTGGACACGCCAGAAACTATGTCTCGACCGACATCATCCGTCGCATTCTGCGCGACTACTTTGGCTTCCAGGTCAAGTTTGTCATGAACATTACCGACATTGACGACAAGATCATCATCAAGGCCAGACGACAGCGGTTGCTCGATGTCGAGAAGAAAAAGGGTCACTCGGAGGAAAAGGTCAATGAGCTGGCCAAGGCGGCTTTCCAGGCCTACGCCAAGAGCAACCTGCCTCTTCTTCTGGTCGAAGACGGTCCCGAACTCGATACCAACAACTACATTCAACGACGAGATGCTGCATACGGGAGTGTGTTGGCGGGAGGTACTCTCACCGGAGAGGGAAAGCCTGGCGACAACGAGGCAAAGCTCAAGATGCACATTAGCAACATGACACAAGCCGTCATTGCCATCAACAAGAACAGTGTTTTTGGCATGGCAGATGAGATCTTGTTGCCATACTTGGACTCCCTGCACAAGGAGACCATTGACACGAGCGACCAGACCATCTTTACCGATCTGACACAATACATGGAGAAGGAGTTCACCGACGATATGGACAACTTGAATGTCCTCAGACCCGATGTCATTACGCGCGTAACGGAATACGTCCCCCAGATTGCCGATTTTGTGGAACGTCTGGTGCAGAAGGGCTTTGCATACGAAGCCGAGGGAAGCGTTTATTTTGACATTGCCGCTTTCGAAAAGGCCGGCAACCCATACGCCAGACTCAAGCCAGAGAGCCGAAATGACAAGGCCCTTCAAGAAGACGGTGAGGGCTCCTTGTCCAAGAACCTCGGAGGCAAGAAGGGCTCGGGTGATTTTGCGCTGTGGAAGAAGAGCAAGGCCGGCGAGCCGTACTGGCCGAGCCCCTGGGGCAACGGTCGGCCAGGCTGGCATATCGAGTGCTCCGTCATGGCTTCCGATGTGCTGGGTGGTCAAATGGATATCCACTCTGGAGGTATCGATCTTGCGTTCCCTCACCACGACAATGAGCTTGCCCAGAGCGAGGCATACTACTGCGAAGGGGGTCACGAGCACCACTGGGTCAACAACTTTTTGCACATGGGCCACTTGTCCATTAGCGGCTCCAAAATGTCCAAGTCCTTGAAGAACTTCCAGACCATCAAGGATGCACTGGCCTCGACATATACGGCTCGAAACATGAGAATTGTGTTCTTGATGGGTCGCTGGAACGATGGAGTTGAAATTTCACCAGATATGAGAGCCGCTGCCGATAGCTGGGAAAGCACCGTCAACGTAAGTGTGCCGTTGCAAGAGTTGCAATCATTTTGCTGACCATGTATAGAACTTCTTTGTCAACACGAAAGCCTTGATCTTCGAGGCTAGGGGCACTGCTTCGGCCATCAACTCTCAAATCAAGAACATTTCCGTGGTTGATGGTCCTGCGGAAGGACTCGCTGCTGATCTCGAGCAAGCCAAGCGGGACACGGAGGCTGCGCTCGTAAACTCTTTTGATACCCCGGCCGTCATGCGCGCCATTGGCGAGGTGATTCGCAAGGCCAACATCCACATTGGCGAGCACAAATCCGATGCAGACTTGAAGTCCCTCGAGGCTACTGCTAGGTGGGCCACCAAGATCATTGGCATCCTTGGCCTTGATGCCAACGCGAGAGCCCCCTACGATGGACTTGGCTGGGTGTCGGCCGCTGCAGCCGCCAACCTGGAACCCGCCGCGGCAGTCGCGCCCTACAAGGCCGTCTACGAGACTGTGAAAAAGGACGTGCAGGCCTTGAATCTGCCCAACTCTGATGGGATCACTAGCCTGCTCACACAGAACCCCGATGAAGAATCAGAATCCTTTGCCAAAGCCGGCAATAGAGATCCCGAACAGCTTGCCTACCCTTATCTCTTGGGCGTATCAAAGCTGCGCGATGAACTCCGCCGCATCGCGCCGACCGCAGCACCTGACGCCAAGAAGTCCATCCTGACCCTCAGCGACAGGATACGCGACTTTGACCTCACCAACCTGGGTGTCTACCTGGATGACCGCCCCGACGAGCCATCATTGATCAAGTTCATTCCCACCTCGGAGCTCATTGCCGCGCGAGAGGAAAAGGCCGCCCAAGCAGCTGCCAAGGCTCAAGCCAAGGAGGAGGCCAGGCTAGCTAGAGAACGCGCCGAGGCAGAGCGATGGGAAAAGGCCAAGGTGAAGCCTGAGGAGATGTACAAGACAGGAGAGGCGGCAGAGAAGTATAGCGAGTGGGACGGAGAAGGTATGCCCACAAAGCTCAAGGACGGGAGCGAGGTTCCCAAGAGCCAGTTGAAGAAGCTCAAGAAGGACCACGATAAGCAAAAGAAGGCATATGGCGAGTGGCTCACCAAGTTTGGGGGTGCTGCATCTTAGTTGGCGATTTATATGGGACAAAAGTAAAGCAAGTCAGATGATTTCCAATTTTTAACCACATGGATAGAGACACAATATATGTGAATCTTGGTCAAGTTGATGACAATATTGAGAAACCTCGAGTTATTGCTGGATTACATAAACGGCAATGTTTTTGCGAGTGCATCCCATATGCATTTACCTATACCGTGACTCATCTGCAAGTAGCAATGTGTTAAACGTCATTCTCTCGCAAAGAAACTGACAGTGGGTATCCTGTTGATTGCGATCAGTTTCAGAGGCAAAAGGAGAGTGGAAAGAAAGGTTTGCTTACATTAGATGCTTGATTTCATTTTTGATACACTCATGCGATTCTGGTCCGAGTGAACGATCATGCACAACTGTGGCTCACTCTTTCCATTTGACGAGGCTGGCCGACTTCACCTTCTTCCTTGTATCGTGTCCGACCTGATACCAAGATATCAAATAGGCATTGCCCATCTTTAGGCTTGGCTTGAGCAACATTGCTGAAATGCACCACCCAACCTTCCACCTTTGGCTCGAACTTGGTTTGTCCCAGCCAAATTCATCAGAGCACCCGTTTGCTGCCTAGGAGCACAAGCTCGTTTGTCAATGCGAGCCAAAGACGTAAAGGACCAACGCATTTTCCCGTTGAGCCGTAGCTCTCACCCTGCGAAACATTTCATTCAACACTTGATTTCAGCGATACGTCGCATCACATGGGACCTACTGCAACGATGGGCGGCACAGCATTCTCTCACATTGACCCTCTCAACCTGTTTACCCCTCGGATGCCGCCAAACGTCTACCACCGGGTGCGAGACGACTGCCATGCCGCACTCCGACAACGCTTCCTCGCCGTCGCCACCCCCATTCAAGCGCCCGGCAAGAAGAACTTTGGCGATGTCGACATTTTCGTGGCTTGGGACACTGAACAAAGCTCCAAGGTCGATTTCGACAAGTTTGTCGACAGTATCCGCGACCTTTTAGGCGCGACGTATTCTCGGTACGAGGGGCTGGTGAATTGCGACGCCCAGTTTGCCGTTGCGGTGCGTTCATCCAGAAGATGCTCGTTTGATTCTTGTCTGTATCTAACAGGTCAATGTCTTTAGTGGCCCGATGATCCGTACGGTCTAGCCTATTCAGATTCTGAAGAGAATCCTCGCTTCTGCCAGATTGATGTACACATCTGCAACAGCATCGAGGCTTTCCACTGGAATATGTGGTACTATGCGCATGGGGATTTAATGCCAATGATTCGCAACATCATGCGCCCGTACGACCTTGTCATCAACGCGCGAGGTCTGTTCTTACGCATCCCCGAGATCAGAGATGGGGCCAAGAAGGTTTTTGTGACCGACGAGCCCAGTCAAGCCCTGGGTATCCTTGGATATGACCCAATGGCGCCTGTGTATCAAGAGTCTTTTCAGAATGTTGACGAACTATTCGTGTACACAACCAAGTGTCGCCTCTTCAAAGGATTCTACGGTACCGATCTCACAGACGAAGATGGGAGAAGCATGTCTGGTCAGTCGTTTTAGAAACTGTCTAATCGTTTTTTCCGCGTCGTCTTACTGACAGACACATGAATACCCAGAGAGAGAAGTTTTCAAGACCTGGATTCGAGACTTTGTTCCCACCTGCATCGACGGATATCCCAAAGAAGAGATTTCAAAGGATGCAATCCGCAATGAGATTTTCCAAAAGTTTCCGGCGACCAAGGCTGAATATGATGCCTCGCTTCTCAGAAATAAGAAACGGAAGCAAAGAGACTTCATCTCCAGAACAATCGAGTCATCCTTGGACATGGTCAAGGGAGTAACCTCGGCATGGCGCAAGGCGGCGTCTGCGGCACTAAAGGAGATCATTCTGTTTTCGGATTATAGCCTTGGATTTCGCCCTTTGGAGGATCTCAAATTGAGCAATGGGCTATACAAGGAGGACGAGGTCAAGATGTTCATTGAGCAAGCATTGGAGGTGGTGGGGGAGGTGGCATGGGAGCGTCAATGCTGCAATGATCACATGGGAGATATCTCCCAAGCTCAGCAAAGGACGAGAATTGAGGAGGAGGACTTGGCATGGTCGGAGGGTGAAGATGAGATCTTTATGCCAAAGTACCGTGAGGGCTATTATCAGAACCATGCTAGCGACTGCGACTTGAACTACATTTGAATGGCAATGTCGCATGCAAGTCGTCTGGCGTGGACCGGTGCAAGACATGGGCACCAGGACGGACGGACACATGCAGCAACCATAGACCGATAGATGACATGTAATACTTGATAGACGGCCGATGCATATGGCTGAAGTACATAGTATCTGTTATTTGCAATGTTGCTGCTGCAGACTCTAGTGACGTTATATAGTCGTAACAATCGATTCTCGGCATATTTTGATGCAAAGTGAAGACATCTTTGTTGTCTGTGAAGCAGTGTACCTAGTCGCTAAGCCTATTCGTTCTGTTTAACAAGATGTTTTATCTGACAGCTGCTGTGATCCTCCATTTTATACTATCCAGTGACTAGAGCCGGGACTGGGAAACTTGACCCATAATTCGACTATAGGCCTTTGGCGGGGAAGCCTCCGACTTGGTGGCTTATCCATCAGCTACCATTCCATTGTGAGGACATACTAACGGATTTTGGGAGTCAATCCAGAAAAAGATGACTAATTAGTGCATGGTAATTTCAAATGCGTCATCTTGACCCGGCACAAAGGTCAATTTCATCGCTTATGATCGGCAGGCAGGCATCGGCCGGGGGTCTTCCGGGGGTTCTATAGTAGATAGGCACCGGGACGATGCCGAAAGGCGTTATCGGCGACATCGGCCGCCGGCTCGATTGGTGATAACGCCATACCTGCATTGCGGGCTGACCAATTTGTGGCCCTTCTGCCTCGTCTCTGCGATTTGATTTCTTGGTGCATCCTGTGTTTTTGTCTCCAATACAATCCACTACAATACAAACACTTTCTTGATTGAAAAAAAAAATGGCAGAAACGATTCCAGTCACGAGCAGTGACAAGATTCTCCTCTATTTCCCCGAAGATCCCCACGAGGATTGGATCGCGCGCGTCAAGGCAGCGCATCCGGGCCTGCAAATAGAATGGTACCGGTCCATCACTCCCGAGGGAGTCAGCGTGCCCTTTGAGCAGATCCCCTCGCACGTCTGGGAGGGTCTCACCATGTTTTGTGGCTTTCCCGCCCCGCCGGCCAACCTGCTGCGCAGCTTGCGCTTTGTCCAGTTGACGTCTGCCGGCGCCGACAAGTGGGTGCAACATGCCAGCTACAAGGATGAAAAGGTCATGTTTTGCACCTCGAACGGCATTCACGGGTGAGTATTCTGCAAAGCCTGGCACTTTTTTGAATAGGGTTGATGTGCTGATGCAAGAGTCGTATTTCCAGTCCCCAAATTGCAGAGTGGGTGATTGGCACATGGCTCTCGCATCAACACCACTTTTCGCGGTTTGAGGCTCAGATGAAGCGAGCATACTGGGAACCCGTCTATGCTTCAAAAATAGAAGATTCAACAGGGACAAGAATGTAAGTTTGACAGCTTGGACAACGCAGGTAACAGCAAGTTGACAATCATTCTTGCAAAGGGGTATCTTGGGTTATGGTGCGATCGGTAGGCAATGCGCCCGCCTAGCCGACGCAATGGGCATGGAGGTCTATGCATATACGCGCACCGAAAAGGCCACAGCCGAGTCTCGCAAGGACGACAGCTACTGCGTGCCCAAGACGGGCGACCCCGACGGGCTGATTCCGACAAAATGGTTCCACGGCGACTCGCGCGAGGCCGTGGACAACTTTATCAGCCAGGACCTGGACATTCTCGTCGTGAGCCTGCCGCTGACCGAGTCGACGCGGCGCATCATCTCGAGCCGCCAGTTTGCCATTATGAGCAAGAAGAAGACGTTTCTGAGCAATATCGCTCGCGGCGGCCACGTCGACCAAGACGCTCTGATCCATGCGCTAGAGACGGGGCTCATCCGGGGTGCCGCTGTGGATGTGACTGACCCCGAGCCGCTGCCTAGCGATCATCCGCTATGGAAGGCCCCGAATCTGTTGATTACTCCGTAAGTCTGTGCATTTGATTTCCGCCTGGTTTTCTGCTGGACGGCAAGCGGATATGGTGAGACAAACTTTACATGATCAAGACTGACACATGCGTGCATAGACATGTCAGCTGGCTGAGCAACCACTATTGGGACCGTATACTCGACATTCTAGAAATCAACCTGGGGAGACTAAGTCGTGGGGAGGCTCTAATCAATGTGGTGAATCGTCAGCACAACTACTAGCAGAGGAAGCGAAATTAGCGACTATTGTGTCATGTACGGCGATGTCGTGTTCGAGGAGAGTAAACAACAAGTTGTTACCAATGAGCTGCAAGTGCTTGACTTTTGCAAGCAAGTCTGTCATCAAAGCGAGACATGGGTTGGCTGCACGGAGAGCTACCGACATAAATATTCGAGTCACGGTGGGATAGAGTTTAGCTAGAATGCTGCACCGACGTCGATCGTCTTTCAGCTAGAACAGGGCTCATGCATACTTGGAATATTAGGAACCAATCTCAATGGCTTACATTGCAACATGGTCAATATGGCCGAAATGACCTGTCTGTCCCTTTTTTTTCTTTTCCATGGAGGTCTTGTACCGCATTATTGAGCAGTGTTTTGCAACTGCAGCCGCTTCGTACGTAAGGGGAGGCAAAAACAGTCGCATCAGGGGTGATTACTCATTTGAGGACATTCACGTTGGTAAAAGTGCTTCTTTCTCTATACCAACTGCCGAACGAATTGACTTTGAGAAAACGGCATATGACTTTGTTTCGGAATGTCCATAGATAGACTTTTGGACGCAGAGGAAGGAGCCGCAAGGTCTCTCCATGCTTACCACGTTTCTCAACCCCCTTCTTCAGCGCTGTCAGCCCGTAGGAACAAACCCTAAAAGGAATGACCCTAAGCCTTGGACAAAATCCCCGGTCCTCAGGGGCGGAGGGGGGGCCTTCCATCCACCAACCGACATTTTGGCAACCAGCAACGTTGGTGTGGTTGGTTGGACCGGTCGAGGCCTTTGACCAAACGTGGCGTATAACCTCGAGGCTAGAAGATAAGCGCTGAGCTGGCGGGCGCGGGACGGAGGACGGACAAACGGCGGGGGACTGTCGGGACCAGCATTTTGGGTTTGCCTTCCGAAAGGTGGGAGAGCACAGATGAATTTTTTGTCCCCTCTTTCCCATCCATCCTATGCCAACGTCAGCGCAGTAGGAAACAAGAGGGACAGAAAAATCTGGTATTGAAAAATTTCGGGCCACCCGCCGATCAGTCAAACTTTAAACCTGGGGAAACCCTGAGCCTTACCCCAATGCGGTTATGATATCATCCAAGCTCGTGGGTAAACCGCGCGTTAGCACCAAGTTTAGCACAACTGACTCGCCCCCCGACCGTCTTTTGCTCTAATGCGTATGGTCGCTGTCGGTTGCGCTGGAACTTGGACTAGAAGCGCATCCAAGCAACCCTTTACTGGCCCAGTCTGATAGGCCTTTTGTCCAAACCTTGGCCCAACCATCCAAGTCATCCCAAGCCCATTCTACAGCCCAAAGCAGCAAAACCTAGAGAAAAATCCTGAGTGGCTGACTTCCCCCTGGTCAAGCTGTAAGTAATCAAACATGGCCCATGATGGGGGAGGGTGGTCCCTCTTTACACCGATCCATGGGAAGCCTTCGTTGGAAAAACGTGCAGATACCCGGTCCACCGCCACATCCGAAGAGAGACTAAGACGACGGGTTTTCTTGGCGGATCTGATAGATGAAGGAGGGGAATTCCCAAATTGTCTAATTGTGGTATTCTTGTGAATCTCGATTTACGATTATACTACCAAACCATTGCAAGGGCACTCATCCTATTGCTGCTTTGTTGGTGTTACCCACCATCCAGCCGTGGTGTTGAAGTGACGACGACCTCTACTCTACTTGCCATTATTAGATGCTAGTCACATTGGACCAGTTTTAACATTGCCGACACTTTCCCAAAAATACAAAGACCAAAGAGACGGTGTGTTGGTGACGAATATCGATTATCGCGACCAGTGGGACCGCTGCCATTTCAGAGGCACATTAGACACGACGAGGCACTCGGACTATAAAACGGAACCATACAAAAATAGAGAGAGACACAAGAAACGTTTTGGTACGGCTGAGACACAGCCGTCCAGATGGGGAACGACGCCAATGGCTATCTTTTGCCATCATGGTACGTGCCCGAGCAGCCGACCCTGATGGACCTCAACGTCGTTAGCATCATCTGGGGCTTCACGCTCGCCACCACCGTCTTTACGTTTTCCAAGGCGATCCAACAGAGCTGGAAGTCGTACAAGCGGGGGAAGCTCTTTAATGCCTACATTATCATGGTCTGGGCTGAGTGGCTCGTGTGCGTGATAATATCGATTGTGAGCTGGCTGTTCTTGACGCCGAGCCTGAGCATACTTCCGGGGTTTTGGCTCTTTTTTGGGCTTTGTGAGTATACCTCACCATCCGTACGGGATCTCATCTCCCAAAAGATCGCCTAGCTGACCGAGCTTTCTCAGTGTGCCTCTGGGTCGTCCAAATACAATGCATCCTCCAGATCATTATCAACCGAGTCCGGCTTCTTATGGTGGACCAACACAAGGCCGATATACTCAAGTGGTCAGTGGCCGCCTTCATTGGCCTCATCAATATCAGCGTCTTCGTCATTTGGATCCCCGCGAGGCTGCAAATATCTGACCGCTGGGTTCACATCAACACGTACTGGGACCGCTGCGAAAAGTCACTGTTTGCCCTCTGCGACATTGGTCTCAACTTTTTCTTCCTCTACCTCGTGCGGTCGAAACTCATCGCAAACGGCTTGCACAAGTATAACAAGCTCTTGCGCTTTAACATTCTCATGGTGTGCGTCTCATTATCCATGGATGTAAGTCTTGAACCAATTTCAAATCCATCGGGTCCTTCGGCTCTCGGCAGAAAAATGACAAAAAAAGTAATACTAATATCCATTTTAGGGAATTCTTATTGGCATGATGTCACTACCCAACTCGGCAGTCTACATCCAGTTCCACCCCCTGACCTACCTAGTCAAGCTGCACATTGAGATGAACATTGCCGACCTCATCTCCAAGATCGTCAAGGCCACCAACCAGCTCGACGAGTACCGGACCAACAAGCACGGCGCGCCGCACGTCTCCAACTCGGCCGCCGGGACCTCATCGTCGGGAGCATCCAAACAGCCCTCGAAAATGTCGTCGTCATTCAGCCGGACCCAGCAGCAGCAACATCGCAACTCGAATCTCAAGAGGATGGACTCGATTGATCTGGCTCTGCACGGCTTTGCCCTGCCGAATTGGGGAAAAGAGTGTGGCCCTGCGACATCGAGCACCACGCACGGTGTCTATGAATCGGGACCTGATCTCGAGGCCGGCGGATCCGAGAAGAGGGACTTTGAGACAACGGTCGGCGAGGACGAGGGTGTCGACATTGTCCAACAAGGGACACAACCGACGACACACGATGTTGAAAAGAACGAGAAATCAAATCGATCCAATGAAAAGGCCGTAGGAGGCACATGTTAAATTATAGAAATGCATCGATGTCTATTTATGATGCTTTGTTTTCTTAGCGTAGCGTATCATGGCCAGAAATTAGCCTCATTATTGAATTTTACACACGGATATGAATATTCTTGGATTATCAATGCCGATTTTGAAAACCTCCATTTCTGCCTGACCACATCATGTTCTACGTACACATTAGCAAAGACACCCAAATTGCTTGCGCCAGAAGACGAGAAAGTCAACACATTGTACTGTTTTGGCATAGGTCCACAGTTTTGACAGAATTTGTTTCTTTTTTGTTTCTTGTCATTCCGACTTGGCTGATGAAGCAGTTTACTCTCCTCTGTGTGCCCAGCTTGATTACTGGCAGTCCCTCGATACCATTATCCCCCACCTATAGATCTTGCGGCAGACTGTCAGAGTCAAACATCACTGCGCATCAAGATCTGTGTGAAGAACCGGGATCGAGGTTCAAGGCGTGCGTATATGGCGCTAATGGGAGTGAGCAACCTATATTGGATCGATCATCTGCCAACTTGATCATGCAGAAGCCTTTGCCGCTTCCTTTTCTGCTGCCTTAGCAGCCTTCTTGGCAGCAATCTGCTTCTCCTTCTCCAGCTTCTTGAGCTGGTTCTTTGTCATCTTTCCATCTCCCGAACCCTCTGCGCCCTGCGAAGCACCATCTTGCACAATGGGAACTACCCTCTCGCCGGTAGAGCTGCCTCTCCACTGCAGAGGCTTCTGGGCAAAGAAGTTGTCCACCACCTCGTCTGTAACCTGGGCTCTCCTCTCTTGGAAAGAACCGACGTACTCTTGGAGATGCTTGATGCAAATTGCTTTGAGCTGTGTCACGTGTTAGCTGAAAGTCCCTGAATCTGGAAGCGAGTGTATACGAACCTCTCCGGTGAGCAGCTCACCCTTTCGGTAATCTTCACCAAGCTTCTTGAGCTCCTTGAAAATCGGTCAGCGCAGGTCAAGCAGTATAGGAAGAGTAACAAACCTCATCGTCTTCCATGAAAAAGTTGAGCCACTGGTAGGCAACATCCACATCAGGATTGCCACCCAGGCGTCTGTGCTCCTCAACGGTCTCCTGACCACCAGAGAAGGCGTACTTGTTAATCTTGTTCTTGATTTGGTTGGGTGTATCCTTCATGAAGATTGCTGAAGTATCAATACTGGCTGACATCTTGGAGCCAGGTCCCTGGAGGGCATCCAAGAAACGAGCATGAACCAAAGATGGCTTGGCAATCTTCAGCCGGGCAGCGACATCTCTGGTGACACGGAAGTATGGGTCCTGGTCAATGGCGCAGGGAATAAGACACGGGATCTTGGACGTCTTCTTTTCGTCTGTTCCAAAAATATGGGGGAATGACGATGCAAAGGCTGTAGCACCCTGAATGCTACCAAAGTGGATCTTGCCAATGTTGGAGCTACGAGATTTTAGTAATTGGATATCATAAAACAACGTTCCCAAGCATACCTGTCGTTGAAACCGAAAACGGCCTTGGCTGTGTTGTAAGTGACACATTTGGAGAAGCGTGTGATGTTTCGGTAGAAAGCACCACCCATGTATTCATAATCGGAGAAGATGAAGGTCTTGTCCGGGTTGAAGCCGGCGGCGATAATGTCCTTGGCATTGGGTCGCGAGTAACCCATGACTTCCTCCACAGTCTTCTTTTCGGAGAACAAGAACTTTTCGTCTAAGCACTGGTTAATCTCATGTGAAGCGCATCAAAGAAGACGGTCTGGCTTTACATACCATCTGTAAGCATGATAATCAGAGGCACATCCAAGACATCTTGCAACCACCTATAGGATTTTGTCAACAGTAGTTCCTAGTTCAGTGTGAATAATAACATGTGCCGGTTACGTACTTGCAAAAGTCAAAGATCTGGAGATGGCCGACGTGCATGCTGTCACTGCTAGGGCCTCTGCCTGTATACAGGAAAAAGGGTTCTTTCTATGCGGCGGTTAGAAACCCAAACAATCTCTCTCAAGGACAAGTATTTGCAACTGCAGTACCTTTTCATAGCGGTCGAGAATGAGGTTCAGGTCTCTTTCACTGAAAAAGATCCTCCGGCGCAGGAAACGATGCGGCTTGTGGCCAGTGACCTTCTCAAAGCGATCCAGCAGAGGCTGGTCAATCAACTTTGTGCCAAACTCGTCCACCAACTTGTTGTAATCAATGGCCTTTGCCTTGCCATCTTCGCCAATTTCTCCGGCAACGTTCCAAGGGTCGACCAGTTGCTTCTTGGTTGCGGGCGCAGTGGGATCGGTGGCCACAGCGGGCGCCACATCGGTGGGCGCCTCGGGTTCAGCAGCCATTGTAATCGGAATTCGTTGACGGGAGGGGCGACGGCAAGTGGTCGATGGAGAATCGCAATGTGGCAGGGAGTCCAAGTCCAGCACAAAGAGGCCGCAGTTTTGTATCGAATTTCTGACAATGGTACGATGTTTCTATGAGTCAACACCAAACAACCTGGCCTTGTGCCCGCTGGGTAACTTTTCCAATGGAGGGGCAGCCTCCGATGATTGATGGTGGGGTTTTGACAGGCACCGCAGGGGTCCCCGACCGCAACGGAGCCCTGGCTTTAGCTTGTACCACGGTGAGCCAAAACGGACGTCGGTGTGGACCTGGGTCCTCGGAAAATCCTTTGACCTCTCAGAAGCTCCCCCAGGCCAGTGCTCTCATTGAACCTGAGCAAGCGTCTCGGTCTAGCCTAAGAGATCCAATCCCATCCCAGCTCCATATTGAAGCTGCCTGTCGCTGCACGTCGGTAACCACATCCACGAGCTCTCAACCTCATTCAACGCGTCGCGAATTCAATCAATAAGCGGAAAACTATTACAAACACACCTCGATACAATCAGTCAAGATGACGTCGACAATTGGCATTCCCATCAAGCTGCTCAACGAGGCGCAAGGCCATGTCGTGACGCTCGAGATCACTTCCGGCCAGACATACCGTGGAAAGCTACTGGAAGGTACGCGCCAGCCCGTCCCCTTTGCCCCTGATTCTGCATCATGCGATCCTTGCTGACACGTCTTCTAGCCGAGGACAACATGAACATCCAGCTCAAGGACATTACAGTAACAGCACGCGACGGACGAGTCAGCCATCTCGACCAGGTCTACATCCGGGGCAGCCACGTGCGCTTCTTCATTGTGCCCGACATGTTGAAGAATGCGCCCATGTTCAGAAGTCGCAACGCCAGAGGTCGTGGTGTCGGTCTGGCCAGAGGAAGGGCTACGGTCAGCAGAGCGAGGGCAAGCGGACGCGGTGGAAGGTAAAGAAGAACGAAATCACTTCCGACGGGACAATATGGACGACAACTCGATGGAATTTGCGTGCGGATACTGGCGTTTTGGGGAGAAAACTTTTTTTGATGATGGAAATACCAGAGACTTGTTCTAGACGGGAGAACACTGCTCAATATGGTCACGACTCGGAAAGTGAACGACGAAAAGTGAAATCAAAGGCGCCCTCCCTGACCGCCCAAGGGTTGTCGTCTTGTGTGTTGGCCGGCTTTCTCTACAAAGTCATACTGCATTCCGTCTGGGTACACTTCAAGATATCGAGGATCGCTCAACGAGGCGGCTGAAAGAGGCGGTCTCTGCGGGCGGTTGTGCATCACACTTTGCGACAGAGACGCGATCTAACAATGGTGATCTCAGCGGTCTGCCAAGGAAGCCACTACGATAGGATAATAGCGAAGACAAATCCGCAACGCAACCTAGACGCGCGTGGCAACTCTTCATCAAGGAGTAATTCGAGCTTTTCCTATTGGTCTGGAGCCTGGACACCACTTTCCTCTGCTGCATACGAGGCTCCTGATTTATTCTGCAAGAAACTGGCATGGCAAAATGTGCTTTAACTATTCATCTAGTAAATCTGGCAAATGACCGCAGTTCGTGTGTGTGCTACATGGCTTTTTAATGAATCCATGGTGGCATCGTTGGATATGGCAAGATCTCTTGATATGGAACTGCTAAATGATTACGCGGGAAACAAGCCTCGAGCAACATATCCAAAGTAGAATCAGCTTGGGCTGCTTTAATCTCGTTCCTTCAGTGCAAGATATTTCTGAAAGTGCTATGGATGGGATTGCCATCATATTTCGAGCTGCGAGAAAACACTAAACTGAGAAATACTAGACAATATGCTTTTCTCTTACCTCGTGCACAAGGAAATTATTTCCGATAGTATGCAGATAGTATATTAAAGAATGGTATCTCAAGTTGGGTTAAATTCAAGTTGGATTTAATGGAAACCTGCTCGCTTAAGATTCCGGAAGTGTCTCAACATTCCGACTTCGCACCGTAAGCACGCAATGTCTCGCCAAGATGGTGAAATGACCAACTCTTACAGCAGATTATCAACATGCATGTTATTGGCCACTTTGATTCCACCCTTTTTGCATCTACCGATCTCTGTGCATTGCCCCTAGTATTCCTCACATCTTAATGCCCGGCAATATGGGAATCAAACGTTTCTTGCCATGTCGGCTTGGGACTTCCGCTCGGAAGTGCTTCCACCACTGAACTTCGGCACGGTCGAAATCATTTGCAATGCAAACTCAACAATGGGAACATTATTGTCGGGTCCCTTTACCTTTATTTGAAGAACGAGTGTCTGTCATGGCCAGCTCTTCATTTTCGCCATAAAAGCATCCCACGATCTTGCACGGGTGAACGTATAAATTGATACTGGAGAAGAATACATCCCGCTCCCGGCCAAAAATCACCGGCATTTCTACGAGCATATGCTCATGCACATAATCTCCATGCGGATCTATTCAACTCCGCATCATCGTTATCGCCAGGCCCCAGCGACCTTAACCTGGGAGCACGTCGCACGTTCTATCATTTTTATGGAGCTATGCGTTCTATACTACTCTTGCCAAGTACTGGACTCTGTGATCGTCGCTGCAAGAAAATGGGTTCCTGAACATGGCGCCCAATAACGAGCTATGGCGTGCTATTTCCTAGCGATTAGTGAACCCGAGAATCTATTCCTTGTCGACTTTGGCAAGTCATTATCATAAAGAGATGTGCAGAATACAATATCTTCTCTACTGTTCTAAGAGTTCTCAACAGCTCAAGTTGATAGCATCACTTGAGCTTGCTCAGCATTCAAAATGTCTGTGCTCAACCGACTCACCGAGTTTTACCGATCATGTCTCTTTCAGATCATCATCGTCGGTCTTGTCAGTCTCTGTGAGCCAGGCATTTGGACGGCATTGAACAACTTGGGAGCTGGAGGTCAAGCCAGTGTAAGAACCAGTCATCTTTCCAATTCTGTGAAAATTCTTGCTGACCAAAGTCAATCAGCCATTCCTCAACAATGCCGCCAATGCCTTGACCTACGGTCTCATGTCTGTTGGCTGTACCATTGCAGGAGGTGTCTCGAATAAGATCACGCCCAAGTGGACACTGGTGCTGGGAGCCGCTTTCTATACTCCCTACGCCGCAGGCCTTTACTGCAACAACCGCTACGGAAATGAGTGGTTCATGCTATTAGGAGCTGGTCTCTGCGGAATCGGTGCTTCACTACTATGGGCCAGCGAAGCAGCCATTGCTGTTGGCTACCCCGAGGAGGCGAAGCGAGGAAAGTAGGTCACCCATCCAAACAAACAGTAGATACAAATATTTCTGATCATGAAAACTGACCGTTAATAGATACATATCTATATGGATGGGTATCCGCCAACTCGGCCCTCTGGTCGGCGGCTCCATTTCTCTCGCGCTCAACGTGAACACCAAGTCGACCGGAAAAGTGAGCTACAACACCTACCTCGGCCTCATTGCCATTTCGTCCCTCGGTGCTCCCTTTGCTCTGTTGCTGTCCCAGCCGCAAAAGGTCGTTCGGAGTGACGGGACCAAGATTGAATATGTCCGACAGACGAGCATCGGTGTCGAGGCACGCGCCATTTGGAGACAGCTCAAGAGTGCCTATTTGTTGCTGTTGATCCCCGTGTTTATCGCGGGACAATTTGGTGTTACTTACCAGAGTAATTATCTAACCAGTATGTCGCCGCTTTTGTTTATTGGCACCGTCTCTCCTGCATATATCAGGTGTACAGTAGAGTTCGTGCATCACTAACCTCAATTAATAGCCTACTTCACCGTCCGCAGCCGCGCCCTCGCCTCCTTTCTCACCGCCATCGTCGGCTTCCTGGCCAATATCACGACGGGCTTCTTCCTCGACATGTCTTCGTTGTCGCAATCCGCCAAGTCGCGCATCTTTTACATCGGAGTCGTAATCTTCATCACGGCCTGCTGGATCTGGAACGCCGTCGTCCAGGTCGCCCTGGTATCCCAGCCCGACACCACCTTTGACCTTGGCGCTGGTCCCTTTGCCGGGTCCGCCTTGGCCGTCTACATGTGCTTCCGTTTCTTTTACGAGGCCCTGCAGACATACTTGTACTGGCTTATGGGTGAGGTCGGCGCGCAGTCTGGACAGGAAGGCCGACGACTCGGCGACGTGGCAAGGATGACGGGCATCTTGCGGTCTTGGGAGTCCATTGGCAGCACCATTGCGTACGTGGTCGGTGCCACGCACTGGTCCAACATGAACCAGATGATTTTGGGCTTTGTGCTGTGGTTCGTCACCGTGCCGTTTACGTTGGCTGCTCTGTTTGGACATTGGCAGCCAGAGGTTGGTGTCGTCAGTGAAGGAGCCACAACTGACAATAGCAGCGTGGAGGAACAGAGAGTGGAAGCCGAGTCAAAAAGTGCATATTGAGCGGCAGTTTTCATAAATAGAATTAGAGGAGGGCGAGGAAATTGGTTGGGTGGCTTTAAAGAAAAGTGAGAAAAAAAGAAAATCAGGCGAATCCAAAGTAGGACTCGAGCCTGGCACACTGGCAGAGTAGTCATTGCCCTCTACGCTCTTACCATTGAGCCAGTATGTCTCCCCAAGTTTAGTTGTTCAGGTCTGGTCGCCAGGGTGCTGGACCAGAGACAATGGTTGGCTGTTTATTCGGATACATGACCCCTCCAATAGCGAACGGAAGATTCAAACGGATGAGTGTTACTCCTTCCAGCCACAAGAGATTGCATAGATGGATTTGACTGTTTAGTCCGGCTGGGTGATCTATACCTGGTGGAACAGTCTTGATATTGGCCTTTGTGGGCAATGCGAGGTCAACATCATTAGCCAGAGGCAGCAAAGGACGTATTCAAGATATTTGTTGGTAGCGTTCGGGCATTTCATACAGGTGTTCTGCGAGTATCATAGGCCACAGTAAATAGCTAATTCAACGGGTATCTGAGATGAAGATATCTTGCTACTCTACACATTGACCGCACTCTTAATCGCATAACACTGAAATATGGTGGCGAGCGCTTGAAAAGACTCTAGAACAACCCAACTCGCTCGTTTGGATTCTTTTCTGGTCATGAATGTGGGACATTGAACGTCCATGTCACTGTCATAGAGCCTTACTCTCTGCACCGCCTGCCTTCAACGACTTGATTGACACCACACTCTAGAATGGCCACCTTTTCATTTTCTATATACGCCGCATTTTGTCTGAGGAGCATACGCCCCATTTTCTTGTCTTGGGGTGTCTGATGTTGAGACACGAGCTTAGATTGGACACTCTTTTTACAACATAGCTGTGCTACGTGGATCAGTCTGGTTCAAGGATGCATTCGATGGAGCGCATGCACGCGATCAGTCATTGATATGCAAGTGACAGCCTCGTTGTGGGCAACCAAGGTAAGCGGAACGAATGCCGGCGGCCCAGCCACGAATGAGTTGGCACATCAGCGTAACACTAGAGAGCGCAAACAAGAAATGACTCGCATATTTTTGCACTCAACCAGCGGCCGTTTTGAGCGTTGTGCCTAGGCATTAAATAAGAAATTCCCAGCAGTGGTGTCTGCCTCGTAGAGCCATTGGCAAGGTATAGGTCTCGGTAGTAGGCATGAGCTGTAGGATATAGCACGCGATGCACATATTGGGCAGAAGCTGCAGCTGGCTGCATGCAGAGACACCCACTTCGTGGTTCTAGACTTGTAGGGGCCTAGACCTCTGATCGTTCGGTCTTCAATCTGTGCAAAGTCTTTCAGTGGCCTGTAGGTGTAAAGCATATAAGAAACACATCCACCTCTGCTGCACACAAGCAGGGCGGGCGGAGAAAGATGCTCATTCATTCGGATCGTGCAGGGTTATGAGGCGGGCGACCCCCCAAGGATTATCGCGAATTGACGATCGTAGGGTGGCTTCTGAAAGCATTCATCTCTCTCCCAACTGCGAGTGTCTTGTGCAGGACCCAGTGTCTTTCTGACGGCAAGTTGGCTCATGACATGGCACACAAACACCATCGACGTTCCCATGTGCGCCAGGACACGGGCGACGAGAGGCTAAATACATGCGACAAGAAGCTTGAGCATGGAGATGATGCCGAGTTTGGTACCGAGCCGACGGAAGAATCAAGTTTTGACATGACATGGTCGCACCCAGTATTGGATCCGTCGGGACGATTCTTTTACCAGGCCATGAGGTTGTCTGACGGTACGTGGGCTCTCGAATGTGCGACTCGACTAGTGGTGGGCTCAGAGGCTGAATTCGGCGACTAGGAAGCCTAAAGTATCATATAGAGGGGCTGCAGGCGAGTGCAGATCCAATCGAGGCATCTCAACGATATCGAAACCATCTATCACTCCAAGGGCTCGACGACAGGAATCAACTAGAAAATCTGCAACACTCGATCTCTGTTGAGCAACAACAATTGGGAATAAATCATTCACCTCCCGAGGCAGCTTCGAATAGCTCCAAAGTCGCCATAGAAAACTGTGCGGGCAACGCCAACTCCCATGATACACCAAAGGTGGCAAGCGTGAGCAAGAGTCGTAGCACGGTTGTTTTTGTGGAAGCTGGATCTATAGGCAAAATACAGCAAGTAAAACAGGTTCCAAGAGATCGAAAAGGTCGCAAGGCTGCTGCTCAAGAGATCACAGTCCAGCAGAAGCGCATCAAGTCCCAGGACAGGAAGTACCAGGAGAGGCAGGCACAGAAGGGGGCTCGGTCTCGACAGATAGTATATCATTGGCTCTACGCGAGTGAGCCGTGAAAACTCATGGCACTTCTCGTAGGGAAAGCAGAGTGATGGCTGAAATGATCGTGCGAAGAGATGCGTCGCGAGAGGTCCAAGTATAGGTAATTAATATTGGAGGGAGATGGAATAAATAGGTATGTAGGTAGCTGGAACTTTAAAGATAGCCTCAAGATATGTCGAGTGTGTGCCCCAAGCGCTCCTTTCATCCATGCATACATGCATACATAAGCAGGGAAGGAATGGTTTCCTACCTGTAATGTACAGAGCAATTACACGACAAATTCTATTGCCCACGGAGCTCCGTAATCAGCTCATTGCGCTGCACATGTAGTATATGCCAGGCTTTAGCATGTTAGCTCGTCTTGTTCCATTTCTTATATCTTATTGAGGTAATCGGTGCTTTCTGATGTCTAGTCTAGTAAGGGGAGACCGGATATCCAAACCACTAAAATGGACCGCCGTCTGTGGGTGCGGAAGAGGCGTTGAAATAGGCTCAGTGGATCGGACCATTGCGGCGCCAGTGGATAGACTGCCAGAAAGTAGTGGCATGCACTCTATGATCCCTGGTCTAGCATGGAGGGGCTGCTTTTTGTAGCTGTGGAATGCCGGGAGATGATGAATAGACCATGGCAATCAAATCGAATGTTCCTCTTTGGATCTTACATGTGGCTTCATGTTTCGTGAGTCGATGACTTGAACGATTCTGGAAGACATGCTTCTCCCACCTGAACGGTCTCGTTACCTGGGTACCCATGTAAGGCAGCTTTCGGGACCTAATGTAGATCGCTGGCATGTGCATGGGCTTCGAAAATCTCCAGTCGCAACGCTGCAGAATGCTTCTTATTGATCAAAAGGTGCATCGAGACTGTTTTCGCCGGACAAAGAGTCTGTATATTGACAAGGGACGTTCTGGTTTGCGTCCTTGAGAATCTGGGGCATGAAAGTGCTTTTATCGGGTGCTCATCAACGACGTCCCTCTGCCGCTAAATTGATCTATCTGGGTAGTATCGCTACTGTATAACATCGCACAAAGCATATGCTTTCGTATCAAGGCAGGCTGTTGCCTTTGAAAATAGAAATTTCTCTAAAGTCCGTCCAGAAGTCATAAATTAAATTTATGTGCCTGCCAACTATTCCCGGATACAGGGTACCTACCTAGTAAGAGGAACACCAACTTTACATCGTCTTATCAAGCAACTGCTGCCTCTAGGACCCCAGCAACCCTCAAAGTTAGTCCCTGGACCATTTTCAGGCCGATCTCTCTCCGGTATCACAGAGTTGGCAATAAAGAAAATCGAATCCAAGCCAAGAACAGAACAAAGATTTTGGTATCCACGTGCCTCTTTGGATCCCGACTGCGGATTCAGGGTCGGGTCTTATGATTGAGGTATCGGTGAACTAGTCCAGCTTCTTCTAGTCCGATAAGACGACGGCTGGATTTACAACAGCTGACCAGCTCTGGCGCAAAGTTGGTACCTTGCCTGGCAATCCCAAGCCTATATCTCTACAAAGGTAATCTTTGACTGGCTCAGTGCTTGAGCGAGGGCAGGGTTCAAAGCTATCTCGGGCACAGACGAGGAAAGGACCGAAGGGGTCCATGGATGTAGATGAAGCCCCCTAGGTACCCATAACGGCACTCAACAGACACTGAAACCTGCGTTGGGTACGAAGCAGGTACCTGCTTCACCTAATCTAGGTAGGTGGCTTACCATACATGCCCACTACGTAGCAGCTGCATTTAGCCCAGCCATTGAAGGACGTCCCACCATGGCCCTGAAGTTGCGCCTAGCACGAGGACCTCCAGGTCCTCTTCCCCTCCATCAGGCTTCTGCCCCGCATCGATGCCGCACTTATCACAGCTGCGATTGCTGTTATCGGCATCAGACATTCTTCCTCATTCTTCCAAGTAAGTAATCATTCTTGGGGGACAGATATAGATTCATTTCTTGTCGTTCTTACTTTTGTCTCCCGAATTGCGACTCGCCTGGGAAATTTCCCACGATTCCAAGCCTTTCCAACTGACTTGGCTGAGCAGCAGTACTGCTCCTTCTACAGTTTGGTTCCAACGGACTCCGAGGCCTGCTGCTCGCCATCTTTCTCGCCTTTGTTCTGCTCCTGCCACTCCAGACAACTTCCGAGGTCGAGCGATACTTAGTGATACGACAGCCTCCTTTAGGCTCATCCGTGCCGTTGCACCAAGGTATTTCCACCGAAAACTCCCAAACAGGCGGGCATCTCGCGATCATACAGGCGCCCTCGCAACGTCCTCCACCGCATGGTAAGTCATTAAATCGTTTGCGCTTCCTTGGGAGAAACCACCACAAAAGTTTAGACCTCAACCCGCTCGTGACAATGGAAACTCTTGACTATTCAAAATTCCATGTATTTGTTGGTTCATGTTCAAAAGAGTGGTGAGCCCGTAATCGCTTCTGCGATTCTGGAACGCCCTCACTGGCTTGATGTGGCACTTGTCCCTCTGGGGTTTTGCATGATTTTGGCGTACCGTATTCAAACAGTGCTTGCTTTTCACAATCAAGACAAGTGCTAAAATGGCTTAGTTCTTCCCGGCCATCACTTGTATGGCAGAAAACAACTCAAGTCAGAACGGCTCTATTTGTACATGAAAGCAGACTCTGCCAAGCCCAGTATGGATGAACTTGCGGGTCGGCGGAGTGTAGTCAGCGCAGACGAGGACGGGCTGGACGTGACCACACTAGGAGGAAAGAATATTGTGTCCACGCCTCAACAGCGGTCTCAAGTACTCGATGTGCCGTCTGGGTCTTTCACACCTTCATATCCAGACCCACGATCTGGCACACGTGGACGGCTTGCCTCGGAGCTCGACTTTGATCCACGTTCACCATCTCTTAAACGATTAAAGACAGCGACGAGCTCTGGATCTGTTTCTCCACTTGAGAACTCCAGGGACATTCATACTCAGGCACATGAGCTCTCAACAACCATGTCTGGCATGGAGAATCACGATGACGAGATACCGGATTCACCTGCTTCGGACGATAATTCCAAGAAACGCCAGAGTCGACGTCGTGCTGGGCAAATCATTCCTCGCAACCAGGGGCACGCTGTGGCAAAGGTTGCTCAGAATACGAGCCGAAGGAAAAGGGCATCAGCTAATGCGGCATCGACTCGATTTCCAAGGCGATCCCCACGCCTTGCAAAACCACTTACCGAGTTTCCGAAATATTCACACCTTCCAGCCGAAATCAAGCTCATGATTTGGAAAAGTGCCCAAGTACCCCGACTGGTATATATTCGCAACAGGGCAGCCCTGGGATTTGTTCCAAAGGTGCAAACAAAGCCACCCAAATGGCTCATGACGGATCGATGCAGCCTAGACGTTGCAGTTAAAAACTATGTCAACATGTTCTCGCTGCACGGGTATCATACAGGGTTCATTGATAATAGATCAAGACAACCAATTAATCCGGGCGTAGACATCATTGCACTAGAACCCTGCTGCAATGGTTGTAGAGGATTTCACTGCGTCCGCCACCAATTTTCATCAGAAGACAAGCGTCTGGTCAGGTTCTTGGCTGTACAGGTAAGCTTGGCTTCATGTTTCACTCGTCTTACATATGAAATCCCAAATTTGGACCCGAAAACTTGATAGTCGAAACTGTGCAACAAGCCAGAGGGCATCCCATTGCATTACAAAGAATCTGGCCGCTGACCTTGAATTCCAGAATGAATCTCCACATCTACCACCAAGCACAAGACCATGTTGGGAAACTCTTAGTGATACATTTCCAAACGTCGAGACGCTGTACCTTCTTAAGAGCCCTCTTACAGGTGACATCACTGAGGGGCAGGCACTTATTCGAGCCGGAGCAGACGATCGAGAGGTTGCGCTGCAGAAGCGATTCGCCGAGTGGAAGAAGGGCGCAGGCAAAAACAAAGCCCTGACGACATTGGATTTTGCAATTGCTACCAACAAGGAGCCAGACACAATCAAGGCAGGTGAACGATATAGATACGTTGAGGGGCGCGAGACTGGGCTGGCAAAGGACATTATCGTGGATTAGGGGTTTCCTTTTCTTGTAGATTCTCGCATGCTTTAGACAATGGTCTGAACATGGGTGGGTTGTTTAAAGGCGGGATTGACATTTGATACCCATTATGCGGCGTTTGGGAGGACAATTCACGTTGCGACCAAGTGTCGATCTGCGTTGCCGTTTCTTCGGTCAACATTTTCTTTTCTTCAGTTTTGCTTAAAGTTTAAAATCCCACCTGATTTGCTGATCGATTCTGGTCTCTCAATCAGCTCTATAAGTTGCTGTGCTGGCTCTGACTAATACTCTACACATTCAGTGTAGTTGCTGCCTACCTCATCTTAAAAGGAGAGAAGCCTGCATAAATACATGATGATTCTTTGTTGCCCGCTGATTTGATTGGCTATGGCTAAGGTGACACGGCTTGTAAGTGGGCAAGCAGGTGCACCGGTTGCGGCTGACTTACCCCGCCTCGAATTGCTACCTGACTGGCGAGAATCTTTTCCAGGTTTCTACTGCACTCAATGAAGGATGATACATTTCTGAATGTCTTTCGCGGCATAATATTTTAACGGCGAACTCTTTTACCAAGCGCAACGATGGCATCAGCAAAATCTGACCCCGAAAATCCCACAAGACAAGAGATCGTGCGCCTCAAGCGCGAGTTGGTGAACGATGACTTTCAAGGCCACTCGTGCGAGCAGTGCGAGCATATTTCGACTTTGCTCGCAAACCCTCCTTTCAATGGTATGACCTATCAATTTGAGGTGGGCCCCATGTTCCGTCTTGACGCAACACCAGCAAAGATATGTGGTCTCGCCGCGTCTGGTTGCATTTTCTGGATCATTATAAGGAACAGGCTAGCGAGCATCGCTCGTGATGACGAGGCCCACGCGGCTCAAGGCTTGGAGAAGCATAAAAGAAGGTGGACAGAGGAACAACACAGAATACTCGCCGCCTCTTCGGTAGAAGATGAGGTGGATGCATATGTACACCTTGAATCGCTCCTTGATTGGGAAAAGGTGCATAAATCCCCAGGAATTGGTTTGCATGGCATACCAATAGGTCATGTTGGGGTTATTGTTCAAACTAATGCAGGCTTTCCAAAACCAGACCGAGTCGTAGTGAGGGTGTTGGTACCTCAAAGATCAATTGATACGGATCGGGAAGGCCTAGAGCTCGAATGGGATGAAACCAGTGCTGACTTTTGGATGTTATCACCTCCAAGTAAGCAACCATTTACTAGATAATCTGGCATAAATCCCGCTGATCGGAGTTTTAGACTATGGAGAGATGTCTTGGATGCGCCCACGGCATGCACCGATCAACTTGAATCCAGGCAGTTCTACCTCGATGGAACTATATCGCCATTGGTTGAAATGGTGCGAATTTGACCATACATGTGGGATCAGAGATCCACCAGAGTCGATGCCATCCTTGATCCTCGATGTAGCCGAAAGCGGTGGGGTCAAATTAATTCAAGTCCCTGCGACCATGAAAGAGCCATACGTCGCTTTATCATATTGCTGGGGCTTTGACAGGCAGAAAACCATGCTAACACAGATTAACCGATCCAATCTTCTTGCAGGCATCGACCTGGAGGCACTGGATCTTACCATTAGTGATAGTATCATGGTCACGCGGGAGCTTGGATTTCGCTATCTCTGGATCGACGCCCTCTGCATTGTGCAAGATGATGAGGAGTTCAAGGCTCGGGAACTGGAGAAGATGGGCGATATATATCAGAACGCAGCATTGACAATTATAGCATCGGGGGCCAAAGATGTAACGGAAGGTTTTCTCCATCGACGCACTTCAAATCTGGATCGGTTCAGTGTTTTTCCTGGATATCCCCAACCGATTTTCAAGCTTCATGAGAAGGGCGCTCAAACTCCAGTCGTGCTCGTACCAAAAAAAGATGATGACGAGGAACCCTGGTACCAAAGGGCATGGACATTGCAAGAAATGCTCTTCTCAAAACGACGCTTACAATTTGGGCTCCATCAGACAACTTGGCTCTGTCATTGTTGCCTGGGCAAAACGAAGGAATGCGATGGCTGGTCTGAAGACTGGCATTTTAAACCCTCTGCGTATATGTGGTTCTATCTTCCATCGGGGACAGAAGCTGAGCTTAACGAGGAGATGGTACTTGCGTCCTGGATTTTTCTCATATGCCGATATTCCAGTCGCCAATTACGCTACCGCAGAGATCGACTGCCTGCTATATCTGCAATAGCCAGAGAAGCCTCATCCATCTTGGGGGATTATAGTTGTGGTTTATGGACATCTCATCTACCAATGTGTCTAGCCTGGTTTCGAGAACCAGGCAACGTCTCTGATTTGAAAGGAGATCCGTCATGGAGTTGGGCATCTCATGAAGGTGTAGCTGGATGGATCTTTGAAGTTAATGAGGACACAAGCCCAAATCAAGATTTTATGTTGCTCAGTCACAATGTTGACCTGGTAACTCCCAGAGACCCGTTTGGCGAGGTCAGGAGGGCAGAACTTCATGTCCGCGGGCTTCTATTACCGACCCGGGGAGTCATAATAAACGAATCTGGAAGTCAATTGGTAAAATTGGCAGATCAAATGGTCTACGTTAATTTTGTTTTCGATTACCGAGATATGCCAAGAGAGCAGCCTGGTACTCGATATGCGCTCAGCTTACTGGTACTTCTCCAACGGAACAAGTTGGGGAGTACTGCGGGCATTGTAGTGCTGGAAGAAGCCGGGAATAGGTATTCTCGCATTGGATTGTTTCAAATCGATAATATACGGCCAAGCACTTCAATCAATGAGGAAGACGAGAGTGATATGGCAGAAGATAAGAGTATTGTGGAGGAAGGTGGGCTGGGTCATCGGCTGCGACAGCTCGGCGGAGGGGAAAAGGCTATTCGCGAGTTTGTATTGATTTGATGAGTCACTGGATGTTTGTGCATCTGCTTTAAACTGCCTAATATACTAAACATCATAATCGACCAGATAATGAGCATAGCAGTCCGTCGGGCCAAATTACAGTGCCATGTGTGGGCAACATGGTATGGCTATTTCTGGTGGCAAGCTCGCAAGCTCGCAACACGTGACACAATACCCAATCGTTTGGAGATTTACCGGGAATCATTGTTCATCTGTTTCTCGCTCTCTCTTGTCAAATCCGTCTTTAGAGTAGGTTCATGGAGGCATCTAGGGCCGAACCTTTATCGGGAGTGTGTCAAGACAGAATACAAATGCCTTTCTTTTATTTGTCAAGACGGTTTACCATTCATTGTCTCGGCCAAGTGGTCTGCATCATCGGCTACCCATGGCGAATTGCACATTTGGATATTTCATCACATTTGTCACAAAAGAAATAGCAAAATATGATTTGCTGATGAGCGATGCATGTACTCAAAGCTTTTTTCATCGAGTGACATAAGGTCTAGTGTTTCCTTTGTTTATATGGAGACCGCATAGAACGAAACGATAAGATAAAAGCAGATTCAAATATACTGCCAACCAGGTGTTCCCAGGATAGGCAATACTCATGGCTCATATCCCTTGGAGATTCCCAAAGAGCGCTTGCGAGACACCTCAATCACAAGGGCATCCGCCGAACAACGGAACGGATCACGGTACCATTTTTCGGAACCAGTCTCTTCCGTAGTTTGACAATTGTGGTTGCAACAAAAGCGCGAAAGCAACGAAAGAAACGCAGCGAGAGCAAGGTACACGATATCAAAGACAGTACCTTGGTATTAAGGTTCAACTGGGGGTGGGTTCGGTGAGTTCCCACTCATGGTGGGGGTCGCAAACTGAAAAGAGGCCGGGGTTGATTACGCATGAGAAAAAAAAGTCCAACGGCCCCGGGTCGGCCCTGGGTGTCATTTTCCCCTCTCCCCAGGGCAGCCCTGGCCGGGAAAAACGGTCTTGGCGGTCTGGACTCTTTGCTGTGGATCGTTGAAAATGGAAAGTTGCCAAGGCCAGAGGAACTTTTGCAAAGCAGGGTTCTCAGCGGTTACGAGAGACACCGCTCAAGTATTGGCTAGACCATTATGGGATTTTGCATTTGCAATATGTTTGTCCGGATGGCATCTTTGCCTTGTTTTCTGCCTGCTTGACAGGTCTGACCGTTGGTCCCAGACACCCGGGCTGAAAAATTGCCGGCTTCAAGTACCGGGAACATTGTCAGAAGACGTCCTCATTCATCAGAGCGATTGTTCAGGGTGGTGGCGTGTATTGTTAAGGAGTGTAGAAACCTCGACAACTTTGTCCACAACCTGGCAGTTGTCAAAGCTTGTATGATCGTCACTAGGTAAGCGCCGAGGAAGGGTTCAACTTGTCAGGTTTGTTTGACTTGTTGATCCGATGGTGTGAGGTCAAGACAAATATTTTAGTCCACTTACTAGAGTGGTCAAGGAAGCCTACATGTTTGTTCTAGTCTCATTTGTTGAATGAATGAAGGCGCATTCTTCAAGGTTTGAATGTATATTTCATGCTGCAGTGCTTGGGTATAATCATGGGAGCATCTGGCGCAGGCGTGCAGGAATGCCAAATGTCGAATATAACCAACCCTTGGACGGTGGATCTACATATCTTCTCGGGTTGATCCGTCTTGGGATGACTTGGAGGTGTCGCATATCGCTGTCTCCGGCAGCTTCTAGTATCGAAGCCTTCCACCAGTCAGCAATAAGAAACGGGTCCGTCGCCTCGTATTTGCAACCGTCAGGCAAGGCACACCAAACATAGTCATCTTGGCCGAGGTCGTCGAGCTTGTAGGCTCGCATCGAGCTGTAGACGGGCACCGGAGCCGGCTCCGCAGAAAAGATGAGAGAAACGCTCTTCAAGTCAGGTAGACGCCCGGATGCAACGAGGGTTGCGACCTGCCGCCCAACGCCGCCGCGCGACAGCTGGGCCTCGTGGCCATCGAGTGCCAGATGATGTGGCTGAAGCGACTCGGGCCAGGAGTCGAGAAAGTGCCAGTCAAAGAAACCATCGTATCGATCTGTCGGGATAAAGAGCACGTCCAAGTCGGGTCGAAATGCGCGCGAAGCACCGATGAGAACCCCATCACCACCATCATCATTACTACTGCCGCCGTGGTCGCCAGCGTCTCGGCGCAGATGATAACGAAAGTGCTTCATCGCCATGGCGCGGGATTCACGCGACACGTGCATCAAGCAGTGCAGGTCCACGTCGGCCGGGCGCGGTCGGTGGTTGGGCAGGCCGCCAAAGGTGATGCAGAGGCCGGGTGCCTCGACCTGGAGCGCCGCCTGCCAGATCTCCCGCTGCAACTCTAGGGGCAGTAGTCCAAACTGGGGAAACGATGAAGCCATCTTGAATCTTGCTTCCCCTCCCCCTTCGTCCCTTTGCGACTGCGTAGTACTCGAGAGCCGGGTCTAGACGCTCGCAGAACTGGACTAAACGAGTCGGCAAGCCCTCTGTTCCAGCGAAAGGTGGCCCAACACCAGGCCGGCATCCAAGTGGAGACACCGGGGAAGCAAGGGGGGGCGGTCGTTGGCCGTGACTCGAGCTTATTAGCTGAGCACCAATAATCCAGGGAATTATCAAGATCCAGTGCCCGGGATGGACTTTGTCGCTGTCATGGCAGCAAACTGCAGCGAGATGCGTGAGCGTTCTACTCCTCTCGGGAAGGGATGGCATCCACGAGACTCGAGAGATGGAAGGATCATGGCTTGGATTCAATGGTGACATCTGCGAGGTCGGCAGGGAGAAGTGGGGTTGTGCTTAGTGTAGACCGCATTGCCGCTCGTGCTTTGATTTGTTGCTCCAATCCCCAACGTTGGCTTGGCCTGGGTGGTGATGTTGGTACCTTGGAAAAGGTGAATGTAATAGTATGCAGAATGCATCCCGTACCTACATTTTAGTTCTGTCCAACTCCTGCTTGGTCACCAATCACTGATGATCAAAGACGTTTGAGGGATGAGCGGAATCTGCCGCCTTCATGCACAGTCCCTCCCTGAGTACATAGTATGCTGTCCCTCAGCTCTGGGGCTGGGATAATCTGTACCACTCTGTATGTACGACTCACGACTGCTGCAGACATGGAGCATACAGAGCATCCACTCACTCTGCAACCATGCATGCCACAAGGGAAAAAGGCTAGAGGAATCCAGTCGGCTGTATTGTTCAGTAATACACAGAGCAGAATCACTTCGGTTGTGGTTGGACGGGGTCAATATAAAATGGATCAACGGCTCCAGAGATAGCACTAGACGAGGGAAGAACGCTAGAATCGTTCTGGGGTTGCAAAAGAACATGTTCGTCACGTACTTATTCGGCCTTGTGCGTCACGCACTGGGCCTTGGTCATGTCGATAGTCTCCTTTCCCGGTTGTGATGGGCCGAATGGAGGGGGCAAAAGTTATATCGAGTGTGGACAGGCCAGGCTAAGCCTTACAAACGAACCGTACGATAAACTACTATAATCTCCGGTCTCAGACGGCACGGAGCATCACCCGTAAATAATACTCGAATTTCGGATAGAGATCTGCTCTAGCAATGCCAATCAAGGTCAAGGCATAGTGCTTGGTTGCACTTCTTTATCGAAACGCTGGGGCCCGGCGCTGATTGGCCACGACTGTTTCTTTTCGTCCTAATGAGGCAAGAAAGGGAATCTATGTCATACAAAGTCTAAAAAGTCTATCGGGTCATAGTCGCTGGTTGCTTTCTGAGCCGCGGGGCCCCATCATCAATCATATGCCACATGCGTGAGCCGAATGAAGATGGGACAGAGTCATGAGAGGGAAAAAGGAATCTACCCTGTCTCGCCCGTTGCATAGAAAGGGGGACTTTTGGCCATTGATGTTGGTGCATTCGGTCCCAGCAGAAGGGAAGCAGATCGGGTGGAGCTCCCCACGGGAGGCAAACATTGAATCAAAAAAAAAAGAATGCAACGGCCGACGGCAGGCAAATACTCTACGTAGCAAGAGAAGCGGTGGACAATTGGGTCACCCGTCTTGATTCCTCATTGCAAATATCCAGGGTCAGAATCGAGTACATGATTAACAATAACAATAACAACAAGATAATAAGGTAAACAAAGCAAGAGTAGACGACGGGCGGACATCCGATACATTGATCCCTGACAAAATTACGTCTTCATGTACCCAGGTATAGTTAGTCCCAACAGACAGAATACATTCGAACCACTTTGTACTGCATCGCGGTCCTGGGCTCTGTAGGAAATGGTTCGATGCTGCGTACTTCTTACGATGGAATAATCAATAGTCCAAGTAGAGATAGGAGAATTTACAAAAACAACATACTACATGGAACTAGAATACGTACGGAAGAATTGAGGGTCTTTTTGCCCTAAAGAGGCGATGTGCGCTGGCAAGGAAGCACAATCGGGAATCACAACAGGCAAAAGTCATACATTCGGATAGCAGCAGGATGGGAATCCGTGGTTCGCGTTCCTCTTTTTTATTTTTTCCCTCAATTGCTGTTGGTTTCCTGGTAAAAAGGGCATACTAAGGTACTATACTGTCAATCGTGATTCGCCCGGCCGGCTCGCTAGCACTACCGATCGGCCCTGTGCAGTAGGTACCATGCATTTTTTGCATATTCTCTCTTTTTTTTTTTTGTTCCTGCTGTGAGCTCCCGCTAACCCGCCGTCCTTTTTCCTTATTTTCCCCCCCTCCGCGGCCAGTCCAAGCAGAAGTACCGTACTTTTCGCACGCTCTGATTGGCTGTGCTCGCCTGTCAATGCGCCAGTGCTGCGGATCCGTGGCGCCACCGGTCTCGAGCTTCCTTTTCCCCGCTAAGAGCTGCTAGGTTTAGGTAGGTAGGTGGTAGCACTTAACTGGGAAGCAAACACAGGGAAAGCTCCATTCAGTTAACAAGGGCAGCACCTACCTGGTAGTAATACTCTGTTGGAACTTATCAAACCAAACAGAATGAAATAAAAAATAATTGAACTGCTTTGCTCTGCTCCCCCCATTCTTCTTCAAAGTCAACTTGTCGCCAAAGATCACGACAAAACTCATCTAATCCCATTCCCCCCCTCCATACTCATCCCCCCATGCAATTGGCAACGAGTCGGTACTTGAACATGGGCTTCGACATGGGATCCGAGCCGCTCAGGGCCATGCCGCCGGACATTGTGCCCAGGAGCGTGGGGCATCTTCACCTGGAACTCGAGATGGGAAGCACCAAGAAGATAGCACCATATGGCACCTGGTCGAGCGACATTACAAAGGAGGCCGTATTCAGCAGCAGCCGAACTCAGATTTCGCCAAGAGTAGACGTATGAATTTGTCGACTTCATTTTGCGTTTCAATGCTAACCACGAGTCTAGCGACGTACTGGGCGGGCGTTTTTTTGTGAACAGCGCTCCGACGGTGACAACCATCTGGTGGAGATTAGAAATGGCGAATGCGTCGACGTTCTGCCACAAGGCTTCAGCGTGAGGAGCAGGGTTTACGAGTACGGTGGTGGTCCCTATGCCATTCTTGCAAACAATCGCATCATTTTCAGCAATTTCAAGGACAAGTCGGTCTACATCCTAGATGTGGATAGCGGCAGCGTCAGGAGGCTACTGGAGTGCGACACACTGCGATATGGAGATTTCGAAGCCCACCCTGGAAATGAACCCTGGGTGCTTGCTGTGCAAGAGGACCACGAAATCGATGAGCCGGAGCAGGTCAAGAACTACGTCGTCGCCATCAACACAGAAACCGCCGAAGTGACGCGAGTCGTCGAGGGTGCAGATTTCTACATGTTTCCCAGCTTCAGTCCCGATGGCACAAAAATCGCTTGGGAGCAATGGGACTTTCCTGGAATGCCGTGGGCTGGCGTTACCCTGCACTGGGCGGACTGGTCGGAAGGCCAAATCGTGTCAGGCACTGTCGAGCATATTGCTGGGACCGAATCAAGCACCGTAACCGAGCCGCGGTGGAGCCCTGACGGCAACCTGTATTTTGCAGAGGAGCGGACAAACTATTACCAATTGTTTCGGCAAAAACCCGGCGACAGCGAGGCAACGGCAATGGCACTACCTGGGTTGGAGAATGTTGAGTTTGGCAGTGCCAAGATGACTTGCGGAAGGTATGGCTCCCTGAATTTTGGTTGAATGATCTTCTGGGGCTTTTCTCTGACTTTCAACACAGCCACACATATACTCTACTTTCCGAGACGACTCTCATAGCCTCCGTAAAGGATGAGGGCTGGGACAGGCTTGTTTCCATTGATCTGATAAATCTGACATATATGCAGCTGGATCTACCATTTGCCAGTGTCTTGTTCGATGGCGTGGAACGACTCTCGGACGACTCTTTTCTCCTGATAGCCAACAGTCCTGTGACACCAGATGTCGTATGCGAAGTAAAATTGACGGGCGGAGATGCCCAATACAAGGTCATACGCACATCGACAAATGTCGAGTTTCCGCCGTCCCTCTTCTCGAAACCAGAAGCCATCAAATTTCCCGCAAAGAACGGCCCTGAACGTGATGTCTGTGGCTTCTTTTGGCCACCACATAACCCCAATTTCCAGGCGCCCCGAGGCGAGAAGCCACCCTTGATCATTCAGTCACACGGAGGGCCTACTGGACTCACACCACCAGCATTGATGCTATCACTACAATATTGGAACGCTCGGGGATATGCGACTTTTGCAATCAACTATACCGGCTCCACTGGGTACGGCAAAAAGTACCGCCAGCTTCTCAATGGTAGATGGGGCGTTGTCGATGTCGATGATGTCGCTGAATGCGTCGAATATCTTGTCGAGACCGGCCGCGTTGACGGATCGCGGGTGGGCATTCGTGGAGGAAGCGCCGGCGGGTACAGTGTGCTTCAAGCACTGTGCAATTACCCAAACATATTTGCCGGTGGTGTGTGCTTATTTGGCATCAGTGAGGTCAAGCTTCTTCTCGAATCCACTCACAAGATGGAAGCGCGCTATGTCGACATGTTGATGTTCACCGAGGGCATGACCGAAGAGGACAAGGAAAAAGTCATGAAGGACCGATCGCCAGTATATCACGCCGGCAACATCACAGCGCCCTTGCTCATTCTACACGGCACGGATGACAAGGTCGTACCAATCTCGCAGGCGTACACCATGTATGACGATATGATTTCGCGCGGGCGCGAAGTCAAATTGGTCAAGTTCCCTGGTGAAGGTCATGGTTTTAGGAGTGGTGCAAACAGATTATTATCTCACGAGGAGGAAGAGTCGTGGTGGAGAAAGACACTGGTCAAATCGTAAAAGTGTCCGTTTTGATCCTCCAGGAGAGGATCTTGGCACCAGAAAGAAAAAGAAAAAAGTCCATCGTGACACAAAAGAACGTCCGTAATGATACATGACATAATCAGTCACTTAGCGAGCTATAACAGCAATTTATATCCTTGTTTATTCGTTGCAAAAGCACGCAACGATTCAATTGTCAATGTCGACCTGTAGGGAAGTGAAGTATTGGAGCACAGTCTATAGCAAAAGAGGGTCCCAAAACCGTCCTACAATGTCAAGACGGTGGATATATCACGAGGTATAGGATGACTAGCCACCAACCCTAGACGCTAGTAGAGTATACTTTCTATAAAGCAGAGCTTGATAAATACCAAGATCCAGAATAGTGTCGAACTTGTTTCTCGGCCCGTTCCCAGAACTTCCATGTCCCGCCTGTTCCGCCCTCAGCTTCCAACTTTCTAGCCAGATTCTTTGACGGGAGATTTGAGCGGTAAGCACACTGATGACACACCATTGGGCCCTTTTGCCGTGTGGCATACTTTACCGCCATGTGTACCCGGTTTCCCACCTTGCTGTTCCAATAATGCTAATTGCCCGACCTGTTTTTTTTTTTCGGATCAGAGTCTCCTTTGCCGTCGTTCCTGACGTGGGAGCAATATTTTTTCTCGGCTAAAATTTCTCCTGCCACTGAGGAAATTCAAACCACTAGTGAGCTCCCTCGAAGCAGGTCGCGGTGGTGCCATGGAGGTTGACTCGTATGTTTCCAATCACGCAGAAGATGGACAGCAATGGAAAATAGCCACGGCATCTTTGTAACGACCGCAGCAGTCACACTGATCTCCCCACTGCCAGCTCACCATGTGTGCTCCCAAGTTATCTTTTGCTTCTCTGCCACATGAGTGTGCTCTTTTCCATGCTCAACGTTATAATTACGATGTTGGTTGGCGTAGGGAAGCAAATGAAGTAGATACAATGTAGCCATACGACATTGAAGGGTTCTTGCCCTCAAATTGCTTTGTTTTATTGACACGGGCAGTACGAAGTAGGATGATGATCCCCAACATTTCGTACCGAGAAGCGACTATTTTATTCATATATTGCATTCATTTGTTTTCTGCTTCTTTTAGACATGTTGTTCGTAAAAGTTCTGAAATTCTGCCAAGATTGAATTACTGATAGTAGGGACTCCTAGCAGGAAATTTGCTGATACTATTTGCATTGCCGTGCTTTCAACACCTAAATGCAGCAATTGTTTTTTCCCTGCCCTTCATATAAATCATTATCATTTGATACCATGTATTTGTGGAAGTATGCCGAACCCAGATCCTGATTCAGAAAATGTAATTGGATTCTGCCTCGTTGTGTTGCACGTTGAGCTAGTCACGACCTGATACGTGTATCATCAATCTAAGAATCACGTCATGTGAGACGAGAACCGCACGAATAAGGCCATTAAACATGATATTGACTATTTTATTGGCTGACATTAACATAAATATCTAGTCTAGTCATCCTCATCGGCAGCCTTCTTCTTCTTGCCCTTGGCGCCACCTTTGAAATGCTTCTTACTACTTCCAATCTGAATGTCCTTTGGATCCATGCCGGTCTCGAGCGCAATCATGGCCTTGGCCTTGCGACCACTCAGGTGCTTCCCTTGCGCGACCTTGGCTTGACCCTGTTGCGTGTACTTGTAGCTGAAGGGCATGTTTAGGTGCCCGGCGTTGTTGCGATCTTTGGTAAAGAATTGTTTGTCGATCCGCTGCGACTTGGCACCAGTAGGGAGTGGTTGAAATTCACTGTCGGCTACAGACATGTCATCGGGAAGCTCCATGGCCTCCATGGCATGTCGAAGCTGGGCACGGCGCTTTTCAGGCAAGTGTGCTGAATCATACAACTCGTGGTTGAACTCTGCAGAATCGGGGTATCCAGGTGGCGGCTCACAGTATAGGAGCTTACCATTGACGTAGTCCTTCAACACAAATCGTGCTGCACGGGACTCATCTGGTTGACCAACACCTTGCGTCTGGAAGCCGCGGGCCTTGGCGTAGGCAGACAGCAGTTCACTGGAGGTCGGAGTTCCAGTACCTCCTTCTTCGAGCGGACGGGTCTTGATATGGATGCCATAAATGGCCTCCAAGAATGGCTGTGGAATGCGGTGGGCAACAAGGGTTGCTGGGCCGGTGTACTCTCGCAATTGGTCAATGGGCAAAACACCATTGCAGACCAGGTCGGCATTCGTTGTAGCAAAGTTGGGGAAGACCAAACCGGGGCAATCACACAAAATGACCTTGTCACTGAGGTGAATTGTCTGGAAGTGTTTCGTCTTTCCAGGCGTGGACGAGACAGAAACCTTCTTGGCACCAATCAAAGCATTGATAGTTGACGACTTTCCGACGTTTGGATAACCGACAAGACCAATTTGGAGCTTTTCGTCGGGGTCTGATTCTCATGTTAGCACAACAAAATCTATAAATACCCATAAAGGAAACGTACTATCAGGATTGGGTTCTGGCGCATGAGCCAAGAAGATGTCTTCTAGTTCCTCAACAGTCAGGATTCTAATGTCTTCGTCTTCAAGATCCTGGTCCAGACTCGCGCCAGTAGTCTCGTCATGGTCTTCATCATCTTCATCCTCGCTCTCGTCTTCTGATGACTCGTCGGAGGTCTTCTTTGATGCTGGTTTTTGTGATGCGCTTGAGCTTTGGCCTTGATGAATACCATCCTCATGCTCATCTTCATCATCTTCAGCCTCGAGCAACTCCTTGGCGAGGTGGGCCGAGAAGAAACGGTACGCGATGTTATTGCTCTTGAAGTATTTGGCCCACGTCTTTCTCTGGCTTGTTGTCATCATATCTGCCTTGTTCACCAACAGCAAGTTCTCCTTCTTCTCGTCAACGTCCTTGACGTAAGCTTCCAGATCCTCGGAACGGAACATGAGAGGGTTTCGCGCATCTACAATCTGCACCACGAGGTGACTGCGCTCAATGACACGCCACAACTGTCGCCAAACCTCCAAGTTGCGCTCAAAGGGAGTCATGAGCAGGTCGTTGTTCTGCTGCAGCTCGGCAAGACCGCGGCGCCAGTTGAGGAAGCTCTCGCGCTCCAAGACGTCGAGTTGCTCTGGGGTGGTGTTCTCATCCCACTGCGGCCGCCTTGGGACTGTCAGCCTGGATTTGTGCTTGTTGTGCTTTCCCCTGACTTGAGACTCTTCGGTGGACGACAGCAGGTAAGGATTGCGCTGGTCGGTGTGAATGATCTTGACATTGTTCATCTTCTCGGCCGTGAAGTCGGTGCCGGCCAGCTCGGCAGTGGCCAGGAACTCATCCATGGCGGACTGCTGTGTGACGGAGCGCATTTTGACCCATGATGCCTCCTTCTTTTCGTTGGTAATGTACTGTTCGCCGGTCGCATGGTTCGTTCTGGTGACGCCGCCTCCCTTTCTGCGATCCGATCCTTTGCCCTTTCCAAACCGATCGTTCATCAGCGAGTTGCCAAGCCCTACGGCGGCCTTGGACTTTGCGAGCGGCATGCTGGGCAGAGGTTCCCTGGTGGTCCTGTTGAGTGAAGTTCTGGGTATCAATTGATGTATGACTTGAATAAAGTTGTATCCAAGTTAAAAAGGTTAAACCCTTAAAAGGTCTGAAAAATGTGACGAGTGAACGAAACCTCGTCTCTTCTGGGTACTGCTTGGGATTTGCAGTAATAATCTTGCTGCCCTCTCTGCTGAATAATTGGCGGGGCTTCCGCGGGGCGAAACTTTTCCTGAACTTTTTCTTTCGCTTCCCTCGCGCGCTGCGTCACCAAATGGCCCTACGATAACCGATAAGCAAGGGTACTGGGCCACCCCCACCAGGAATTCCACCGCCTGTGAAAAAAAGTTCAGGCAAAGAGGACCCTTGCGGCCCTCTAAAGATCCCACTCCGGCTCCTCCAACGAACACGCCTAAAAAGAGAATTGGAAAACTGTAAAAGCGTCGTCGCATCGAATTCTCTTCCTCTAGGAAGAACTTTTCACCTCTATCTTTACTCGAAGGGGGACATCGGTTCATTCATTGCACCCATCACTCAAGGCTTTGTGTGCATCTTCTCACAATTTGGCAAGATGCCAAAAAAGTCATGGATTAACAAAAAGACGGCCCAGCACTTTACGCTGGTCCACCGTCCGCAAAATGATCCCCTCATTCACGATGAATCGGCACCGTCCATGGTCCTGAACCCGACTAACACCCCCAGCTCGTCCAAGCAACCCAAGAGCAAACACCTCGATGACCTGGCCTCGGAGCTGGGCGTCGACGCCGAACAGATCCGCGCCAACGAAGGAGAGGCCGCCAACTATGGCATCTACTACGATGACACCGAGTACGACTACATGCAACACATGCGCGACCTTGGCGATGGCGCTCAGGGTGGCACCGTCACCTTTATCGAGGCCGACAGCACGGGAAGCAACCGCAACAAGGGCAAGGCAAAGCAGCAGAGTCTTGAGGCCGCCCTGAGGCAGCTGGACATTCAGGCCGAGGAGGACAAGAAGCGCGAGCTTTTCAGCGACGATTTCCTGCCCAGCAAGAACCTGACCAGACAGACGTACCAGGACATGCAAGATGTCCCGGATGCGATTGGCGGTTTCCAGCCAGATATGGACCCCAGGATCAGAGAGGCGCTGGAGGCGCTGGAAGACGAGGCCTACGTGGACAATGCCGAAGAGGACGACTTTTTCCAGGAGCTCACGCAAGACGGAACCCAGGTGGACGAGTACGATTTCGAGGACATTGGCGACGAGGGCTGGGAGACGGACGACACGGCAAAGCCCGGCAGTGAGTACAGAGTCGCAACAGAAGAGGCCGATCAGGTACCCGAGCTCGTTCCCGCCATGAGCGCCGAGGAAGCAGCAGAGGCAGCCGACAAGGTGGACTGGATGGAAGATTTCAAGGCCTTCAAGAAGGACCAAAAGGCAACCACCTCTCGCAAGCTAGGCGCACCGCCATCACAATCGGACCTGCAATCCTCAATAATGACCACGACAACAAACGGTGGCCGAAGAAAGAAGCGCAAGGGTGCCCTCACTGAAGCCTCATCCTACTCCATGACCTCGTCGTCCCTCGTGCGGACAGAACAACTTGGCATACTGGATGCGCGCTTCGACAAACTAGAGCAGGAATACCAGGCCGACTTTGACGACATGGGTTCCGTTTCCGCGGTATCAACCACTTCTACGGTGGACGGTCCGGTTAGGGGCGACTTTGACAGTATGCTTGATGACTTTTTGGAGGGGCACTCGACGTTTAACAAAAAGTACATCCGTAAGGGATGGACGAGTGGTACGCAACAGTTGGATGACATCCGTCGCGAACTAGGACCTGCACGGATAAAAGGCAAGCCAAGGACAGGCAAGGCTGGGGGAGCTAGATAAAAAGGATGACTAGTCTAGTCAAGACGAGCAAGATACCCCGAGGCCAAAATAAATGAACATCATTATGAGCACGTCTCAGGAAATCCAGTAGACATTTGAACCTTTGAGCTTAGCAATCGTCACTAACACAAGTAAAAGCAGTGATGCCCTAAAAGAACAGGGCAACCAAGAGAGACATCGCTTCAAAAAGGTCAATTCGTTAGCACCGTCAAGGGCATTTTCGTCGAAAAGTTATGTACTTGTCAAAAGCGCCACAAAGTTTCCAGTTCTGGATATCCAGTGGATAGGATTCTAGTGCAGCAGCAGTTGATCCTCGTTCATATGACCCACGGCAACTGTTGTACTAATGGCAAAATGGCTTTCTCAAACGTGACCATTGGTGGGAACGGCCGTGATGGGTTTCTGGGCCATGCGGACAGGAGGTGGTTGTGGTCCAAAGGGAGTCGATCGCGGAGCTGGAGGTTCGTGAATCTCCTCCTCGGTATCATCGTCGTAAGCGCCCTCACCCTCGCTACCTTCCTCCTCGCCCTCGCCATATTCATCGTCCTCATAATCGCTCTCTTCCTCGAGATCGCCCTCTTCGCCCATGTCAGCTTCGCCTCGCATGCCATGAGGGATTCCGCGCCCTTGCTCCTGCATCTGTTTTATGATGTTCTTGAGCTTGCCATTGAGCTTGTGGAGGTCGTCAATCTCCTTCTGCCTTTGGTCGCAATCGTGGACCAGTTTGGCAATATTCGATTCCAGAACTTCCTTCTTCTTCTTGAGCCTCTCGTTCTCCTTCTCCAACGTCTTTGTCTTCTTGCTCATATCCTCCATCTCCTTGCGAAACGTTAGAAACAGGTCGTTGCTGTTATTAAGCGTGTCCTCAACCTTCCGGAGGGAAGCACAAGTCAACCCTAGCCCTTTGGCGCGAGGTGTGTTTCGGAGGCTTACCTGGCGAAACTTTTCCACATAGACATTGAGCTGATTCCGCAGCTCCATTTCCGTCTTGTGGAACGTGTTGACCTGCGAATTAAGCTGGCTAGACTTTCTTGCTTCGGTTTCGGCCGCCTTTTTCTGCTGATCATATCGCGCCATGTAATATTGCACCTCGATTTCTTTGGTTCGCATGTGCGAATGGAAATGAAGTTCGCGCAGTTCGTACTGGTCGATGAGGGACTTGAAGCGCGCCTTGATCCTAACTTCAGTGTCAATAACCTGTGCGGTTCCCACATGACGCGGCTGCCTCTGCACGTACAGGTCTTCTATTTTACCATTCAAGACGGGCTTTCGCGGATTGTCCTTCTCCTCCTGGTACCCTTCCAAGGTTTTGAAAATCTCTTCTACCCGTCGATCACCATCCCTCTTTAGTTTGGCGTGTTGATCTTGTAGTGAGCGGTGGTCGTTTTTGAGCTTGTTGTTGTCTTTTTGCAGTTCGCGACATAATTTCTCCAGCTTCTCCTTCAGGCCGGTTTGCTTGCTGGCCTCATTCCGGCTGGCGTCCTTTTCCTTCTGGACTTGGTCGGCTCGCTTCTTGTTCTTGGCGCTTTCCCGCTCTAAGCGCTTCATACTAGTGAATAACTCATTACACTTTTTAGTCAAGTGATCAATCTTGTCCAAGTCATTCATCTTATTCGTAGAAGATAGGAGCTCGCGACTATGCTTCTTGACCTCGCGATCTGAATGACAATACAATGGTTAGCAGATGTCGTGAACCCTCCAGAGGTACTTTCGATAAGGTACATGGCAAACGCGCGTGGCCATGGTCGAATCCGTAATATCCGATGTGTGCCCGTCGCGTCTGCTGTTTGCTCGTGTAAATATCACCTACCAATCTCTTCTTGCTGCTCTTTCTCGGCCGCATTATCAACCTCTAGCTGGGAGATCCGGGCTGCTACCAGCTTGGAGGCTTCGGAAGAATCCATGGCCTTCTTGCTCTTTGCCTTTTTATTGGCAATTGCGGCGGATGCAGGCGTCGGCGCAGGCCGGTGGTCGTGGTGATGATAGTGATCCGAGGGGATGGCCCCGTTGGTGGTAGGGTTCGAGGCCAACGGCGCCGGGGTGGCTGAGTTACCAGAGTGGTTTGCCGTCGCCATCGTCACTAGAGGGGTCGGATGGCTGTCCCGTGGCCGTGACTGTGAGGTCAATCAGTCCGCAAGGCTCTTGTTCAAGAAAAAGGCGGTTCATGGGCGACGAAAGAGAGGGAGGGAGGGAGGTCTCGTGCATGCATGGTGGAAAGAGGTGCAGTTGTTGGGACGACGTACGGAAGCGCATTCATAAGGACGGACCGTGGGCGTTGGTGGGATTGAATGAATACTGGCAAGCGATGCTGGTCTAGTACATGTGGGCGCCAAGAAGGAAGAATAGACGAAATCCTATGAATGAGCCTTGGGGCTTGAGATGGACGGTAGAGGTCTTGTGCGGGTTTTCCAGTTGTGTGACAAGTCGGTTGCTACCACATCGAGTGTCAGCCCGTCCAGGTGGTTTATGTTGTATGCAGGTCGAATCGAATTAGAGCAAATCAATGATGGCAAGCAGACTTTGTCGTCCACTGGGTTAGGCCAGGTCGTGAAGTGCTTAGCGCCTTTCAAGATTGCCTGGTCAGTGCATTGGTTTTCCCCATTCAATCGCGTGTGCACTTAAACCGTCAAAAGGCCTCAAATCAGATTGCAGCCTGTCGTTTTGCGCGACCCCAGAGCTGAGAGTCCCGGGGCCCGGCGCAGTGGATAGTTTGGCCTGTCTGCCACTTATTGGGTTATGGGGGCGTTTTGTTCTAATATCGGGGTCCAGCCTTCTTATTCTCTCATCTCTTATGCACCAAGATCCGGACTCGATGCTAATCTGTGTACCTTGATGGGCATGTTTGGTAGGAATCCATTAATCCATTCCACGATAGTTGCATCTCAATTGTATCACCATTTTCCAATAAAGTGGACGACTTGATACTGCACGTGAACGGACATGGGCTGTCAATGCAATATTTTGACCACAGCGTGTCGTCCTCGCCTGATTTGTCAGACGTGGGTATTCAACTAACCAAAAGCGCCTCTGATAAGCTCTATCGGTGCGTCATCCCACGCGACACTGGCCTGGTCCCTTGCCCGTTGCCGCCGTTGGCCGAGTACGGAATTTTTCCAAACTTCCCTGTACAACTGCCGCATCTGAGCACGGAAATCCTCCCAGGACCAGCTTTTTCTTTCATCGCCAGTTCTCTTTTCTTGCTTGTACTATATTCTTTTAACTTTGACGTTCCTTAATATCAGACAAGATGCTGCGAAATGCGGCGAATGCTGCCAAGGGGGCGGCGAAGAAAGCCGTAACAGAGCTTTCCCAATATCCAAAGCCTGGCGAGAAAGTACATGGCTTCACTCTGCTTAGGACAAAACACGTCCCAGAGCTCGAGTTGACTGCTCTTCATTTGAAACATGACAAGACAGGAGCCGATTATCTGCACATTGCCCGCGATGATAGCAACAATGTTTTCTCCATTGGTTTCAAGACGAATCCCCCGGATGACACCGGCGTCCCGCATATCCTCGAGCACACCACCCTCTGCGGCAGCGAAAAATATCCCATTCGGGATCCCTTCTTCAAGATGTTGCCGCGCAGTCTGTCAAACTACATGAATGCCATGACATCCACGGATCATACCTTCTACCCGTTTGCGACAACCAACGAGCAGGATTACCAGAACCTCATGTCCGTCTACCTCGATGCGACATTGAATCCTTTGCTGAAGAAGACCGACTTTACCCAGGAGGGCTGGCGCATTGGTCCCGAGAATCCACGAGCGGCGGAACAAGCTGGCGATGCAAAGCCCGAAGACAGCAAGTTGGTCTTCAAGGGAGTGGTGTACAATGAGATGAAGGGTCAAATGTCCGATGCAGGCTACCTATTCTACATTCGCTTCCAAGACCACATCTTCCCTGACATCAACAATTCTGGCGGCGATCCTCAAAAGATTACCGATCTCACTTATGAGCAGCTCAAGAAATACCACGCCGACCACTACCACCCGAGTAATGCCAAGCTGCTGACCTATGGCGATATGCCTCTGGCCGACCATTTGAGGGAAATCGACGCTCAACTCGCTGCGTTTGAAAAGATTGAGGCGGACATTGATACCAAGAGACCCATCGACTTGAGCGGCGGACCTCGTAATGTCACTCTGTTTGGTCCTGTTGATCCCCTCGCGGATCCCGACAAGCAGTACAAGACTTCCGTCTCTTGGATCACTGGAGACACAAGTGATATTGTCGAGTCTTTCGGCATGTCTATTCTAGCAAATCTGCTCACTGACGGCTACGGATCGCCCCTCTACAGAGGTTTGATCGAGTCGGGTCTTGGTACTGATTACAGCCCAAATAGTGGCTACGACTCCCACACTGCGACAGGCATTTTCTCTGTTGGTTTGACAGGAGTGCAGGAAAGTGACGTGGAGAAGATCAAGCCTGAAGTGCAGAAGATTCTGCAAGACGTACGGCAGAAGGGGTTCGACCGGTCCAAGATTGATGGCTACATGCACCAGTTGGAGCTTTCACTGAAGCACAAAACTGCCAGCTTTGGCATGGGACTTGTTCATCGAATCAAGTCACCTTGGTTCAGGGGAACGGATCCACTAGACTCCCTCGCCTGGAACGAAGTTATCGACGCTTTCGAGGCAAACATGGCCAAAGGTGGATATCTTGAAGGGCTCATGGATAAATATCTTCTGAACGATAACACAATGACCTTTACAATGGCGCCGTCCCAAACCTACGGCGCAGATGTCGCCAAGGAGGAAGACGAACGCCTTGCTGCCAAGATCATGGAAGCGACTCAAGAAGCTGGAAGCGAGACGGACGCTCGCAAGTTTTTTGAGCAGCGCGAGCTGGAACTTCTCGAGGAGCAGGGAAAGACGAACACGGAAGACCTGAGTTGCCTTCCAACAGTCTATGTTCGGGATATTCCGAGGCAAAAGGAGACTGTTTCGGTCAGGGATGAAGTCGCACACTCGACCAACATCCAGTGGCGCGAGGCTCCCACAAACGGTCTCACCTACTTCCGAGCTATTAATACCCTTGAGAACTTGCCTGATGAGCTTCGAGTTCTGATTCCACTGTTCACGGATTCGATCATGAGGTTGGGAACCAAGGATCTTACAATGGAACAGATTGAAGATCTCATCAAGCTCAAGACTGGTGGCATCTCTGTGGGATACCATAGCACGTCCTCGCCAACGGACTTTCGTCAGGCCACAGAAGGAATTAGTTTGTACGGAATGGCGCTGGACAGAAATGTTCCCGAGATGTACAACCTGCTTCAAAAACTGATTTTGGAGACCAACTTTGACAGTCCTGAAGCGCCCAAGCAGATCAGACAGCTGCTAGAAGCTTCATCGGATGGAGTTGTTAGCGCCATCGCCTCTTCTGGCCATTCCTACGCGTATAAAGCCGCTGAAGCGGGTCTTACGCGTGATGCTTGGTTAGGCGAGCAAGTATCCGGTCTGACCCAGGTCAAACTTACAGCAGAGTTGGCCGGGCGCCCAGAGACGGACAGATACGAGGATGTCATTAGCAAATTGAAGCAGATCCAGCAGTTTGCGCTGGCTGGCTCCAATATGCGCGTCGCTTTGACCTGTGGTGCAGACAGTGTCGCAGCAAATTCGAACGCCCTAGCCAGTTTCATGTCAGCACGTCCATCGGAAGCATTGAAATTCCCCGATTCTCAGCCATCAGCTTTGCCTCGGGATATCAAGGCCTTCTATCCTCTTCCATACCAAGTTTACTATGGAGGTTTTGCGATTCCGACAGTCTCGTACACACACGAACATGGCGCACCACTCCAAGTCTTGTCGCAGCTCCTGACAAACAAGCACCTGCACCATGAGATTCGTGAAAAGGGTGGTGCCTATGGAGGCGGCGCCTATATGAAGGGCTTGGACGGTCTCTTTGGCTTTTACTCGTACCGAGATCCCAACCCTCAAAACACGCTAAACATCATGCGCAATGCTGGCCGATGGGCGGTGGACAAGAAGTTCGCAGACCAGGACCTGGAAGAGGCAAAGATTTCCCTCTTCAAGAACATTGATGCTCCCAAGTCTATCAACACGGAGGGTATGGACCGCTTCAGGCACGGCCTCAGCGATGAAATGAAGCAGAGGCGCCGAGAACAAATGCTTGATGTGAGCAAGGAACAAATCCGCAATGTCGCGCAAAAGTACATTGTTGAAGCTATTGAGAAGGGCCAGGAGAGAATCGCTTTCCTAGGAGAGCGCAAGGAGTGGGTTGATGACTCGTGGAGCGTTCGTGAAATGAACGTGAGTGGCAGTGCCTCTGCCGCCGATGAGGTTGACTAAAAAATCGACCAACACGCCTCGGGACGAGATGTATATACAATGTACACTTTTTGTAAGATATTGTGCAGGATACCCACCTCTAATAGAGACTTTCAATAGCCAGCTCCCATGAGCACGAGCCGGCACTCTTCTTCATTCAGCGTGTACACTATTGTAGCCAGCGTTCAGATACCGATACGCCTTCATGCTTTCATCATAGCTTGGAGGTCACAAGAGCAACGCGAGAGCAAACGTACATAGACTTGTGAGGTTGATCGACAGGCATCTGGGTCAGTGGAAACACAGACCCGTTGTCTGACATTAACTGATCCGTCGAGCTCGTCCTTTCAGACTCGGATTCCGTGAGCTTTGGAAGTCCGGACTATAGGGCAGAGTACATAGTATCTTTGATGATGTATAGGTGTGTTTGCCAATCCTCGGGGTGAGGCCTCTTGCTTTGCGGAGATGTCATGGCTTATGGTCAGAGATCTCGTGAATACCCAAAGTGTTGATTGAGGGAAGGGTGATCCCACTTTCGCTACGTGTGTTGGTGGCATTTCAAAATTATGGATATGTTCCTCGAGACGGAGTTGGAGTTTTGGATCCGTGCTTGCCGTGTGTATAGTCGGGGTCGATCCCGCTGCTGCTCAGAGGAAAAAGCCCACCATGACGGGAGGTCGGACCCATGGCAATACTTGGTCTCGATTGGTCCTTTGGCATGGGCTTTGATTTTTCTTCTGTGCGCGATTTTCAGGACAGCTGCTGCATGGCAGGTATGGTGTGTGCTATTGATTCAGGATGCATCGTTGTCCAGTACGTACACACACACAAGTCCCATCGCTAAAAGGAGGCCTCGATATACTTGCGGTTCATATAGAATTACAGGGAGGCGAACAGCCCAGTAAGAGTAGATTCATAACGACAAAAACATCTCACGCACGGTTGAGGATACGGTACTTTGTTTAGTATTAATAAATGCAAATGCAGAATTGCACAAATGACATTCCCACAGACTCTTGGGGAGGAGTCAATGGCTTGGCGCCGGCGCTCCATGCGGCTTGTTGGAGATGCCAGATAGACTCTAGAGCGCTGTTAAAGGTTCCAAATTGCGGTCAACAGATGTCTTTGACCCCCTGAGGGAGAAAAACTTGGAAAGTGCCATTTTGGTATGGTGCAAGCGAATGGGGCCATGTACATTATGTAGTACATAATTCAATTCCATACAAGTTTAGCAGACCAACGACCACTATGTGTATAGTGCATAGGTATGTACAAAGTATGTAGACAGCAAACATGTTGGTACTATCCATAGATGTAGTGTAGCCGCGGCTGCAACATCGGGCGATCTGATGCAGGCTTCGATGTACTACATATTTGTTGGCTTGCCTGCACCTGCAGCAAAATGCAGTTCCGAGGAGGGAACGTTGTTTCTTTGGAGCTTTTTTCGGATGAGACATGTCACATACCATATGGAATATGTACCTCAATAGCCAATGACACAAGCCTGGCTATTATTATTACCTGGACTTACAGCTCCGACAGTGGAGTGTGGCCACTAGGAAGCGTGCCATTGGAAGCACTGAAGGAGGTGTGCGGGAGATACATAGATGCTTGAGCCTGGAGCCTGGCACACCAATAGCCACGGGCATTACCACATGAAAAATGGTTGGATCGAGCAGAGTTTTTCCCCTGGCCGATCGCCTGCCCTGCCCGTCATCAAGATCAATGGTCTGGATGAAATGGCATTTTGGCCCCAGTAAAGTAGAGTTGTTAGCCCAATGCCCGAGGCCCAGATCAGTCATCATGTCAGTCACGCCGGGCGTGAACGAAATTTTCTCCCCCCTCCATGGTCAAGGTCAGGGCCAGAATCAGCTGCTTCTGGAGACCTACAGGAGGAAGCACGTCCCCCGCGCGCGCTAGTAGTAGTAGTAGTATTGACATATTTTTTGTGTCCTTGTTTTAACGTAGTGTACATACTGTGTAAGGCCCCAAGATCAACAACACCAATTCATATCCCGTTCCGCTGTCATCTCTAAAAACGGTCGACGTCTTTTCTCTTAGCCCTGGTCTCATTCAAGACTCCAAAAAGTCAGGCACAAAAAAATCACTCAGCACCTATCTGAGGCCTCCTCACCACTGGACAGGGTGCTGCGCCTCTCTCTCCATTCTCAACACGCATAGTGAAAGGGAAAACGAGAAGCAAAAAGGTCCTACAACTGCCGTAGGGCGTTACCTTTCCTCCTAACAACAACGCTTCGACTATTTCGGTACGTCATCTAAAAATCGTGAGTTCAACACCATAAGCGCCCCAGATTTTTTGCCCCACCATTGGGAATTTTGGATTTTCCCTAACACACAACTTGACTACCACCACCTACTCCATCGCCCCGACCCCCCAAGTTTCTCTCCTCCCAAATTGTTTCCAAAACTACTTTCGAGTCGTTTCGTTCCAACTTCAACAACCACTATCCAGAAGCACCTGAGCTGCAGGCCACCGAGGCATTTTCACACTTGCCGTTTTGCACAATCCACCGCTGACCAGAGGAACTCTCCCCCGCAGAGTTCACCCCTCCGATTTGAGAAAATCTACCGCCAGACTGCCTTTGGTCTGTCAAAGGCACCATCGCTACTACGGCTCCAGCGGCCGTGAACTTCGTCTCTGACCAAGATTTCAGCCTTCGGCAAACCTTCCACATCATCAACTCCCGACCGCCACCCGCTGCTGAGGTCTCCTAAGCAGCACCAAGCTCCCCTCGTGCTCGATTCTTCTTCGGATCAGAATCCCCCATTCTCTCCAAACTACCAGCTGCCGCATAGGACGACTTCGGAGTCTCTTCCTCTTACCGAGGGGGAGTCGAGGAGACCTCGTCAGATCGCTTCGGGATCAGGAAGCTACCGTTTTCGACCCCCTTAACATCAGAGTGTACATTCTGGTATCCATCTTTTCTTTCATCTAGGCTAAGGAATAACACCCTTGCCTTGAATATATAATTCCACCAGAGTCGTCACCTCTGACTGTCGACCGAACGTATACCAACCGCCAGCCCCCTTTTCCCTCGTCCCAACCATCCAACAGTGAGGGATATGGTTATGGCAACAGTTGCCGTCGATCACATCGCACCGGTTATATTTGAAAATAACCACAATTTTGACCGTGTCAAAAAGAATTCCTTCTTTGACACTCAGCAAAATGGCGCCTTGTTAGGCAAACATTTGATTGGGGATGCTCTCCGCCGCCGCGTGGAGAGCATTGACCATGAATCCTGTGATCCAGGCGACGAAGACACGTTCTTCGTGGGCGATCTCGGCGAGGTCTATCGCCAACACATGCGTTGGAAGAAGAATCTTCCTCGTGTGAAGCCTTTCTATGGTGCGTGTCTCACCTGTCCCGTCCTGCCCTGCAGATCCGTGAACCTTTTACGCTAACCATGTCCCCGCAGCCGTCAAGTGCAACCCTGACCCTCAGGTCATTAAGCTTCTCGCGGGTTTAGGCACTGGCTTTGATTGCGCTTCCAAATCCGAAATTGAACAAGTCTTGGACTTGGGCGTTGATCCCTCCCGCATCATCTACGCCCAGCCGTGCAAGACCAACTCGTACGTGCGCTATGTCGCCAACCAAGGAGTCAAGCAAATGACCTTTGACAATGCCGATGAGTTGCGCAAGATTGCCAAGCTCTACCCTGGCGCTGAGCTCTACTTGCGCATCTTGACCGATGACTCATCCAGCTTGTGCCGCCTTAGCTTGAAGTTCGGAGCTTCCCTTGACTCCACTGAGGAGCTGCTGGCACTAGCTAGAGATCTTGGTCTGAACGTTGTAGGCGTGAGCTTCCACGTCGGCTCCGGTGCTTCGGACCCGCTCGCCTTCCTCAAGGCTGTGCAGGACGCTGCCCACGTCTTTAAGCAGGCCGCCACTTTTGGGTACGATCTGAAGACCCTCGATGTCGGCGGTGGCTTCTGTGGCGAGACCTTTGAGGCCATGGCCCACGTCCTCCGCGAGGCTTTGGACGAATACTTTCCTCCCACCGTCAACATCATTGCGGAGCCCGGTCGATACTACGTCTCCACTGCTTTCACCATTGCCTGCAACATCATTGCGCGCCGCACCATCATGAACCCTGCCACCGGCGAGGCCAGCTACATGGCATACATCAACGATGGACTCTACGGCAATTTCAGCAGCATCATGTTTGACCACCAGCACCCCGTTGCCAAGGTCCTTCGCACTGGTCGCCAGACTCTCTACGACACCTCTTTGGCTGAGTCCTACCCCGAGGGCGCTGGGGAGGGTCTCGAGTACTCCATCTGGGGTCCTACTTGTGACGGCATTGATCGCATCACTGAGAGCATCCGCTTTGATCATGAGCTTGACGTTGGTGACTGGTTCTACTTTGAAAACATGGGTGCCTACACCAAGTGCTCGGCTACTCGATTCAACGGCTTCTCTGACGCCCACGATGTCATCTACGTATGCAGTGAGCCCGGTGCTCGGGCTCTGATGAACATGTAATGGCATGAATTCCATTCATGGTAAAAGATGTCGGTGGGACAGATCAATTTGTGTGTTTGAGTCGAGTTATTTTCTTTGCAACCGGGAGAGTTGGAGTGCAGATGGTGGAGTGTCTCCTTGGTCAAATTTTATCTTATATGCCTTCAGGCTCGTTTGAATGAATAGACATAAAAAGTGCGCATATCATGACTTCTCGTTGGTGTGATGAAAGATGTATTGTCTCAATGTTTGCTCGTCCAGTTGCTCGTCCAATTTCATCTATGCAACGCCACAATTCCATGCTACATCCATTGAGGTGTGATTGCGCCTCTTGCTTGACTGTATGTTTTCTGTGCTCTTCGCCCCACGTTTTCCTTCTATTCTGACAATCTGCTTTGTGTTTTTTATTTCTTTGAGCCAATACCCAGTCTTTCACGCTGTCATGGCATCAATCAGGTTTTTTTCTCCTTTCATTTTTTTTTTTTTTGAGCGTGTCTATACCCATTGATACATGTTCTTATGCTACACGATTCAAGTATGCGACCGCAATTATGGTGTTCACTCCCCTTGTTAGCATTGGAACAATTCAAAATCTCCGGTTTCAGAATCTCGAATACGGTTTGAAGATAGCTCATACCTCTCTTTAATACCTAATGTCCTTTTTCTTCACACCCCCAACACAATCTCACCAAGATACCAAAAAATAACAGCACTACGTCATATGGTTGCTTGAGAAAAATGTAGCAAGGGGATAAAAGAAAAACGACAGCAGAAAAACGTTTAAAGAATAAAAAGTGAAGAAACTCTGAACAAAAGTACGCGAGGCAGTGGGCATTCTCCTTGATATAAGATATCTGGACATAGTCGAGCTGATCTGAAGGCGCGATTAAGTCGACAGAATGAAGGCTTTAGCCTCTTTTATGTAATGACCTGAGGGCAAAGGACGCCTATGAATCGTACAGTACTCCCCTTTAAGACTGTTCTAATATCTTACTCTTGGCTTCTGAAAACTTGCATTAACTCGGGGATATCCCCGACTTCATCATGACCCCTCGATATCTTACCTTGTTATTCTTCCCTAATCAAGTGTCAGCGCTGGCAGCCGGAACGATTTCGAAGACGAGTTTACTAGTTATGAAATGCCTTTGTGTCGCGACGTTATACTTTGCGGTGCTGGCGTCTTTGTCTAGTTGACTTGCAACAAGTCAAGCACGTTGCTGCTGTATCTCATTCAAGAGCAAATACTTGTTTTCTCGACTTGTACTTCAATACATTATGCCAAAGGCCGTCGGTTCCATGTGTAGAATTGAGATATCTGCTTACATGTATAGGTAACTTTTTCTTTTAACCAGGCCACAATGCTTAGTACAGTCATAATCGAATCTGGTCAATCTCGTGTGACGAAGCTGTTGCTAGGCCACAGATCTGTAAATAGACAGATATCGCATCAGAACTTTGCTCAATTGCTAGAGATTATCGCATGTATAGGTTACTTTTATAGTCATTTATATGGCAGTTGGGAGGTGTCTATGTGTATCTGTAAAGGGGATTTTCAAGTGTACACCCGTTTCTTTAATAATAGAACGAGGTCAAGTAATGTTTTAAAAGTTGGGGCATTAGAGTTCGCGACTGTTGACTAGACGAACAGGGTGAGTGCCGATCATGAGTCCGGTGCAGATCTTTATTTTTAGACTATTTTAGCAGACAAATGCCCTGTTCTCGGAGTTGATGCAGCATGTTGATACATCTATCTCTGTTTTTCCAAGGACTTTTGCCCGTCGTTATAGAACGCAGCTCACTGATCTCAATATGGAACAACTCTTGCCTTGGCACTTGAATCTTGTCAAATTCGACAAGAAATGCTCCCGACTGAACAAATTTACCTGCATGAACTTTTGAATTTTGGGTCAGTCTCAATTACGACCCATCGCCGCCCAAGCTCTACTTAGTGTCTGGTACTGACAGTTCAGGCCGAATGCAAATTAGTCCGGTCTTCTCAACTAACACGATTGACTTTGACTTCTGAGCAAGGCACGTCTTCAGTAGGTAGTAATACAATTGACCGCGCGTCTCTTATATAGTCATGAACCTTTAATACTGATCTTAAAATAATTGAAGGTGTAGGTCCCTGAAGTCTTGGCGACATGTCAGAACATCAGCTCGCAGGACCCTTGCTTTCAGCTCTCGCACACTATACCCAGCCGGGGTGACACTTGGCGTGCTGATCGCCTGTTGGCATGTACGATGGGGGCAGCCCGGCGTTTTCTGGTAGAAGCCAGTAAACAAGCTGATTGAAAATAGCAGAGGGGGAGAGAGGAGGGGGCTGAAACCTCCTAGGTTAGCTTCATTCAGCTTGTTTGCTGTGCTGACACGTCTTTGTGGTTCTCTCTTCAACATAACGTTTACGCGCAAATCGACATCAATAGTTTTCGACAAGAGCATCAGGATTGTTGATGGTCTCCAAGTCGCTGTCGGCTCTGTACCAGTCGCATACCTGCGATAGGTATTCCTGATCTAGTCCATGTGACGACTGAGATGCCAGGCATTTGGCGAGTCCATCAATGAGCCATTCACTCTGACAGAGGTTGCTGCACACGAAATCGACCTTCAAGCTCTTGGTTTTCTATACTGCGCTGGATCTTGGTCGCTTTCTTACTCGAATCCCCATTTTAGTGTCTTTGTCGCCAACGCAATGACGAGCCTTGCTCCAGGGTGGGAGGCCGACTACGATGGGTCACGTTGGTTCTACCGGTACAAGTCGACCGGTTTGACACAGTACACCTTTCCAAAAGCCGGCGATGAATTTCCAGAGCATATCGGAGCAGGTTCCGAGTCCTTTGGCCTTGCGCCCGAGGAGCGCTTAGCAAGCGATCGACAGGTCAAGAAGCGCGGCTCCTCAGACAGTCCCCAGACTCAGGGTCCAACAGAAGTCGTAGGTGGCATGAGTGCGACTGGCTATTTTGATCCCTTGGCCTGGCATGACGATTTCAGTACCTCTCCGGAGTTGGAAGCACCAGCCACAAGCGAGTCAAAGGATACGGGGCCAACAAGCCGAACATCTTCGACAGTACCATCACTGACGGCAACGCCGACGGCAGCAGCTCCTGCGGTGCTTGCTGACGGCTCTTCGCCCAAGGCAGGTGAACTTAGAACGGATGACGAAAGTGGTTCCGTCAGTGCTGTTGTTGAAGAAGAAAATGATGTCCACATGCTGGATGGGCAGCCCATATACCAGGAGCTACCTGCTACTACTCCAGCTCATATGATAAATCCAACACCATCCTCGCCCGTCGGAAAAGTGGCAGAGCTCGCCAGTAGTGATACCGTCAAATGCGCTGATGAGCTGGCTCCCATAGAGATGGATGGAGCTTCAAGCATACCAGGCTTTTTCGGAACGCACGTCAACCCTTATACGCCAGCAGAGCTTCCAAACGAAGAGATGCCCATGAAAGCACAGCAAGCTAATACAGGAAAAACGTCCCCTGGAGCGTTGCAGGCTAATCCATCGGATCCCCCAGGTTCACAACAAAGATCTCAATTATATGATTCTGGTGCTCCAGCAGGTCTGACAAACGATATCAAAGCATGGAAACCCGCGGCTCGGATGGATGTGGATGCTGACTACCCCAGACCATTATCCTTGAAGTCATCTGCAGCCAACATACCTGGGACAAATATCTCTCAATCACGAAATAGTGAACTCACAAATACGGGCCCAAAACGACATTCTGTTCCCGCGACAGTGCCTTCTTCTTCTACCAGCGTCCAAAGACATCCTACTGTCTTGACACCGGCCGCGGTACCGAAAACCTCAACAACACTAAAGAGTGATACAGTGGCCAAAGGTCCTCTTCGTTCCCCGATTCCTTCAATTCTGAGGCCGGCTCGGGGGATCGCTTCGAAATATCATGTCCCAATCCCGGGCACAAATGCCCGGCACGGCAGTATACAAGCCGAAGCACAGCCTCACACAGCAAACCCGCCCAACCCAGCAATGACACATGTGCCATCCGTTTTAAAACCAGCCGGTCGTAAAATGGTGAATGGTCACCATTCGCATCCTCTCCATCCAGCACGGCCGGAAAATCGCCCTCGCGCAGAATCACTCGAAGCGCAGCCACACAGAGCGAGCTTTAGTACTGAGAAGATCTATCAGCGTCGTCCCGTGTCCATGCTTATAGACCAAAAGTCTGCATCGTTTGGATTCGAAAGGCTGTCCGTCGGGCAAACTACTGCGCCTGGACCGAGCACTTTACAATACGTCTCTGAGCTTCATGGTGATATGATGCCACCGAGGCCATCTACGACTACCCCTGATCAATCCAGGCGAGATCCAAATTATTCTACGACCGTGCCTGAGCCAAATAGCTGGAGCAAAAGCCAAACTCATTCAGGACAACTAGCAGAGCTACCAGCCACTGTTGGTGTCAACTATCCGATTCAAGGGCTTGCACATTCCGATTCATCAGCTCAAGAAGTATTCGACATATCTCGTCCTACCTCTACGCTTCCCAGCGAGGTATCGTCACCCACTGTCTCGATGCTTTCAGTTCATCACACGCCAAAATTGGCACATTCTCAAGTCGTCAATGGGACTCAAGCGAACAGCAGCTCCCACAGTGTCGCAGTAGAAGAAAATCAGACACATGAGGACAAAGATCATGGACTAGTCAGTTATGTGACAGATGGTCACTCCGAAAAGGTGCCATGTTCACAGCAGGCGACTGCCAAGAAAGTCGATACTAACGTGGAAGTGGCTCCCATCTACACGGTTGCCGACTCAAAGCATGACACGGATGCGGTCTCGATGCTGAGCGACAGGGAATGGCCCAGAGCGGTTATTGACTACTCGGGTGACTCCTGGGGCGACGAGTGGTGATATGAAACTTGGTATGCTGTGTGTATATGTTAATATTGGATTAGATGTCAATGGGATGATTGGAGAGGACCCATGAGACAATATAGACATGGCCACATATGAGAATAGATGTTTCAAAGATCTATGGTGTTTTGTATTCAATGACAGAAGTGAAGCGACCATGTTCTGCATTCCGCAATCAACTCTAAGGATTCATTCTCTCCAATATTTATTCGACATCATGACTCGATTCGTCTCGTCATTGATATTATCAAACAATGAGATTGGCAAGCCTTTCCACACAGTGATAAACCTGTCAAGCTCTATACCCGAACCGGAGTGGCAACCTATGCTCTTTGTTCACCAACAGGCATACTTCCTCAATGAGACCCCAGTAACTACCTCGGAGCAGACAACCAGTTCAACGTCAATCGAGCCCATCACTAGATCTCGTCTGTAGGAGATCACAACTTGCCGAAAATAACATACAGACCAGCCATGCGCGCCATCCACGCCCTCACAGTCCTAGCTACAGCCGTCGCCGCGCTCCCCACCTCTCCCATGGTGGTGGACTCGGTGGTAATCCCACGCAAGCTCACGGGCGACGTCAAGGTCGACGCCGCCATTGAACCGGAAGTGGACGCCGAGCTGCTGTCGGGCAAGATCCAGACCCTCTTCACGGCCACCTGCCATAACATCTGTATCAAGATTTACTCGCAGCCCGGCGCGCTTCGGGATAAGTGTATGGATGTTTGTCGTGAGTACACCTTTTTCCCTGGTTTTCCTAATGACTAGTTTGAAGGGGGATATTCCTGCTGCTACATATTGACAGAGACTGATATTCTTTTCAACCCCCAGATCATGATCATGATGAACCTACGGGAAATATGTAAATTCGGAAGTGGAATAATGGGAGCAAACTAATGACTCGATTTGGTTACGGAGGTGTATTTGAGGCACACGTTGAATAAATACCTAGCTATCATTTACGCTGAGAAGAATTTCGAGCCTCACCACCCATGTGCCGTTTGCATACCAGCCGGGGAGAAGTCTGGCAAAACCTCTCCCATTGTCACCCACCCCTTGGGAGCAAACGAGGAGGGGGGAACAAACGTAGTCCTTATAGATTCAAATGAAGTTCAATTTTCCCAACAAAT